TCGCTCTGGTGTTCCTCCTCTCTTTCTTTTAACTAAAACCTTCTTTTTCAGTTTTTTTCTTCATCGGTTGAGAAATAAAAGTAGAAAGTCTCCATCAAGTATAACTTTAATAATACAACATCGGTCATGTTTAAACTTTCCCCTGCCGTTCATTTATGTTTAACATGCAAACCTGTAGGTCTGTGACGAACTACACTTACACCCATGCTGTGTAATATGACACAACTGAAAAGCAATGTAAACAATGCCTCCAATTATGGGCCAATCATTTCCATTCACTCCGGCTGACTTCAAATGACCCCAAAACTTGACCTTAGAGAGCTGCTGGTTATTCTGAACACTTATGCAAACATATCCTGCTCCATTCCAACTGTGACACACACTCACAGAGGGTCAAGAGATGTTGTTCGGACTAAATACATTATACAGTGGAAAATCTGAAACTACAAAGTCTCTGTGAAGTCAGTCGCCGTCTCTTTCTCTCGTTCTCGCTTGTTTACATTCCTGAGCCGTGTTCAACACAGAGGGATCCTCCCCCGACTTGGGTGGCCTCAAAGTTTGTGCATTGAGCATATTGTGTGTGTACATATGTGTGTGTGTGTGGACGCACGCGGCATGTGCCTCAACATGTGGATGACATAAACAGTGGAGTAGAGTGTGGGGATGTGCCGTACAACCACCTAAAGAGGACAGAGTACAGTCTGCAGCCGCACATGTTTTTGTTTTTAGTGAATCTGATTTTGACCCCAATTTCTCCCTCGCCTCACCTGCTGCTTCTTCTTCTCCACCTTTATCCCGTCTCCCCCTTTGCACAATGTTTCGATACACACTGTGTATATACCCTCATCCTTTTCTCCCCTCTCCCTCCGCCCTTCACTCCCTGTTTCTCTTTGACTTCCCTGATTGCTAGCGTATGTTGGCTGGCTGGCTGGCTGGATGAGAAGAGGGGAGGTGGGGTGGGTGAAGTAAGGAGGGATGAGAGGGAGAAGGGAAGAGAGATGGAGAGAGACAGAGAGGGATGAAGAGAGAGAGTGAGAGAGAGAGAGGGAAGAGGAGAGGAGAGAGGAGAGGAGGGGGAAGGGACTGTGCCCTCTCATGCAGAGAGTCACATGGTGTCCCTGATTGGAGGAAAATGAGTAAAGACTGCAGCCCGGCTGAAATGGCAACAGACAAAAAGGCACAAAGGCTGAGCTGTTTGGAAGCGGGTTGCACAACAAGAGAGGCTGAAGAGGAGGAGGAGGAGGAGGAGGAGGAGGAAGGGGGTGTGATGGAAAGGAAGAGAGAGATGTGGATTAAGAGAGAGAGGAGAAGCAGGGAGGGTGGCAAGAAGAAAAGAGAAAACAAGAGAGGTGACGGAGGAGGGGGGGGGGGGGGGCAGAGAGCAGAGGAGCCAAGAAAAGAGAGCGAGAGGGAGATGAGCAATGTAGGAGCACAGGAGGAGTGGGTGGGTGGGAGACAGGGAGGGAGGAAAGGGTGAGACAAAGTGGGAAAGAGTGAGAGAGAGATCAGACTGTGTTTCTATGTTTTCTGCAAGGCTGAGCGGTGACGTGATTGGCTGAGGGGGGGCAGGGGGTGAGGGTGTGTGAGTGTGTGTATGTGTGTATGGGGGGGTGGGGGGGGCAGACCTGACTCTGAGATCAGAGACAGACAAAATGGCTCCCAGAGAACAGAGAACGCAGCATCAGGGCACTGTCATCTCCCCTCACACAGCTGTCAGCTGACACCAGCCGCCACTGCCACACACACATCTGACACACTCACACCCACACACTCATACACACACACTCTCTTAAAGGCTAAGCCACCTGCAAAATGCCAACACGAGAGAGGAAAAAACTAAGGATGATGTGTCATATCACTGATCATTGATCTGCTCTAGTATTTACATTTGGTTATGTATAAAACTCACATAAGGAATAGTGATGAAAATGGCTGGAAGCAGACTCTTTTTCTGGATTTAATCCCGTCACCCATTGGCCTGGATGAACATGTGACGCGCTGCTGCTGAGGTTCCCTTGTTGCAGGGTGTCTGTGTTTGCCTGCCAGAGAAAATCCTGAGCAGGGAATTCACCCAGTGAGCGAGAAAATACTGTTGGACAGCATGAAAACAAACACAGCGACTCACTGCAGCCACAAGAGGGCGCTGCTATCAAAGAAGCAAGCTCTGATTGTAGGTCAGCTCTAATTTCGCCCCCTGTAATGATGTGTCGTGGCGTCCTGAATATAAATATGGAGAATGATCGCTCTGTGAGGAAGAACAACAGCATCATTTGCATACAGTTTGACTTACAGAGTACATTTGCATAACTGTTTTGATTATTGTTTCTTTTTATGGTAAGTTGCTGTGATTTCAACTGTGACTTCATCAGTTACACTTTCCTGTCAGACAGATGAGCAGTGATACATGAAGACATTATGATCTCTGTCTTAAAGGGATATTCCAGCAGAAATTTAACTTTCTGGTCAAACAACGCAACATTGAGTTAGACACCCCCTCGAGAGATGAATGTTGCGCCCGCTTGCTTCTCTAGTTATACCAACTTTAGTAACAACAATACACAGCGGTCTACGTCTCCACGCTGAAACCTCAACCAAAAAGCCACTCTATAGCCACAAATAATGCTCAGAACAGCACCTAACTTCATCAACAGAACATGTAGGGTCCCAGCCATAGTACTAGCCATCAAACATCTTTTTAGCTTTGCCTGATTTCTTTAGAGAAGAGACCAAACACAACTCACCCACTCTCTTCCAGCAGCCGCTTGTTTGTGGGGGAGCCCTGACGAGTCGATCACCGTGCAGTGGAGTTTCGCAGCTCACGGAAGAAAATGTGTGATTATTACTTCATGGAAATGCAATCAGACTGAGACGCTAAGACAGAAGAACTACCGTGTCTACATCGCAAAATGATTATTATGATGATTATTACTTTATGGAAATGTTCTTCCTTGAGCTGCAGAACTTCACTGCACTCGATGATCGACTCGCTATAAAGATGTTTGATGGCTAGTACTATGGCTGGGACCATATATGTACTGTTGATGAAGTTAGGTGCTGTTCTGAGCATCATTTGTGGCGTTTTGGTTGAGGTTGTGTTTTGCTATCGTGCGGTTGTTACTAAGTTGGAATAACTAGAGAAGCGAGCAGTCGGCAACATTCATCTCTTGAGGGGGTTTCTAACTCAGTGTTACGGTGTTTGACCAGAAAGTTAAATTTACAACGGAGTATCCCATTAAGTCAGAGTGAAACTAAAAAACAATCAAAATAACTCAGAAGAAGAAGTTTTGCAGCTGCGGCACATATATCAATCTCACAGTACTTATTTGGATTGTTGACAAAGTGTGCTAAAGGAAAACATACTTTATATTTGTAAGGTTATTTTATTACAATCGTGCATTTTCTGCTCACATATGTTCACGGATACATTTATCTTATGGAAATTCTAGGAAAATTAAAATGATTAAACACACATCAAACTAGGTGCCCCTCCCACTAACCCCACAATGCAATCATCTAATATGCAATAAAGCTGACATCTCGACTATGACTTATTGGGTTTCTTTGAATTTAATGACTTTATGATTGAGTCATTACACAACAGGTCAAACAATCCCAGAGCACCATGTTTACTGTTCTTATCGAAGCTTGCAGGCATGGACATTGAATCTGAGTGGTTCAACCAGCTGATTGTCCTCGTGTAACAGTGATGGAAAAGGTTTCTGTGATGTGGGCGGAGTCAGAGTTGTGGAAATTTAAGTGTAACAGAATTGTGTATATCACTTTCTTGGGTTGATTTGAGGAGTCTTGCCCAAGAGAAGATGGATATGCTGTGATAATATTGAACTGCAGGCTGTTTTTATTTTTGAAAGCAGTTTTTTTTGTGTTCATAGTTTAGGAAGAGATATTTGAGGGACTGTATCTTTTGGAGGAAATTAAGGGGTTGGACATCACCATGATGTTTTCCTGTATTTTCCTGTTAAAATGGATCATCCATTTTTTTGGTCTACATTTTGTTTGTGTGAAAAGTGCTATCCAAATAAGGTTTGACCGATTGATTAATTGACTGAATGATTGAATGACACTTTGGCTATAGCAGGAGAATTAATGCACTGTTAAAGAACAACGAATACACAGTTATCCCATAGACTTACATTAAAAGATGGAGATTTTTTTACCCACAGTGTTTGGTTGTTTTGCATAGTGACATCTTTATATGCAGTGGGATTAGGGCCGGGCGATAAACTGAAAATTTACCAACACCAAAATTTATGACAATGACTGACGTCATTTTGCCCGTGTAAATATATTCAGTGTCAGAAAAATAAAGAAAAGTTGGTTTTGGATGTGTGTACGTAGGCTATGGTCTCATGTCCCTTTTAAGACGCTGTCCTACGTCGACGAGACGTGACTCCGCCCCATCCAGTCTGTAACAAAGAGGGAAAGACAGGTGAGGAGATGGAAGACGATTCAAAGTTGTAGTGGCTGAAGTAGACAAAGTTAATGTGGGAGGGGGTGAGCAGCTTGTGGAGTAGTAATCGTCTATTTTTCGTTGAGTTGAACTGCTCAATATATTGTGATATTGATTTGAGGCTATATCGCCCAGCCATAAGTGGGATCCAACATTACAAAAAAGAACCAGACAGGTAAGGACAGAGTAGAATAGATCACGGAGAATCGAATTGAAAAGGACAGGAAAGAGCATAAGGGGAAGTAGAATAGAGTAGAATAGAGTAGGACAGGTAAGAAAAGAACACCAGAAAAGGAATGGGTGGAATAGAATAAAATGGCATTTTGTAGTTTTAAGTCAGCCCTGTCTCCGTGTGTGATTATAACTCATTGTTCTTCTAGTATCACCTCTTGAATTTGAATTTGAATTTGCATTTACAACTGAAATTTGACTCGTTCAGGGAGACACAAAACAAAAGAGTCGAGACTGAGCCAATGGTAATCCACACCATGAGCTGGTAGTCCAGCATCCTTTGCCATGGCCAGTAGTATGCTGTTATAGTGCCAGGTGGTGCCAGGTGCCAATGGTTTGAATGGCGTGCCAGTCCACTCATCGAGCTGCTTGGAAGTAAGAGAGCTCTATCTGACCGTCACACCAGTACAACACAGGATCCATTCTCATGCTGCACATAATAACTAACACCAATCATCTTTATTTACATTTATTGCCATGGATGTGTGTGATTTTTCTAAACCGTAAAAGTATGGATGTTTGGTACCTCCATGCCAACAAACATCATAACAATGATAAGTTGTATCCTCCACAGTGAGCTGCTAATGTCAGGGTAGAGTAACTGATAGCAGAAGGATATCCATACATTCAACCCAACATCGATGACAGTCAATGTCGAATATGCTGGGAAAAAAAAACGGCTTGTGCTTTATTGAGAGCAACAGGTTAACAAGCCAAAGCAGTTACTCAGGCTGGGTTCCTGTCGTGTTATGTGGGATCAGCAGTAAATACTGTAAAGCATGAACATCAATATTGATTTTCAAATGCATCAAGGGGGTTGTCCTGAGGGGGGAATGCAGGTGTGACACTCTGTTAGTGGTCTTACACTTTCAAGGCACATGGCCTGGCATACCAGTGAGGGAAACCTGGATTTCACTTTGTGAGGAAGCAGTACCTGATTTACGGCATACGAAGGGACTCACTTCTCTTGTTTTCTTTGTTTTAAGGTGACTCCTTTTTTGAGATGAGAAATTTAAACTGCATGTAAAATTTAGTTATATCTGTCATTCATAAACCAATTGATTTTTGGTATGTATAGCTGTAAGTCTGATATATATGTTAATATTCAATGTACAGTATATAATAGATGTGATTTAAAAATTGAAAAATAAGAATACAGCTCAAAATGGATGTAAAGTTCAACCTTTACGACAGACATGCGTATTTCCAATGCTTGCTTGCTTGCAGACTTTTTGATCTAAAGCTTGCCAATGCTCTCTGTAAGCATCCACTCCTCCATAAAAGTGGCAGCCTGTCTTTTGGATCTGTTATCAGGCCTGATTCAGATACACAGATCTCTGTCCTCCGTCTGAGCCAATCAGAGAGCAGAGCTGCCAAATGTAACAAATCTGGCAGGCAGCGACTACTGAAAACAGCTCCAGAGACATCTCACTTCCATATAAAGGAAAAAGACTATCCCTGCTTCTGATGTGTTAACAGTTTTTCTGACTTTTTACTAGTGAAAGGTAAAACACCATGAAAGTGTAACTTTGGTGTTACACGCAGGGAAAGAAATGTGATGAATGCAGTGTGAGAAAACAGGAGTGGTTTTATTTTTATTCCTGTTGGGAGTAAAAAGGAAAAAAACATCAACTATTAACTGATGTGGCACCAATTCAAGTTCAGCTCTCATATTTACTCCAGGGTCAGTTTAGTCAGGGTGGTCTCTCCACTCTCGCTGGCACAAGGCTGTCCTCAGATCAGCGTTAAAGCTGTTAAAAGGAGGCCGACTGGGACGCCTGTTATCAGAGCTGTGGCAGATGTGTGTGCCGTCAGTTTCCTGTTGACTAGAGAGTGGAAGTGGCACACAGCACACATTTGCACATACACACATACATGTGCACGAGAGCACACGCACACGCTGACACTTAGATTGACAGGCACGCACATACGCACACATCCCTTTTCCCCCTTCTCATGCCCCTGAGCCTGAGAGTCTGGACATGAGAGATATCAGAGGGTGGGAGAGGCATGAAAACAGAGTAAGTCTCAGAGTTAGATCAGCGTGTGGCTGTGAAAGTGTGTTTGTGGGTGACAAAATGGCGATGTCAGAACAGCAAGAAACTCAGGGAGGTAAGTCTCTCTTTTGTGTGTTTCTGCAGAAAACCATGAGGTCAAATAAATGAGAGCTGCCGTAGAAGATGTTCTTCTCACTATGCTATTTGTTAGTGGTTTTAGTCAGAAGTATTGTGACTTTGATAAAGGTGAATTAAAGAAGTTGCACTTGTAGGTTTAAGCTTAGTGGAAACATCACACCATGCACTTTGGGGAGTTTATTCAGTCACTGCAGGCTGCAGCTCTAATCACTTATTGTACATGGATTTGTGCTGTTAGGTGTGAACGTATGACTGCAAGTTGGAGAATAAGGCGAATGCTAAAGGGGTGTGTGTGTGTTTACTGCTTCAGTGTGTGTGTGTGTGTGTGTGTGTGTGTGTGTGTGTGTTTGTGCACGCACGCTCTCTCTGGTTGGGGTGCTCGTTGGAGATAAGGCCTGCTGTATGCCTGAGAGCGAAAGAGACGGTGTGTGTAAGCCCTTCAAGCCTTATCCTGACACACCTCCCACCCCCACCTCCTCTCCATCACCCCTCACACACACACACACACACACACACACAGAGTTATGCAGCAGGGATTAACCCCGTCATGTACCATTTCAATGGGTGAGTTTTGGAGACACACACACACAGACACACTCACACACACACACATAGGATTAACCCTTCTGTGTCCATTTCCATGGATGATTCTTAGCCATGCTCTGGTTGTGACAGCATTGACTTGCTTGTGTTGCCATGGCTACAGGGGCCAGCAAATGTAAGATAGGCAAATCCACATAAGTCACCCACAGCAGACACTCTAAGCCACAACTGCCTCCACCTCCCCCTGGTACTAAACACACAAAGATGCTGCCAGCAGAGTGACAGGAGGCTCGTGAGCTGTGAAGTGCTCATGTCACAAGCTTAGCATAAGCAGACCAACATCCAGAAACTCAGCCCCAGCATCTTTATGCAGGTCGTGTGAGAGACGGCCCTCAGAGCAGATTATGCTCTCAATGTGTCTGAGACACACCGCACATAACCAAACACTGCAGTCTACAGGGAGGTCTGTGCTTGAGTTGTCATCTTCATTATGAAAATGAGTGGGGGTCAGATGTTGAATTCCCAGAATGCATATCAAATCACTCTGTATATTTCAGAATACAGCGACACGAGCTGTGGCAGGAAATTAGGCAGACATAAGAAATAAAAATACATTGAGAGATTTTGAAACTGGGCCTCACTGTCCCAAAAATATCAGAAATCCTTTAAATGAGGTCGATTATTATAATAGGCTGATAGAAAACAAAGAAAGGGATGTCTTTTGACGTAATTGGGGTGAAAAGGGTGTTTCATTGATAAACCGGATAATGACGTGTTTTATTTCACATCAGTGGTTCTTCTCATCATACATACAAATAAGGTTAAAAAAGTTCCATTGGGATGTATTGTTATTATTTCATTATTATTTTTTTTATTTGATGCTATGATAAAATTGCATATAGAAAACATTACATAGCATTATCAGAATATTTCTATAATGAAGATTTTCCTTGGCATGAGTTTTATACCCCGTAAATGTTTTTTTTTCTTTTACAGTAAACTAGATATAAATGTAAATGTATAATAATAAAAACGTCACTGCAATAGACCTGGAGAGAAGCTACTTTTATGAATTAAAACACTTTTATTTATAACATGTTTTTTTAAAGTTATCATATGCCAAGGTTTCCCACACCTTCATATTTCTGAAGCACAATAAGACTCACATTTACTCATGTGTACACTGTTTATCTTTCTAAATCACATATTTTAAAATGCGTCTCTCACAGATGAGTTTACCGACGCTTTAATCATTTAACTGTATCATTATAATATTACCTATAAATGCCAGTGCTCAGATTTACACCAACCCCAGATGGAGCCTGTCAAGTGTTTCCAATCAGCATCTCCCAGGAGCAGCTACATTTGCAGATAAAACATTTATGAAACATTGTGTTTTCACTGTGTACATGAGTAATGAATAAATCAGAGCTGTATTTACGCTGGTGGCTGCAAAGTCTTTAAATAATCAAGGCAGGGGCAAGTGCTATGGTGATTTAAAGGAAGAAATTCTTCAATATTGAAGCGAATTAAAAATGCTTTGAATCAGCATGCTTTTAAAGAATACACACACTTTTAGTAGTTTATCAAAAACCACTAACCTCCCTTGTTCTTTTTTTATCCCAACTTTAGCCATATGGGTGAGTCCATGCTGGCTGTGATCTGAATATCTGATTATGATTTGAGGCGATTTAAGCAGATTTAGAGGCCTATGGGATTCTCCTTTTGGCTTAGTGCTTCCTGTGTGTGTGAGTGTGTGGGTGTGGGTGTGTGTGTGAGTCTAAGTGTGTATTGAGCAGGGAAAGAGGGAGACCTTCCCCTGTGGTATGGGATTTACTCGTCTACCTCTGAGACAGTTCAGTGTGCAAACTGAAAAACACTATTAATTGTAAACAACCCAAGTCTGTTATTGCTATATTTAAGTTAATTCTGATGATCTTTATCTGCTTTTGACTGAGCATGCTGCTGTAGGGCAGAGTGGGGTAAAATGAGTCAAAGGGTAAGTTGAGCCACCCCGGGTTGCTTGGAAATGGTAAAAGAAATTGATCATGTGACCAAATATTTAGGAGATGGGCATCAATTCATGGAGTCTGTGAAGGTTAGAGGCACATGGGTGAAGGGGTTAGACATTTATTTCCAAAAAAACATTTTTCACTCTTGAAAGTGAATTTAGTCTGTCATAAGTTTTATTAGAATTGTGTTCAGACAAAAAAAAATCATTTTAAATTTGTTTTATACATCAATTATGGTATCTATAAGGTACAACATGAGGTCAAAAACCTAGTCTAAAGTCCACCATTTTAGTTTAGAGGACTAATAAAGTCATAATAGTAGTTCTGGGGTAAATTGAACCAGTGGTTAGACTGAGAAAGTAAAGAAGTCTGATGAGAGGATCAGAGTTTCAGTTCAGATTGTTGAAATGTTTTTAAGTTTTTCTTTTCAAAAATACAGCTGTGAATGTTCTGAATCACTTAGGCATTCTTGTGTTAAAATGACTTTTTACCAAACAGCTTTTTAGCAGTAATATGCAATAATAATAAAAAGAATTATTGTACCAGATGAGTAGTGTGTAATAGATAAAAATACGCATGAATGTGAAAAAGTGACTGTAACTTAGGGAGAGAGAAGGTGAGGGAGGGCTGGGGTGGAGAGTGGGGGGGGGGGGTAGTAGGGATACGGTTCAACGTATCCCGCTCCTATGGTCAACTTACCCCATGTATGGGGTAAGTTGACCATAGGAGCCCACTTTTTTTGGCATGCTATATTATCAAGACAGTTATGTTTACACATAGACTGTATATAGAATGGACAGCGTCTGCCTCCTCGCTGGGTGAAGCCACTGTGAGAACAGCACCCTCTGGTGACAGGGTGCAGTATAGGTCATAAATCCCGCCTCCGCCAGCAAAGCTTATGAAGCTGTGGACAAACTTTGGAAATTAATTACACAGAGAATATTTTTCCCCCCTGCTTGCGATGTTGACATATAGTTATTGTAAAGTCTTCTTTTTTTCTGTACAGCTCTGTTTTAAAAGTTATTAGGGGGGGTTCAGCCTATGGGCGTATGAAGATTGCGTAGCTCACCCGGGGGATACCCTGTGTGAGCCGAGCTTCATCACAGCGACTCTTCTGCCGAATGTGTACAATGCTACTGGGCAACGTTGGTTTCAAGAAATGGAGAGAAAACGCGGAATTACAGAGGGCTTTTTGGCTTCAAATCTGTATACTGGCGGAAGGCGGAACCAAGTTGTCCACAGTATATACAGTCTATGTGTTTACACCTATCCTATTGGTTTGCAGGGATGAACATCTTGAATTACATGCAGATACACTAGTTGGAGACAAAACTATGATCACCTTGATGTAGTGATCCGCAATATAAAAAACGGCTCATCTTACCCCACTCTCCCCTACATAATAAACCACAATGAATGGCTCCATAGTGTATAATGCATATGACCAGGCTCATGTCACTGTCTCACTTCGGTTGTTTGCAGCAGGCTGATGTGCACTAATTAGGCAGACAAGAAAACCACTTTGCAGTCAGCATGATCTTTATATCCACACACGCTTCCACTTGGCTGCATTAGGCCAATTCTCATCTGTGTCAGTTACAAGGAAGGGATGGGAAACAGGGAGGAGGAAGGAAGGGGAAAAAAATGCTTACCAGACAACCTTCATGTGCAGTTGTGCATTAGTGGGGGGAGGAGGAGGAGGAGGAGGCGGAGAAGGGGAAGGGGAGAGGGCGGCTGGCGGTGCTGGGCAGAAGAGAGAGGAGTAAATGCATTGCGGAGGGATAGGAGGAGGAGGAGGGCCTACAGCTATTGTTCATGTCCTCCCGTGAACAAAGGGCTCATCTGGGTCCGTATGTAAACCCACAGCAGGCTTCAGCCCACATACAAGGCCTCATGCGGGACAAAACATAACCGAACGACTCCCGCTATTTCGGCCTTATTCTGTGACGGTCTCTTGGTTGGAGAGATTTTTCTCATTGATCCTCTTCGGAGGGACGTATTGTGCTGATACGTCGCGTCCAGCGGGCCTATCGGTTCTTACGCACGGAGCGTACCCACGGTCTATCATCACGGATCTGTAAACAGCAATTTTCTGATTGGACTTCTTTGCAGGTAAAGGGAGTCTTTTCACAAACGCACTCTTATATCGCGGGTTTAAGCTGTTGTGGTGATAAATTGGGTTGAACCAGCTACCGTAGTTGTGGTTTTTCTCATGTTATTACAGTGATTTTGACGCTGAAAAGGGATTGAGCTGGTCGGCTAAAAGCTGCTAGCTGGTCACTATCTATTCTTTGACTACCGTTAGCTTGTCCTGCAGGCCTTCGTAGCAGTGTTGTTTATTTGGTTGAAGATGTCGATGTTTTAAGTTGAGTATAGTGTATAAATCTTATTGCCCTGGTTTAATTTAATGTGTGTTTCGGGCCTTGTGAAGTAAAGTTAACGCGGGTCACTGAAACACCTGTGTTTAACGTTTTAGCATGTAGCTAAAGGCTAACTGTTAGCACCCAGCGCTGGCAGCAGCCTTCTTTCTAATTGCCTTTGTAACCGGACAACTCTGAGTCAAATGTGCTCTTACTGTTCAAGTGAGTTACTTTGGTGTTTGACTGAGCACTCTATACCGTGTAATAACACAAACTAGACGTATATGTTGGTTTATATCAAATAATAGTGAAAGTAGGTTAGGGATTCAGTATTAGCTTTGGCCAATGTTCCGTGTGGACAGGCAGGATTCCCAAACCACCTTAAGATCATTTTCATGCTTTATTTCATTTCATTCAGTTCATATCTAAAACGTTAAATACAAACAAGGAAGAATCTCAGATATGTGAATGTAAAGGAGCAGAAAGAAGAAAACTCTTACAGAGTTTGCCCCTCTTTTATAATATATTAATAAACTAAATACATATTAAAATAAACAAGAGCTGCAGGCCAACATGCCTCTTACTTTCCTTCTGAGATCCTCTCCTTTATTGTTGATATCTGACATTTTTTGTGGATTGTTGTGGGGCTGGTTGGCCAATACTCAAGCTTACAGCATGTATAATAAACATACAGGATATGTATATATTATATATGTGTAGTGAGCTGTGTGTGTGCTCGTAATAGAGCAATGAACAGGATTCCCAGTGGAGGAAGTGGAGTCCAGCTGATGAGATTGTGACTGCCTGTCATTAACCGCTAACAGGAGAGGAGAGGAGCTAATGGAGCTCTCAACAACTAATGGACACATAAGCATTGATTATTTATTTATTTATCAATCCCATTTGTTTTCCTCTGGTGGTGCATCCAGCCCATAGCATAGCAGGGCTGACTCACTCAGTAAACAACTTTTTTTTTGTTGTTGTTTTTTTTACAAAAACTGGAGGCAGGGTGTCAACTATGACCTAAACATTAAACTTCATTTGTTAGGGTTTGTATTGAATTTGATCACAACAGTTATTTATTGTTACACACAAGGTAAGAACCGGATACACTGCATAGCTGTACAGATATAACCTCATACCCTCAGGAAAAACAGCTGTTAGTAATAGGGAAATGTAAATATGATATGAACATACAAGGAACAGCAATGGGATGTTTACTCGGTTAATTTTGGGCTTGGTTTTCTGTCTGTCTCGTTAAAAATCTGCTGAAATCAGTGTACTTTTGTTGCACAACAAATTCAGCACATAAAATTATTAAAAAATAGACAATTTATTTAATTTCTGCTAACAAGGGAAGGTTGTTTGACTCATCATTATCTTACCGCGTAGATAAAATACATATACAACACAACAGGTCCTGCTCAAGGGTACAATATACATTCATACAACCCTGTGCAATAAAAACTGATATCTCCTGTCTCAATCTTATTAAAACATACTGCTTGAAATGTTTAATATGCAGAGACAAGACAGAGAGACATTAACAAGGCGGGGCTTCACCATGGTGACAACAGGGGTCATGACCTCAAGGCACGCCACGCCTCGTTGGCCTTTATTGGAGAGCTGGGCAATTAGAGTAAAACAAGCGATAGAGCTGTGTGACGGAGATGTGTTGTTTCAATACGTGGGCGTGAATAGAGTCAGTATTGCTCTCCTTGTGTTTGCTGTGTGTAGATGTAGAATTTCAGCAAGACTTTAGTAAGAAGGCTTTGTTGTTGTTGTCGTCGTCCTCATCTCTATGAAACCAGATTGAGGATGACCTCTGAATGAGTGCAGCCAACTGAAACTGGGCCATATTGGACAGTTCAGCCTGCATGTGGCTTCACCCTCACATGATACAGTCACTCATTGTGTTGCTCTAAAAGCGACAAACTTTAGAAATGCAACAGATTTTCCGAAGGCACACCATCCTCCCTCTTCGTTCATTTTAGGTTCACAGCCTGAGTCGGATTTTTACTGGTCACAGTTGTCAAATATTTAGAGGAAACATTAGCTGATATCTCTAATACCTTCTCAACCATGACCTAAAATGGCATTAATGTTCTTTCTGTTTTCTCTGCTCTTCTCCAGGCTGTTCCTCCAAGTCATTCAAGCTGTACTCCCCTAAGGAGCCCCCCAACGGTAGCACTTTTCCCCCTTTCCACCCCGGCACCATGCTGGACAGAGACGTGGGGTGAGTTTTATGTCTGTTTTCTGTGTGTTTGCACTGGGTGAGGGGACGTCAGCTTTAGATCAACATCTGCTGTTGGCATTTGTATTCATGTATTTTTATAGCCGACTTCATCTGGCTTGAATATCATGACTTTTCTTCCTCACAACAGATGCGAGTTTGGAGCAAGGTTATAATAGTTAACTAAAACGAAAACTAAAATTTAAAATACATTGCAGTTATCTCAAACTAATAAAAACGAGAAAAGAAAACAAAAACGATAAGTAAACTGTATCTCGTGTTCAAAAAACTAACTGAAACTAACTAAAATTATAGACAAAATGTCCTTCGTTATCGTTTTTGACTATATTTATTAGCCTTTAGGATTGAAATTAATCCGACACATTTTCCCAACCAATTTTACAACAGTTTTCGGCAGTTGTCAACGCCGTACGGCACCATCATAGCAACATACTGGGTCGTGCTTGTTTACTGCACTGACTGGCTGTGCGCTGTACTGCGACGGAGCTTGTGTTGTTGGAACAATTTGGAAGAAATGGCTAAAGTTGGGAGGAGGCAGCAGTGTCCCGCCTCCCGCCTGTATGTTTATATTTTTTATATGAAGTTTATATTATTTTCTTGTGTTTAAGGCAGCAGCCAACAGTAAAGTATCAGCATTGACTGAGCAGTGAGCACTATGTTGAACTTGAAAATAAACCGTACAAAATACTTACTCTGGCCTTTTTGAATCCTGCACCTGACAATAAGGTATGAAAAAACTAAAACTAAACTAAAACTAAGCCTTTTTGCAAAAATCAGAACTAAATAAAAAAAATTAGAATGCCTGCTCTAAAACTAATTAAAACTGAACTGTTATGGGGAAAAAAGGTCAAAACTAATTAATACTAAACTATAATGACAAATCCAAAATTATTATAACCTTGGTTTGGAGCACATTAACAGGTTGTTTGTTAATCCATGAAGTATTTAAAAGTAGTTCCACTGATGGTGACAACAAGTTGGGCTGCATTACAAATGTGTATGAGGGATTGGTTGGATTTATTCTTCTCTCTAAAGTTGCCAAAAGGTAAAAGGAGGGGACCTTTATCTACAGGTGCTTGGAGGTGGCGCACAAACTTCTACAATAGAAGGCAATGTCCAAAAAACCAATACTAAATACAAACATTTATGTGAATTAGTCAAACGTGAAGGAAGGACTGCCTTTTAAACTGATTCAGTGAAGGTTTACTGAGTGTTTTAAACAGACTGTTTCCAGAGTTTTATATTCAGACTTTCTGAATAAGGGAAACAGGTGGGCAGTGGGTCTTATGAGGGCAAGATGGAAAAACGACACCGTGGTCACAGTGCAATACTAAAAACATATTTCAGCCAAAACAACAGAGTCCTTCACTATAACAAGGCTGCACTATCTGACATATGCAGACGAAAGACTATGAAGCAGTTTTGTTAAGAGCATATAAAATCGCTCTGCTCTCATGTTTAATCAATCATCACCCTTGATCACTTACTGACTGTGAGATTTCCTGAATCACATCTTCTGCATTCACACATCAGTTCACCATGACTTCTCATGGGAACTATATTTGGGGGCAAAAATCTGGGTTAAAAAAAACTGTTTCCAGGGGTGTGGAGCACATGTGAATAGAGTTTAGAGTTTTGGTGATATGGTCAATAAAGCATTGTATTTATCAGTTATTGACAGGGTGGCCCATTTGCCTCATATTGATCAGTCTTCCTCCGTGTAAACTACTAAAACAGAGTTATCAAAGTGAAAGTTGCTAATTTGTGTCCATTGTTTTATACTAAAACTGCTTTTCACTTGTATGGCTCAATTAGATTGGAGGGTCTAACCCTGCAGGGTTATGTTAAGGGCTTTGCAGCCTCTGTTGTTTTCAGTAACCAGAACAGCTACAGTTGGTGTCTGTGAGTGAACCTGAGAAGTGTTGTTATTTACTGTCTCCTTGTATCATCCAATTTGTGCCATGTTTGGCCTGCATCCCAGAGTCTGAAAGACAGAGGTGTTCTTGGACGAGGGCATATTATCACCATGGCTTAATGTAATAATCATTGTCTCTTGTTTCTACAGTCCCACCCCAATGTATCCTCCCACATATCTGGAGCCAGGAATAGGGTAAGACAACAGTATTATCCATTTATCTCCAACTATTTGAACAATGAAAAATAGTGACTAAAGTGAAAGTGACTAAAGTAAAGGGTGGATAAAGTTGTTCTCTTGATAGAGATTTTATAGTATGGCTTTATTAGTTTTTTTAAAACAGCACTAGAAGTCTGGGTTATTGCATCTTCATCTTTATGAAACCAAAAACGATTCTCTCACACTGCCCGCTTTTTTCCTGTCCCTCTTCAACCCTTCCATGATCGATCAGGAGGCACACACCATATGGCAACCAGACAGACTACAGAATATTTGAACTCAACAAACGACTACAGAACTGGACAGAGGTTGGTGGACACTTCTGAGTCAGACACACTGAGAATGAGGAAATATACTGATTTGTTTTTTTGTTTGTTTCTTTTGACTAACTGATGATTGTTTTCCCCTCTGTACCCTGTAGGAGTGTGATAACCTGTGGTGGGATGCATTTACTACAGAGTTCTTTGAAGACGACGCCATGTTGACAATTACTTTCTGTCTGGAGGATGGACCCAAACGCTACAGTAAGAACCAAAACAACAGGGCTATCTTTTTCCAGACTCTTTTAATCATCAGGCATACAGCCCTAAATGCAACACAGAACCCAACTTCTAGAGTTCTTCCTGTCTCATGCCCTTTTTGTTTTCTGTCTTTTAAAGCAATTGGCCGGACGTTGATTCCAAGGTACTTCAGAAGTATATTCGAGGGCGGTGCCACTGAGCTGTATTATGTGCTGAAACATCCCAAGGAGTCTTTCCACAATAACTTCGTCTCCCTCGACTGTGATCAGTGCACCATGGTCACCCAGAACGGAAAGCCCATGTTCACACAGGTGTGTCCGTCTCTCTTCACAGAGTCCTCAAACAGTATATAGAGATTGTAACTTGATTTCAGTCATTTCGTTGTTTGAGTTAGCAGGAAGTAAAGAGGGTTTTTAGAGCTCTACTTTATCCAAATCCACACCTTATTTCTTTCCTGAGATTCTGTGTTTTACGATGTGACCACATTTTGTCACCTTGGGTATCTGATTACATGGTGGATGATAAAAATTTCATCAATTCAACAGAAACCAAATAAACAATATTGATAAATTTTGACAAAATATTTATAAAAATGACCCCGCAGATATAATTTATTTTGGCTAATATTTATTCACTGACAGTATGAGGTTAGAAATTAGAGCAGATATGCTTTGTTCTCCAACTTAGGCGTGAATACTCACAAGCAACTTTCTAACTTATTTTCATATTTCGATTCTGTTTCTGAATCTTTTATGACACATGCAGAGATGTAACTATTGAAGGAGTGGGACTATCTCTGAAGTCAATTTTGGTTTAAAAACTGGAGTCTGAGTCTAAAATATGTATGTCTGATGTCTGTTTATTGTAATTGAAAGGAATCAACCATAATGAGACATTTAAACAGGATTGGATGAGCTGTGTTATCTTTTATTTTTATACATTTTTAATTCCATGTGCAAAAATAGTACAAAAGATATCTATTTCCACCTTTTTGTTAACTCTGTGACATCATGTGGTTTCTCCACTGCGGTTAAATATCTAGTCTGGGTAATATTTCCTGGTTGATCTGATTACAGGTGGGCAGCTGTAAGCACAGCTGTCAGCACACCTGTGCAGATCATGTTGCAAATGTTGCTGCAGTGATCAAACAGATCTAGGGTCTGTTTCTCTTGTTTCATTACTGCACAGCTGACAACCCACTCACAAGTCGCATTAACCGTCATGTGGTGACATTTTATAATTATACGTATTCGTTTATGTTCACTTTAGTGTAGAATATCAAAGTGCCATGAGAGGACAAGTAGGTATTCAGCTGATCTGCCTGTTTGTCATCCTCTGCCAAGGCCTCTTTCTCACCTCCGTCTCTTTGTTTGAGATACAATTAAACAGCAGCACAATTATTCCTAATCAAACAGATTAAAAAAAACTTTCTTGCATGTAGGTTAATAAAGAAAAGCAGCGGGTACTGACTCCTTAAAGCTGACTCTGTGCCGTCAGCTTTAGGCTTAAGCGCTGCATACTTGTGCCCTGGAATGTCCTCTTTGCCACATTCTCCACTTGTTTGTGCACAGGGAACAGTATCGACTGAATCTTAGAGTTTTATGTCAGAGTTTTAGCTGCTAGATGTTGAATAACAGCTGATCGTACTCCAGCTATAACAAAGGCAGACAGAGAGGAGACAACAGAAGAGATGGAATGCACAGCTGTTAAATCGGTGTAGGAAGAAGATGAGAAGCAGCGATACCAGAAATGTCGTAAATACAGAAAAATGTGATACTGCCTAGATCACCAATCACAAGGCATGCAGTCTATGTTGTTATAAAGCATTGTAACATTTTTGAGGAGGTGCACGGCAAACTGCACTTGTAGGGTTTTGCATGGGAAAAGGGCTTTCTTTGGTAATGGCAAGACTTGACTTAGTCATAAACCAGCTTAAATTCAGAACCTCTGTCTTCCTTTCCTTCCTTCCTTCCTTCCTTCCAACAAAAAACAACAAAGCCAAATAAAACATCTTTACATGTCCAGCAAATAAAATTACACATCAGTACATACATATTTGTTAACACAATGACCAGTTTGAGAATGACACTCAGAGCTTTTTAAGTCCCGCCCCTTCCTTACAAATCAGATACAGTAAAGAATTAAAATCATCCTCCTGTCAGGTGGTTGCAGGATACACTCAAAAGTCTTTCTTTAATTACTTGAAAGTAGGACTAGGTGATAAAACGATAACGATATATATCGAAAATGAGTTTCGCTCAATATTAATAAAAAACAGGCCTAACCCTTCAGCATGTAATTGTCACTTAATAACCACTGTACTGATCTTCTGTCTCTTCACCGCTGCAATCATGTGCCAAACAAAGAAAATGCATGAAAACATCGATGGTGGTGTGGAGGTATTTTTTGTTTTTTTGAGGTCGCACATGAAGCAGAGTAATGTGTACTGCGAATTATGTCAAGTACATGTTCTTGCAAAGTCGGGGAATACCACAAATCTTCTTCACGGCCTGAGGCAATGCCATGCACGTGAGTACAGACAGAGAGAAGATTGTACATATTGTTCACAGGTGTGTCTACTATGTGTGAGATTCATCTTTACGACCTGTCTCTTTTTAATGTCTCAGACCCAGGACCCACAGATGCTACCAATAAGCACTGTTAAATTCATTTAATATCGTGATATATATCGATAAACTTTTTCCTAACTCCACTCTCAACTACCTCCGAGTGAGTAAAACACACTTATGATATTCAACCCTACAGAATGATGCTGGATTTGGATGTTTTTGGACTTGAGTGAAAATAGAAAGGGCACTTCAGCATCAGACAACACCGCGAACTCATTCCCCGCAGTATACTGGCCATGCACCAGGCCCAGGACCCACAGATGCTGGACCAGCTGTCCAAAAACATAACAAGATGTGGCCTGTCCAACTCCACTCTCAACTACCTCCGAGTAAGTAAAGCACACTTATGATATTCAACCCTATTTTGATGTTTTTGGTCTTGAGTGAAAATAGAAAGGGTCAAGTCAAACTTAGAAGGTTGTTTGGTAAAGATGAAGGGCTGTAGTCACCACATGTTACAACTGGAAATGGTCAACAGAACAGTCTCTGTGTCAGGTGTGAAACTTTTGTACTGTCTTATTTTTCGCTTTTTTAAACACAGTTATTCAAAGGCTGGTTAGTCTGCTGTAGTCCACCCACTGTTTCAAATGTATCCCATTAACTTCCTTTTGAAGACAATAGATGCCTTTGGTTTTTATATGGTTTGAAAAAGACAGAAAGAGTAAACCTCCTGCATCATTTTGCTTCAGATTCAGTCTCTCTTAGTGAGCAGCCCCCTCACTTGAGATCCTGTTGTAAAGAGCAACGGTGGGCACTAGTTTTTGACACATAATTAACTGTTTTCTAACAATGTGATCAGGTAATTTTGAAGAGAGAAACACCTCTGCATGATTGGGATCATTTAAAGCACACTTTTTTCTAACATTTGAAGAAAGTTATTAGCAAGGAACAACTTGAATTTAAGCAGAACCTCTCCTTTTAGAACTCCCGTCCTGCTAATTACTTATAAACCTGTTCCTTGAAATTAAAAGACAGTCGTCCCGATATACAACTCTGTAAACACACACGAAGCCTGTCCATTGAATCAGTGCCGTGCCTGCTCTAGTCAATGCTCATGTTTCCACAAGGAGCACCACGCTGCATCTCCACTGAGTCCCAGAAGTGTCTCCTCACTCTGTTCCGCTAAAGATATGTGCTGAGTCTATTTTTGACAGAGTCCACATCCAGCATGCGTCAAGCTGAGCAGAGACAATCGACCTGGACTGGAAGGCAAACAGCATATGCCATCCAATCCATTTTAAGATAAAAACACTGTGCATGACTATATTCTCCTACCGGTGTATAAGATCATCTAGATAAGAAGAACTCACTGATAACTGATATATTATGAACACAAAACAGCCACACTGCCAATCCAAGATTGATTAATCACAACAAAATCTTTATCTCCTAGCTTTGTCTGCTGGTAACAACACATCACAGTAGATCATATAAACACATTTAAACCTGAACAATATAAAAATTATTACAAGGCTCACTGAGTAATGGTAAAGGCAAAAAGTCACAGAGTGATATCCAAAGGAACGTTAACCAACCGAGGAAAGTCTCAGTAATCTCATGTTTGTATGTTATTTCCTGTAGAGTCAGTCTAGCTGTTTTAGTGGTCCAGGGTAGGGCTGGGCGATAAACCGAAAATTTAGCGATACCGAAATGTACGACAATAATCAACGTCATTTTGCCGTTATCGGTATATTCTGTGTCATTAAAATAAATAAAAGGGAGTTTTGGATGTGTGTAGGTAGGCTATGGTCTCATGTCTCTTTAAGACGTTGTCCTACGTCAGAGTTATGACTCCACCCCATCCAGTCTGTAACAAAGAGGGAAAGACAGGTGAGGAGATGGAGGGGGTTCAAAAGTTGTAGCGGCTGAAGCGACGACTGAAATAGACGGAGCAAATGTGGGAGGGAGTGAGCAGTTTGTGGAGTAGTTATTGCCCATTTTTCGTTATCAAGGTGAACTGCTCAATATATCTTAATATAAATTTAAGGCCGTATCACTCAGCTCTAGTCCAGAGTGTGGGCCGTCAAAGGGTGCAGAATGGGAACGTGGCTCACACACTTCCTGAGGGTTTCAGGCATTACAATCCCATCTTGTGCTCCTTTAACAGCGAACTTTGGAAAAAGAGCTCTGAAAACCTGCACAAACTTTACTCTGTTGTTTATGTGTGAAATATTTGAAACTTTAGGGTGTTTTTTGTGGTATGGCACGGTAACATAGTTTTACAAGAGTGCTCTCCAGATGGTGGGAGATGAGACTTACAGTCTGTCTGTGTGCATCTGGAGGTCTTTATAGTTCAAACTCAGTGAAGGAGTAAAACAAAAATTACAGCTTTTTCTGCAACGAAAAGGAAGACACTGAAATAAAGCAGTGGGGAGAAACATGAAAACATGCAAATATACTGAAGTTCATTCTCAGTCCAGAAAAAAATAACGTAGAAAGCCAACAAACTTTTCTTCATCAAGTTTCCTGACGAGAGAACAAACAAACAGATGAAGTCATCAGCGCTGAACACCAACTGCTAATGATGCTGCTTCATCGATCGACTTATCTCTAATGATTGTAAACACCGTGTGATCTCTTGCTTCTCTGTTCCCTCCTCCAGCTGTGTGTGATACTGGAGCCCATGCAGGAGCTGATGTCCAGACACAAGACATACAGCCTCAGCCCCAGAGACTGCCTCAAGACCTGCCTCTTCCAGAAATGGCAAAGGATGGTGGCACCACCAGGTAGGCAAAAAAAAAAAAACGCACAGCTTACTAAATAAGACGACAGAAAAACGTGTTTTATAAACTGTATTTACTCTTTTTTTTGCAGCTGAGCCATCAAGACAAGCCCCAAACAAACGGCGGAAGCGTAAGATGTCGGGCGGCAGCACCATCAGTGGAGGAGGAGGAACTACTAATAACAACAACAACAAAAAGAAGAGCCCTGGCAGCGGCTTCCCTCTGTCCAGCCAAGTTCCAGTGAGTACATGGCTGCTATCTAGTGTCCGTACTCTGCTATTACACCTCCATTGATAACCTCTGTCCTTACAAATACAGTATAATGCCGTATTGATTCATTAGCTAACAACATCAAAATAGCATGTAGAGCAGGTCGCGGTGATGGCACGTTATATAACATCGGAATCAGTCAGGCTGTCCTTTTGATTCTGGGTTTTATTTGTGATTCATCAAAGTACAGTTCCTGGAAAGAGGTGGAGTCATGGCTGGAGGCAGAGTTCTGCATATTATGGAGTCCTTTGTAAATAGTGCCTGAACAAAGCGTGACAACCAGGGCTTGACACTAACGTTGTTCACAAGGATCACATACGCTTCTAAGTTGTAAAAGTAAGAAGCACACAAAGAACTTTAGTGGTGCAATTAAAATTGATCAATTAATGTGTGTTTTATTGGTCGACAGAAGTACTATTATATTTTAAATTAATTTTAGGTCATGGAAGCTGTTGGAAAAAAAGGTTCCAGATTTGCCTTTAAATTTAACACAAAAATATTCAGAGGGCAAATTAGGGAAATAAAGATGTTTGTCTTATGTCCGACCTTTCTACTATTAATCAAAATCAGTTTTAGGTCAATTGGTCACATAACATGGAAGCTTTTTTTTTAAGTACATTGTTACGACCTGGAAGAATGGTTAGGGGAAGATGGGAAGTAACAATAAATTAAAACCGGACAGGGGAGACGAAATGAAGAGTAGGAAACAGTAAATCAGGATAAGCGGGTAATTTATTAACAATCAAAATTGATAACAAAAAGATCAAACAACTAAAGGCGAGCACGAGGCCAATTATCAATCACGTTCTTCAAAAGAAACCAAAGTCCACTGCCAACTAATTAATCAAACAAAAGAAACACCACAGGCTCCTGCCACCGGAAAACCTGGTCTTCAAGAACACCAAAACGCACAAGATTGAAACACAGTCAACAAATCGGTAGATCCGAGAATCAGAGCAGCTGTGCCTTCTTATACCCGCCCCCACTCATCACACCAAGCAGGTTCACCTGACACACCTGGGAGAGACACACAGCAGAAGACGCAGGACACACCCACACTCGTAACATTCATCAACCGGTAATTTATTGACGGTCCCTTATTCAACACCCGACGTTGACAGCGAGGGTGCTGAGTAGATTTAATCACACTGCTGTTGCTATTCCCGGTTATGAAGAGTGAGAAGACACCGATAGATCCGCAGTGAATGTCTGTCGAAAATCCAACCTAAAACTAACTTCACTGCGGTATTTACATGAAAAAACATTTGTCACCTCAGCTGATTTTTTGCACATGTGCCCCTAAATACATTTTACAATTTGCAAACATCAATTTTTAGATGTATTTTTATTTTTTTGGAAACGGTCGAGCCCTGATAACAAAGCCCTTCAAATACAGACAACTTAACAGCTCATCAGGTGTGCAGTAAACTTTACAGACATTGACTGAATTAAAGTCAACGCACTGTGTTAAGAGTTAGCTCGATGTATCGGCCTTAAAGCTGTGTCGCACTGTTGGTTGGTTACAAAACTTTGTGAAAACTAAAATGCCAGGAAAAAGTTTCATTAAAAACTGCAATGACCCAAACAAAAAGTAATGACCACAATGATGTGGGAAAATGATCATACAGGACATTAAGCCCAGTTTCAGTTTAGAGGAAATATGACAGCTGAGTCGGTTTTTGACAGAAGGTATGTGGGAGATTTAGCTAAAGCTGAAGAAAGTTCTTTGCTTTAATGAGACAGAATCGGGGGTTTTGGCTAAATGGTGTGTGCAGTGAAAGCCAAATCCTGCTATTCAGCTGAAAAATGGCAACACAGAGAACCAGCGAGCTCAAAGCTGAGATGGTCATGTGAAATAAGCCATGAAAGTGGATCAAGACCCTTATACACAGGCTTCACAGCAAGAAGATTACTGGTTTAAATCCCTACCTGGGCAGAGGCCTGTCTGTGTTGAGTTTGCATGTTCTCCTCCATGCATGAGTGGACTTTCTCCGGATAATCTGGCTCCTCTCATGGTCCAAGAACATGCCTGTCAGGTTCATTGGTCACTCTAAATCACCAGTAGGGGTAAGCGTGGGTGCGTGAGAGACTGTCTCTGTATGTCAGCCCTGTGATAGGCTGGCAACTTGTCCAGAGTCTGAATGTACTTCTTTTTCGTGTCCCTGCAGGATGTAATGGTGGTGGGCGAGCCCACGCTGATGGGAGGGGAGTTTGGCGACGAAGACGAGCGTCTGATCACACGGCTCGAGAACACGCAGTTCGACGCGGCCAACGGCATCGATGACGAGGACAGCTTCAACAACTCTCCAGCGCTGGGCTCCAACTCACCCTGGAACAACAAAGCCCCCTCCAGTCAGGAGAGCAAGAGCGACAACCCCACCTCACAGGCATCGCAGTAGAGCCCAGAGCGCCCTCAACAGCGCAGTGCAACCTCAACACAAAACATCCCCTCCTCTCTCTGTCACTAATCCGACCCCAACCCACTCCAGCCTAACAACCTTGAGTGCAACAACAATCAGCATTCACCCCCAGGCAACACTATCAATCCAGATTCATCCTCAGTGTGTCTTAGACTTTGTCACTGAACTGAGGGAGCTTTACAAGTTTTCATCTGCGCTGTGGCTCCTTCAGATTTAGGCACCGTGACCCACCTCTTCTTCATCCCGATCCTCAGCTCGATCTGAAAATGTCCCATCTGCTCTCATTAATATTCACTTTGGACACTGATTCTGGGAGGCGTGATAGAGGAGGCATAGGGATGTAAACCCAAGGGAGAAGAACTGTGCTCACTTAAATGTTTATACTGAAGTCCATGTGTAGGTCAGAGGGGGGTGGAGCGCATGTCGACAGCAGGGGTGTCATGATGGTGGCAAGTTGCTTAGGGACCGCTTGTCCACCAGTCCTCTAAACACGGCTCTCAAGTCTGGTCTGTGTGTGTATGGGTGTGTTTGTGTGTGTGAGCGTGCGAGAGTGTGATATGTGTATGAAGAGGGAAGAGAGGCAGTCTGAGCTTGTTTGTGGCTTTGCTGAAGCGAACGGACCAGAATTTAGAGTCTGTGGATGAAACCATTGAACTTCAAACACTAGCAGGAGAGCTGAAATGCGGCACTAGGGAAACGTACACAGACATACACCAACAGATACACACAGCAACTAAACATAGAAGTTTGAAGGATTTCTAATCCCCTAGTGCCCGAGCCATCTCTGATTAGACTATAAAGGGTCTTTCAAACAGAGAGCATTTATAACACACACACACACACACGCTCACACAAACACTCAAACACACAGTAACACATTTTAAGAGTTTTTATACAGTATATATTTCCCTAGAATGTTTTTTAATTTGTATTAAACGCCTTCATTTCAATTGTTACTTTTTTATTTTCTACCAATACTGAAAAGCTACAGACCAAGGAGCAACACAGGACTTTTATCCCTCCCCCCTCTAAAATATATTGTTTTTATCTTTTATGTTTATAAAAGAGAAATAATTTAGTGTGGATGTTTTTATTTTGTCTTTTGTTCCTTTTTTTTGGAGATTTAAATTTTTGTGTATTTGTGCTTGTATATTTAAGGTAGTAGCAAAGTTCTGTCTGACTGTAATAAAATGTATTCTTACTTAGATTTACCTAAAGCCATCCCGATCTAATGTAAAGAAACAAAAATAGGAAAAATGAGAAAAAACACTCATGAATCTGTCCCTTCTATCTCCCAACCTGCTCTTTCCTCCTCCCTCTTTTTTAAAACTTGTGTAAATTAAATTACAAACACCCTGAGGGTACAATGACACCATGAAGAGATGATTCAGTTGATTTTTTTTTTTTTGGTATTTATTTTTTAAAGATTTAGAACTTAACTCATGTATTTCATCCATACTGGCAGTGATTTTTCTCATAATGTTCATCACAATTTATGTACTGCAACTCTAAACTTGATGTCAAGTGAATGTGCTCACTGGATTTTAGTTTACCAGAGAATCCATATCTGGCTAGGACTGAGTATTTTGTTCGATTACCTTCATTTTGTGCAGTGTTTCATGACAGACAGATCGACACCTTCAACCATCTGATCATCTTCTAAAGCCAGCTCAACATGAAGTTCAGACGGCATATTTGGTAGCAGTTCAGAGTCTGTGAAGTCTGACTAACACAGCTCTATTCATTTTGTTTATTTCTGTTTCTCGACAGTCAGTTTCAGCAACACTTCTGGTTGCGTTTGAATGGTGACTTGTACCTTCTCCAATCCCTGTAGAAAAATCATCGTTTGATATATATTTTTTGATTTGGTTAGTTTCTGCCCTTGATAATTAATGTATGGTACCAATAAAAAGATACATTTTCACTTTATCAGACCATGTTTGTGGTTATTTCAGATTGTAGTTACACAGCAAACAGGTCTAGTGATGTGTCTCTAAATGTTCAGACTTCATATCCATCCAGGCTGATGAAACAATGGACATCTCTGTTCAGTGTCAGCTTATTCATGTGGTCTGTACCGAGAGTGCATGAAGTGCAGCAGAGATGAGTTTATACCTCGGCAATCTTCCATTGCCACAGCTCTTTAGGAGATGCTGAGCCTTATTCCCCCTCATGACCACAGGAGTAAGCTCATCTCCCAGTCCTATGATTGTGCCAGTGTCATGAGAGGAGCCTCAGATGGTGTGCAGAAGAAGGTGAGCAATGTGTATGTGAATGCACACTATGTCCACCGCTATGCTTACCAGCTCAACATCATCTGTGACAGAAGTGTTTTCCCCTCAGCTCCTCCTCTCCTCTCCCTCTCTGCTCCAGACGCTCCTGCTCGCTCGTATCGTTTTGACTGAATTCAGATATAATGCAGATAAATACTTAAGATAATTACTTATAGCTATTGACTGATAATAAAAGCTTTTTTGTATACACACCACAAAAAAAGATTCTTCTTTAACAGAATCCTGCCTACCCCACCTTTAATTTAATATGCCGGATTTCTTTCGGTAACAACTTAAGAATCTCCCAAACTCTCTATTGTACATGTTAGCTCACTCACTGCCCTCCGCACACATGCATCCACCCACTAACTATCACACCCTTCAGACATTTTCTTTTAACCGCATGCCACACCGTACCTGCAGAGCTGTAAAAGCAGACACTGAGGCTCCTTGTCAGCTGAAGCTCTCAGGGTCCTCTGAAGTCAGAGAGAAGCTGTGACAACTGGGTGAAAACTTTCCTCATCACAGTGGAGTAGAGTCTTTTTACTGGTGCCAGCACATAGCGGACCTTACATGTATGTAATGATATAAATCAGAAGCCTTGATGTGATTTATGAATAGAGGTAAAGTCATTAGTAGGTTCAACAGAAATTCAAAATATATGGCAGCAGTTGTAGTAAAGAGGGCATCAGTCTAAGCAGATCTAAATGTCTTTATTAGCAGTTATCACTATCACTATGAAATTTAAATACATAGAGTGAATTGAACTCATCATAGCACAGTGCAATAACTCTTTTTTTGTATGTAGATGAACTGAGCTGTCCTCTGCAACAAAACAAGCACCACCTTCCAATCATGCGACTGTCTTTGTCGCACTCCTCACTCGAAATGTTAATGTTTTGCATCAATTTCAGGCTCTTGTTATCGTAATAACAAAACCTCAAAGATGATTTACAGGTTTTAGACACTAACAGGGTAGATGTTCAGAGAAACAGTGAAGGCAAGGTGGCAGAACTTGTGCAGGATGAAGTGTGCTGTGTTGTTGAAGAATTATGTGATGAGTTTGATTTTTATGAAAATGTACAGTACATGACGCTCATATTTCCTACAAGAAATTGCACAAATCACTTGAGACTGGTGTTTACATCGTCTTTTTTTTGCTCTCACTTGGCTTGTGTTAAAATATGAGGCACGATCACTTCACAATAAAATGTTTTTACTTCAAATTACTATAACTCACTGTAATTCAGAGTGATTGAGGAAGATTTTTATTTATTCAAAACAAAAGACTGCTTGGCACAAAGATTTATTCTTTATTCTTCATATTCATGTGGCACAAGAGCAGATTAATCTCAGTAAATTAGACTTTAATGGCCTTTACAGGGAAATGAGGCTTTAAGTCTTTGCAGAGATATGTGGCTAATGTTGTCAGAAGTTGAGATAAGCTTAATACTCTAGTGTGTAATCTAGTTGTATAAAAACACGCTCTTTCAGAGGTGATTAGACACGGTGTTCTGCAATATAAAATTCTCATGCCTATCTAGATTCTGATACTGTCAAAAAGTCGTGTTTTGCTGGTCCACGATCATCACTAAAAAGTAAATTTAGTATCAGGGAAACGCAGGAGCGAGGACTTTAAAGTTAAGGTCCTTGTTAATTTTCAGCGCGTTTGTGTGAATGTTCAATGGAGACTTTTTGTGTGTCTCTTAATGTTCTTTTTCACTCTTCAGCAGCTATTCTACGCTTCCGTGTCTCTCTCATTATACTCTGATTCCCCTGCTCCTCTCTTGTCTCATCTACTTTTCTAATGACACAGTAAAAGCAAAGCTCATCTCATTTATCCCTGAAATTGAGTCCCTATATGTAGTCTTTACTCGAGATATTGGCCCCTGGATCGTAAAGTTAATTTACCGAGTAGCACTTCAGGTCAAAACATAGAGGAATCAACTGTTGTTTTAAATTGGAAACAAACCATTGTGCAATTTATTACTTGGTGCAGAGAAATGGGTCTATCACAGAGGGTTAGACTCTTTATCACAAATGCTGATCAATAATCTCCTGTAATTTGCAGAGCAATTTTGTATTTTGCATCCCACTTATCAGTCCAATTTCCTTTTTGTGGTTCATCAGAAGTGTGAGATTGCAAGAAAACTACAAATACAACCGTGTTTTGTGCAAAAATGACTTTTTGAAGAATCCAATCCAAACCAGTTGAATCCACTTCCCTTGTAGAGCACATTTGAACAAACGAAATTGTCTGCACATGAAGACAAAAAGAGGAAACAACATCGAACAAAGAAACACACATAAGAGACAGTAAAACACTTACAAGGGTAAAAGAATAAAACAAAATCAACACAAAATCACAGCAACCACACAACTCTCATGCTGTAAAATCAGGAAGGCTACCTCCTTCTCTGAATACACCATTGTGTTAAGGGACAAGTAGAAATCAGGTTATCTCCTTCTAACCATGTGATTCAAACCAGCAACATGTGACTAGATATCAGTGAGAGACAAGACTACTTCTTCATGCTTACTTACAAGAATAAAGTCGAAGTAAAATCATTACTTATGACAATGAAGTCATAATCAACTACTACTACTACTGCTACTACACTTGTGGTGCTGATGTGACAAAAGATGAAGTATCTCCTTGTTTGAGAAACATATGGAAGTACATTTTCACAAAATGCTCCATGGCTCTCATTTCAACAACTGTCATCTTAAAGGGATATTCCGGCATAAAAATAATTTAGGGTCAAACACACCGAAACACTGAGTTCGACACCCCCTCGAGAGATGACTGTTGCCAGCTGCTTGCTTCTCTAGTTATACCAGCTTTAGTTACGCCCGCAGGATAGTGATACACAGCGGTCTGAGGAGCCAGAAACAAACCTCAACCAAAACACCACTCTATAGCCACAAATAATGCTCAGAACAGCACCTAACTTCATCAACAGTACATATAGGGTCCCAGCCATAGAACTAGCCACCAACCATCTTTTTGGCTTTGCCTAATTTCTTGAGCAAAGAGATTAAACATAACTCACCCACTCTCCTCCAGCAGCCGCTCGGTCTGATTGCATTTTCATAAAGAACTTATCATAAATGTTGTTCCTTGAGCTGCGTCACCCTGCAGCAGGCCATAATGGACTGTCCTGAGGTCCCGCTACAAACGAGAGGCTGCTGGAAGAGAGTAGGTGAGTTGTGTTTAGTCTCTTTGCGAAAGAAATGAGGCAAGTTAAAAAGATATTTGTTGGCTAGTTTCTATGGCTGGGACCCTATATGTACTGTTGATGAAGTTAGGTGCTGTTCTGAGTGTTATTTGTGGCTATAGAGTGGCTTTTTGGTTGAGGTTTGTTTATGGCTCCTCAGACCACTGTGTATTGCTATCCTGCGGGCGTAACTAAAGCTGGTATAACTAGAGAAGCAAGTAGTCGGCAACATTCATCTCTCGAAAGGGAGTCAAACTCGGTGTTATGGTGTGTTTGACCCTAAATTAATTTTACGCCTGAATATCCCTTTAAACAGCAGGTTAGACTATAGGGACTTTCTTCTGGCTTTACTTTCGTAAATAATGATTTTATTACGACTTTATTCTCGTCAGTGATGACTTTATTCTCGTAAATTCATGACTTGAATCTCGAAGTCTTAATTTTTTTCTTAATGTGGCCCCAACACTCCGTCGTAAAATATTTGTCCCAATTCCGAGTTAATAATTTGTCCATCACTTAATCCGGAGAGGAGTAGACCGAGTATGTGCCCGGCACTAGGACCCTGAAGAGCAGCAGTAGGGTGTTGATAGCAGTATGCTAACACAGGATAGTGCTGTCACAAGAATCCATGTCCTGTATTTACGACATAAATTTAAGTACTATTATTGAGGTAAGAAAAAGACACACTCCTCACTTAAGCTCATTTACCTTGATGTGTTACAGGAAACATGTCAATACTTACACTCCGGTATAAGTTAGCTTACACTAAAGAAACGTTATCGCACTTCTCTGTGTCAGGCATTAGCCAGATATGCTAGCGTTAGCCGAATATTTCTGTAAGATTTTCGTCAAAGAGCCAGCTGCCAGCTCACGAAGTGCTCCATAAACAGAGATAGCGATAACGGGGGTGCTTTCGATGTGAAGTGGTTCATTTTAGCCTTTGAGTGTTATTAGTTAAGCCCAGTTAGCTGATGGTGGTCAGTTAGTTCATGTTAGCTTTAAAGCTAGCAGCCCAACCCAACCTGGACTGAGATTAGAAACAGAGCTGTCCTCCTCATCTCTTTTGATGTCGTTTATCATAAGTTTTAACTTGTGTCAGTGTAAAACAACCATACCAGAACAGTGATGTGCTGGTAAATCAGTTAACTCTACGTTAACTATTAAACTGTGTAAAGTTTTCTTTGACTTATTGTAGTTTTTCATTCATGTATTATAGTTTAGTGGTTTACTATGAAATACAGAACACCATTTACCATCAGTAAGCCAAAAGAAGAGTAGAAACCTCAGTGATTGAAGCTGTTTTATCTATGTAAAGGTGTTCTTATCTAGATTACTTTATCTGTTTCTTCAGACTTAGTCATGTCTCAGGTGGAGAAGAAAGCAGGGCTGCTGCGGAGGACCTCATCCTCCAAGAAACCCCTGAAAGAGAAGGTGGTGCTGATGTATGATGAGATTTTTGCGGTAAGTATTACAGTGAAAGACTGCTTTTTACTGAACATTGAAGAGTAATTTGAGTAACAGTAAGTTTAAACCAAGTTCTGCCCTTTTTTATTGAATTAGAAAGAGGATCCAGCCAAAAACAACCCTCGCTTCTGGGATGAACTGTTTCTCATGAAGGTAAAGTGAATGGGACTTGACGAAGTTACACACTGTTGGTTTGAAATGGTCTCTTGTTCTGTGAAGTAAAAACTGTATCGTACTGCAGAAACAGTAAAGCTAAAAGAGACATATAGTGGCTATAAAAAGTCTGCACACCCCCATTCGACTGCCTGGTTTTAGTGATGTAAGAAAATGACAGAAAGATAAATATTTTCACAACTTTTTCCACCTTTAATGTGACCTATAACCTGAACAACACAATTGAAAAACAAACTGAAACCTTTAAGGGGAAAAATAAACAATAGAAAAGTTAAAATAACCTGGTTGCATAAATGTGCACACCCTTAAATGAATACTTTGTTGCCGCACCTTAGTCTTTTATTACAGCACTCTTACAAGTTACTGCATCTGTGCGGTCTTTGTGTCTCTTGGATGTTTTGTTGTAAGGCGTTGCGCTAGAGAAAGCGGGCTGAATGGTCGGCTGTTTCAGCTGCACAGACGCCATGGGCTCCTTGCTCTGCTTGGGGTTTGTAACCTTTTGCGTTGCGCATGCTCTGCTGCATGGCACTGCTTCAGGTGGTGAAAAAGATTTGAGGTATTCCCCAACCTTGTGAGAACATGTACTCGAGATAATCTGCAGTGCACATTACTCTGCTTCATGTCCGACCTCAAAAAAACAAAAATACCTCCACACCACCGACGTTTTCGTGCCAATGTTGTAGACGACGTCGTCATCTGTTGAGCCTTCATCTGCATTTCTGCCGGGGGTAGCTCTCATTTTCTTTTTTCTCACTGACTAATTCAGCACATGATTGGCTCACCATGAATTGGACCCGTAGCAACTCCCCAAACATGGTACATTGCTGGCTATTAAAAAGGATATTGACCATGTTTCATTTTGATATTGAGGGAAATTAATTTTCGATATTTATATATCGTTATTGTTTTATCGCACAGCCCTAGCTGTGGTACGTTAGAGGATTATCAATTCATCCATACATACCAACAATGTTATATTTATGTAGAGCTAGCAGGAATGTGTGTTTACATCGATAAGAGGCCCCCTGTTCAACGTGTAGAAAAGCAAGATCGAGGCCTCATCCCCAAAAAATTGACCTCACAACTTGAAATCTCACAATCTGCAGTTTTATATTGCAACACAAAGGGAAAAATTGTGGTAAAGCTATGTGCTTGTAGACTTTTGAAACTGCTCCAGGAGGTTATAGTAAACTGTCTTTCATTACATTCCTATAATTCTTATGCCTGATTTTGCCTCATGTTGTAAATTTCCTGAGGGAACCTTCTAGAAAGGATCAATAAAGTTCTGTCTAATCTAATCTGATCTCTAATATAACCGTACAGTCTTCTCCTATCTGTCCGCCATGCTACAGGTGAACCTGGAGTACCTGGAGTCCAAGTTGGAGAGTGTTGACGGGGAGGAGGTCCAGCGGATCCAGGACAACATCAACTCTCTGTTCCACCACTGTGTTCAGGCACTGGGAGAGGAACACCAGATCAAAGTGGTCAATGCCCTGCAGGTAGAGCTATGCAATGAATTAATTTTCTTGCTTAAACCAATTGTGAGGATAAGAATGATATTTAAATGAGACTATTTTTCAGTCTTACTTGGATTATTAATTCTTGCAACTGCCAGCGTCTGGAGTTCATTGTTACACAAGAGTTATTTTATGTTCACATGAATGTAAATATCAAAGCAGTGCGAAAAGTAATTGGTTAGTTCCTATGAAATACCATCAATAGTCTAGAAGTGGTTCAATTTTTAAACCTACTACATGGAGCAAGCCATTATCATCTTTAAAGTTTGTCTCAAGTCTGTGACAACTGAAAGCAGCAGTACAGCTCAAAGAAGAAACTGTTAGAAAAGATAGGTTTCTAAAATCTGCAGGTTTACACAGAAGCTAGTTCTTCAAGTTCAAATCTCCATGTGCAAATATACACAGTCTGCTTGGCAACGACAAGTGAAAAACGGGGTGAGATTCAGGCAGTTAATACTATTAAAGAAATCCTCATAAGTTCTAAAAGAGGGTCTATTGTAAGAAATACTTTGTGGGCCATAACACCCTGATCCTAAATAGTCATCAAAACTTTTGAAGGATCACGTTTCCCTAATAGAGGTGACCACAGCTCATGTTGAAAACCCAGTGCAATCTTACAAATATTACAATACTTGAAAGAGTCTGGCCTGGGAGGGTTGACCGACAATAAAAAAAATTGCCAAAAGGACTTTTAGTTTTTTTCTGGCAGTCATTTTGGTCCTTTGCTTTCCTCCTCAGACTCTCTGTGCACTTTTCCGAGGGGTTCACCAGAAGAACAAATCTGCTTCTGGCTTTGACATCATCAACATGTTGATGGGGTTCGACAAAGCTGAACAAAGAATGAAGGTGTGTGTTTACATTTTCTATAATCAGGGAAGAAGAGAGACACATGGTTTGGATTCATGTCATGTATAATGTGTGTTATTGTTTTTGTGTCCTGTAGGACCTGATGGAGAGACTGGACAGCCTTCTCTGTGGAGATGGGTCAGAGAGTCTGAAGAGCTTGTGTCTTACGCTGCTGCTGTGTCTTGTGACGGTGAGAAAGTCGATAACAAACAGGAACTTCTAGTGTAATGTGAAAGACTTCGGGGAATGCTAATTGTGAATTATTTGTTTGCAGGTAACAGATAACATCAGTCAAAACACCATACTGGAGTATGTTATGATCAACAGCATCTTTGAAGCCATTTTGCAGGTGCGTGATATGCAAAAGGCTGTGACTAAAATTAGAAAGTGAATCTTATTTTTTACTAAATTCAGGAATCTCTGCCTTATCTCCTCCTCAGATTCTGTCAGATGTGTCCAGTAGAGGGCAGCATGGCTATGATGCTGTGGTTCTCCTGGCCTTGCTGGTCAACTACAGGAAATATGAGGTATGGGTTCAGATACTCAGATGATGCTGTAGGCCATTCAACAGAGGTGAACACAATAAAAACAGCACCTGAAGGTTGTTTTAGAGCCGGATGGTTGGTATGGGTTTTGTAAACCAGCTTAGTGAGTATTGTTCCTTGAATATGTAAAAATCAAAAATGTCTGTAGAAAAAACAGATGCATCCACAAACACTCTAGAGGGATATTCCGGCATAAAATTAATTTAGGGTCAACCACACTGAAACACCAAGTTAGATACCCCCTTGAGAGATGAACGTTGCCGTCATCAAACGTCTTTTTAGCTTTGCCTCGTTTCTTTAGTAAAGGGACCAAATACAACTCACCCACTCTCCTCCAGCAGCTGCTTGTTTGTGGGGGGAGTCCCGATGAGTCGATCACGGAGTGCAGTGGATCATTTCATGTCATAATAATTTTTTCACTGCAGACGTGCTAGTTCTTCTGCCTCAGCGTCTCGATCTGATTGCATTTCCATGGAGTAATAATCTTAAATGTTCTTCCTTGAGCTGCGGAACTCTGCTGCACTTGGTGATCGACTTGTCAGGGCTGCCCCACAAACAAGCAGCTGCTGGAGGAGAGTGGGTGAGCTGTGTTTGGTCTCTGTGCTGAAGAAACCAGGCAAAGCTAAAAAGATGTTTGGTGGCTAATACTATGGCTGGGACTCTATATGTACGGTCAATCCAGGAAGTGACCAGGGAGTGAACTAAAATAGCAGAAGAGGTTGGAGTGAGAGGTGGAGGAAGGCAGAACTTTGACAAAACTTTTGTTCCATATTTCATAGTACAGCTCAAAGTTGCTGCTTCAGTCTTCATTGTGTAGTTTTTGCTGCTTAGAGTTGTGCAGGTTGAGCTGTCAGAACTTGAAGCTGTTTTTTGTGTTAGAGTTTTCATTATTGAATCGTTACTGTTTAAGAAATACTCCCTATTGAGTCATTGTCATTGCTGTTCTCATCGTGGATGAAGGAGAATTTGAGTAAACTCTAGAGTTTAGTGTTTGTAACAAATTACTGAGAGTTTCTAATGTCACTGATGTGTGTTTTTCAGTCTGTGAACCCGTACATAGTAAAGCTCTCCATTGTGGATGATGAGCCAACACTTGATGTAAGTATGAAACAGTAGAATAAGCGATAACAGACAGGTTATCAAAGTTTGGACTAAAACTCTGGATGCTTTCTTCCAGGGGATGGGGATGGTTGTCCACCAAGCTCTGACAGAATATAACAGGTAAGATTTAAAAATGTCCAAGCATCCAAGACGTGTTTTTATTGACTAAGTACATGGTGAGCTAAGGACACAGGCGTCATCAGTTTAGTTTGATGTCTATTTCCATTCTCCTGAATAAAACAACAAAAACGTTTTATTCTTTGGGTTATTTATATCTGACATTTTTCTTTGTCTGTCAGTAATGTTTTTTTTTTTGGATGAGGCAGAGGTCTGAAAATTAAAATGCTGTTTGTGAAGCCTGCATGTGTCGACAGATGCATCAAAGTGATGGATGATGTCTCTGTACAGTTCATTGTTTTTGTGTATAAACCGAATACTGCTTAGATAATAAATAGCAGTGGGTTGAAGGAGATGTTAGGGAAGTGTGTGTTAGAGTACAAGTGCTATGTTTAAGTGGAATCATATATCTCTGTCAGAGCTGTTGTACAGCCCTGTCAGTTAATTTCCCGTTTCCTTCATTTTTTAATTACTTAAGTCTTTCTTTACTCGACCTTTTAGGCAGTACAAAGACAAAGAGGAGGAGAACCAAGGTGGCTTCTTCTCGACCCTCACTAGTATGGTAAGATCTTACTTTATATTATTATGATAGACATTTTTTAAGATTGCTTTACCCTAAATAACATTCATGTGCCACATTTGATGAAATGCTTTTTAAAGAGCTGATAAGAGATCTTTCTGCTTACAGGTGGGAAGCATGTTCATCGCTGACGCTGACGAGAAACTCTCTGTACAGTAAGTATAACATCATAAACGTTTAAGTCGTAAGCCAGACTAAATTGGATAGCATGGATGAGAAAGTCCGTTACACCTGTGAGCTTAGTCTGTCTTCTGTTTAGGGCTGTAAAGTCCTAGTCATCTGGTTCACTTATTGGTCGATGCGTGCTGAGTCGACCAAAATTCTAAATGGTCAACTCGATTTTTTCCGCGTCAATTTACAGTCTATGGTTAATTTCATCAGGAGAAACGTACCAAGTGATAATGGTGATGTTTTCAGAGCACCCCTGTCTCAGAACACTCCGCTTGTTTTCACCATTTTGGGTTTGCCCGACCCATTGGAGACCGGCTGGAGACAGGAAGATTGAAGAGCGTCCACGTCAATAAACATCCGGTGGTTTGCCGAATATAGCATTTGTGTTTAGTTGCCTTCTTGTGCTGATATCAGTATATTTTCACCCCGCCGAGCTGTGTTGTTGCCTGTCACAGAAGAGTTTGCCGTCAGAGATGTAAACCCCCCACCCTCCCGTTTTTTTGGTCGAAAATTCCAGGGCTTTAGTCGACCAAGAATTTCTTTGTTCTTCTTCTGTCTGATTGTTTCGGTTACAAATCTTTATGTAATTGAACATATATTCTGTTAGAATAAACAGCAACACTTCCTGTACAGCATTAATCGCACACCATACAGTCTACATCATCTTTATTCATCAGTTAAATAGAAATTATAGGTTGAGTTTAAGTCTCTTGCTTGAAGCTGTGATTACATGATTGCGAACTCAAATGTGATTTGCTAAAGGCAAAGCTTTGTCGTGTGTTGAGGACAATATTTAGTCACATAATTGATTAACAGGTTGAGGTTGTTACCAGGTTAAATCCAAGTCCCGCTCCTCTGCGCTCTGTTTTGTGGATATGGAGGTTCACAGGATTGTGTCTGTGTGGCCTGCGGCTGCTTAGGATGAAACCATGTTCACAAAAATATCGAAGCATCAAAACTTTGATCACAGCTCCACTTTAGATTCTGTGACATATTACTGAAAAAAAGAACTGTAGGTGAAAATCGAATGTAAGTAATTTGAGATATGATGTATTGGTTGTTATGCAGCAGTTAATGAAACAGAAAATTAAAAGAGTGACCTGCTGAAGCGATTGCTGATAAACTTTCGACACCAGACTGCCCCTCCACTTTTTCCTCAAGTGTGTCTGCATCACAGCATGAAGCGTCTTTCTGCCTGGAGTTTTGGAGATTTAAAATGAGTAAATTGAGTCTGACCATAAACTTTCTTTTCTCTCAAGAACAAATGAGGCGATCCTGTTGGCACTTTATGAAGCTGTGCACCTGAATCGCAACTTCATCACTGTGTTGGCTCAGGTAAGATTTATTACCTTTTCTCTTCCCCTACTAAAGGACTCAGCCTTTATTTTCAAGTCATAAAAATGCAACTATCCAATGTTGATGTTCGTTTGTTGTTGTTTTTTTAACCTTACTAGGAGAGACTCAGAAGTGTCCCCAAATTAGTCTTAGGGTTTGTAGAGTCCAAAAGGGTCTGAAAACTACAGCAGGACATTTTCAAGAGCTTTTTGCCTCGAGAATACCCTTACATGTTGAACTTTTAGTCTTTTTACACGTATCTCAAAGCTCTTTGTATAAAAAAAACCTTAGCCCATTTTTCTTTTTACCTTTGGCGTCTTCAGGTCGCATCTTTTCCATCCTCCATCCTCTAATCAAGTGCTGTGATTTATATGTGATAATATTGGGGAAAAATGTTTTGAATATTTTTTATTGTGAAGCAAACAGTGTGTCAAAAATACATCCATCTTTGGTTAATAAAATGCTCCAAAGCTTTGTAGCATAAATAACAAATGTGTATTAGTGAGGAGAAAAAGGTTACCTCTTCTCTGACCATGTATAAAAGTAGATGTTAAACCTCTAAAATTACTAAGTTTTCACACTTCTGTTTGTGCTTTTATCTAAAACTGTGACTCAAAATGAAAATCATGTGTCCGCCATCGTAAACTTGACTCTGTCTCTTTCTGTACGAGTTCCTTTTGAAAACTCAACCTCAGTACATCAGTCGTCCTGCCCCGCTATCCTTAGAGAAATGAAAAATCTGAGGTAGCTTCCACTCTAAAGCCACTGAACCACCGAGCAGCTTTTAAATAAATGAGCAGTGGTTATTAATGCACCCATCTGTGTCCATGTTTTTCTCTGAGACCTCATGTGACCCTGTCCAGCCTGTGCTTTTACAAGAAACAACTTTTTACTATTAATGACTGAACATGTGTATATTTGCTGTTTTAACAGAGCCACCCTGAGATCAACATCCCCACCACGCCCACGACCCCGACTCCAACCACCCCCACAACACCGCTTGGTACAACACCGCCTTCACTAGACAGTAAGTTTAACACTTTGTCCGTTTTACATTTCGAGACTTTAAAGTCCCACTACAATCGTATTTTTTTACTAATTAAAGTGTTCTCAGTGGTCTTAAATTGTGATTAGTTTTTAGCCAAAATCACGTTACTTGTGTCATTTTTAAGGGTTTTCCTTCTGCAGAGCTCTAGTCGCCTCTGAGTTGTGGACAGACAGCGCTGCTCTGCACACTCATCTTAGTGCTAGCTTGTAGGCTAACATTGTCGGTGTAGTAGAAGTAGCAGGTGACATAAGAGCTATCCAGCTCTCAGACACTAATGTCTTTAGTAAATATCATGATTAGCTTTCTTACAAGCATTGCAATCCGCTCTCCTCCTCTCATCCTCTCTATTTCTCCGAGCCTGGCCTGCATGGCGGGGCTCTGAGGGTGGAGCTTGGATTTGCTATGTAGGAAATCTCCCTGTATCTAAACCTGCCGTTTGGGTCTGCCAGAGATTCACAACTATTTGAATGAAGAAATACTAAGAAATGCAATTTCACACTTAGTTCTCTCATGATATGCCCTATAGCATCAGAAAAATGCCATATGAACATGTAAAGAACAAGAAAAACATGATTTTCATCAGAGTGGATCTTTAAGAAACTTTGTACTAGATTCTTCCCAGTTACTCTGTACTTGTTTCAACTCTGCTCTTCAGCTTCCCTGCTGATTCATTACTTGTTCAGAGACTGATAGCTGGTATTTGGGAGTGATTTGCATTGAGAGTAAAATGAAAAACTTTATGCCAAAACATAGAATTTAAAATATGATAAACTCCAACTCAAAACTTTGCATAAATACCTTTTAACAAACCTTTATTCAAAACCAAAACCTTCAGTTAAGAGTTAACCAGTTTCACATACAGAACAGTTGTACGCACATGAACAAGACTCATCTGGGGTAAAAGTTTTGCAAGATTTCGCAAAAAATCCATTTTTTTCCATCCATGTCCCTTCAGGGACTCCGTACATGATGACACCTTCCTGAGTTTTTATTTCTATCTCTTTGAATCTCTGCACAAGTGTGTCACAGCAGAGTTCTTCAAAGGTAGATGTTACCAGCATGTTCGAAATCAAGTCATTCGGCATGCACACACACTGTATCTGTTAAAAGGTGCATGTTTCTATCTTGGGCTTGCTTTAGACCTGAGAGCCATTTTCTGTATTAAATATTAACCCACGGCTTTAAATACAGATGAATGTTTGACATGCAGCCTGCATTAGGCCTTATCATGGGAGCTGCAGCTCTTAGAGGACTGTGTACTCGGATCAGAAGCGCTCGCACACGTGTATGTGAGCACATCAGGGGTATACTCTCCCTTCCACAGCGCAGCCCCATGCGATCATTTGTTTACTGACAGGGTGGAAACGTTCTGATCAGAGCGAGAAACGAACAAAAGTGGTTCAGAGGTCATGAAGGGGCAATGAAGTCGACTGCCTCATCTTTTATCCATGGAACAAGCTGTATCTTTAAGCAAGCAGAGATTTTTTTTAATGGATGAAGCAGCTGGTATTCAAAAGACAGCAACGACAGTAGCTAGTAGTACTGGGACAAAGAAATCACTTTTTTAAATGTTATTTGCCCGAATGAGCGTTCCCTCCTCCAAGGAAGGGCAACAGCGCTTCTTCTGCTGTTTTTGACAGTTAGCTTTGAGTTTACGCTCAGGTAACTGGGACATTATTATTTATTCAATAACTCACTGAACAGTTTTGTGGCTCAGACATCGGTGTCTTTCTTTGTACTTCATACATGTGTATTCAGCGTGGGAGAAAATATCGGGTAGGGATTGTGCTTGATCTGAGTTTTCTTTGCTCGGTAGTGATGAACAACCCTGAGCTGCCCCTGGACCCAAACCTGCAGACTGGTAACCTTCTGATCACCTTTCTCAAATACGCCTCCATCGTGATGCAGGACACTAAAGGTAATCATCTGCATCCTCTGCCTCTCTGTCTCTGTCATTCACTTCCCAATTACTATTCATCAGTCCACTTCTCTCGTCTTACAGTTTTCTCACGTCGTTTTATAAGACAACAGTGACAAAAAAGCTGTCCTCTTCGATCCTACAATCTTTAATGCACTTTTTATCACACATACCTAAACTTATTCTGATCACAAAACAGCAGAAGGAAGAAAAAAGTTATAAGTGTTATAAATGTTCGTTTCCAGATGAACATCGTCTCAACAGCGCCAGACTGTGCCTAATCATCCTCACCTGCATAGCCGAGGTAAGAGAAGAGGGACACTGCAAGGACATTTCACAAACACAGCTGGACAGTTTTCTGACTACACATCTGTGTGTCTATGTGTGTGTGTGTGTGTTATAGGACCAGTACGCTGATGCCTTTCTTCATGATGACAATATGAACTTCAGAGTCAATCTGCACAAAATGGTGAGTGAAAACTATGAACGGTTGTTTTTTGTTCATTATTTCTGTACAGATTATTCAACAGGAAGCTTCTCTCAGGGTTCAGAGTCTTGTCCAGTGATGCTAAAGCACATTGACTTGGGATGGAACCGCCTGGCTGAGAAATGACTGTCTCTAACACTGAGAACATATCTCTTGTTTAATGATGTTTTATGGGATATTTGACATTGGTTTATAATACTTAGTAACGGCTCAAAGTGTGTAATGTATTTAATATCTGTGTTTGTTTTTTTTTTCAGCCCATGAGACACAGAAAGAAAGCAGTGGACAAGAACATCCCTTCAAGGCCGCTGGTGTGTGCGGTCCTAGGTACGAAGAGCATTTGTTTACGTACTCAAACCAGCTGTTACTTTGATGTTTCATATTTTTTAAGGTTATTTAAGAGGCTGTCAATTTCAATGTACCATCTGATTTGATGCAACAGCTACTAACAAGTTGTTAGTGGGGACTGGATTACTCTCCCGTCTGCAACCACAGCTCTTCAGTTATATTCAGTGCTGAAAGGGAGGAATTAAGAGACATTTAAATTAGTTTAATTGTAGTTTTGTTGTCTGATCTCATACTTGTGTCTTCTCTTTTTCCTCCACCTTCTTGCTTCTTGTTTAGATCTGATGGTAGAATTCATTGTCACACACATGATGAAGGATTTCCCCATGGATTTATACTTGTAAGAACACACTCACAGTTTTCAGTCTGATCTTCATCCAGCTCAAGCCCAACATAATAACTGCTTCTGTGTGTTTACTTCCATTACAGGCGCTGTGTGCAAATAATCCACAAGCTGCTGTGCTACCAGAAAAAGTGCAGAATCCGGTTACACTACACCTGGAGAGAGCTGTGGTCAGGTTAGGATCCCTCACTGGTCTTTGTTAATCTGTTTTAAAATACTGAGCTGGTAGGGATGATAGGATGATAACAGTCTTAAAGAGAGGACAGAGAGGTCTTCAACAATGATTCCAAACTCAGAATAGTAGGGAGGGATGTAACTTAATATGGCAAGTAGTTCTACAGGTGAGGATCGGCTACTGCAAAGGTTTGATCGCCCCTGGTTTTGAGGTGAGTTTTTGGCCTGTGCAGGAGCAGCTGATTGGTTGACTCAAGTGCTCTACCTGGACTGTCATGTAGGGATGGGCGATATGGGCTAAAAATTGATCACGATAAGATTTGCCATTCTGGTGATAATGATAAAAATAATATATTTCCAATCTATATTTTTGACTCATTTTGTCTTTAGAACACCAGTTGAAATAGTCAAATAAGATACTTAACCACAAGTTTGAGTGGTAGGTTATGGAGGAAACTATTGACATCAAACTAGTCTCAAATGTGAAAACATTTTCAACATTTGTTGAAAACTCTTATTGCACAGAGTGAACAGCAGCAGATCCACAGTCCGATGTCAGGCATACCTAAATGAAATCATCTCAGCCCCAGTCTTGAAGGAAATCCCTCATGTGGAGCCTCGTTCAGTAATGAGCTGCTCAGAAACGTCTTCTTCGTTACCTTCAGCCATGTTTGTTTGTTATTCTGCTCTGTGTGGGCAAGTCCATCGCTCGCACATACAACATCAACTTGCATTTATTGTATTTATCATAAGATGGCAAATATTTATCTTGGAGGATTTTTCTGACTGTATATCGTAAATGATGATTTATCGCTCATCCCTACCTTGGAGCTGGGGACGCTCAGTTGTTAGACTGGTCGTAGTGTAATCCATCAGGTTAATCATCCTAAATTAATCTTGTTCTTGCTGCTGAACTAAATTTTGGGGTTTGCCTTTAATTATTAAGTTCTTGCATGATCAAAAAATGATTATCACTGAACATCATTGAACATAATCACCAGCACCAAACAACCAGATTTGTCAGCACAAAAAGTATCCTCATGTTAAAACAATTTTTTAAAAGTTCATATAAAGTGTCCTTTCTCCTCATTCCGTCATCTGACTGTTCACAGAAGCTGTCAGCAGGACCCCATAGAAAGTTCCTTTCAGCTTAAACAAAAGTTAGAGGACACAGTATTTGCATAATTTCAACACATTTGAATTTGACTCCTCTCAGAGTGTCATATATAGTTCCTGCCTCCTCTAAACAAAGCCAATTTACTACTGAAGTCATCGGAACTGTTGTTTTTGAGATCTATTGCATCATTGAGGTTTTATGACGAGTCTCCAGAGAAAGCCAGTCCAGACTCATGGCCTGTTTCCAGCCTTGTCAACGCACAGCTGGAGAGGATATTAGCTTGTAATAGCCCTGTTGCAGTGAGTATCATTAGGATAGATATTCCTCCACTCAGAAAAATAATCAGCCAAAGTCCCTAAATGACACTGACCTTATCCTCATGGTGATGATAACTGCACGCTCTGAAATAAGACTGAAGGAGAAAAAAGCCAAATTAAAGAGACATGTTTGTCTTCATTCGGAGTGTTGTTGTTGTTCCAGCCTGTTTAAAAGTGTGTTAAAACTTTGCACATTTTGGTTGTTCTTATGGCTTTTGTTTCTCTCTGTAAGGACCTGCTTTGACGTTGAAAAGTCTCCCCCCCCTCCTGTGTTTCCATTATCCACCTTAATAAAAACACACAGAGTAAAGCAGACTGCCACCATATGACTCAGCGTGTCGCCGACTATCACCACCAGATTATCTCATTGCTGTGTGCATGTCTCCCTCTGCGCAGCTCTCATCAACCTGCTGAAGTTCCTGCTGTCGAATGAGACCACACTGCTGGCCAAGCACAACATCTTTCATCTGGCCTTACTGGTGAGAAACGCACAGACACACTCGTTCAGTGTTCAGACAGGACTTTGACGGAGTACAACACATAATAGAAATGAGTTTCTCGAGGGTGTGTGTATTTTCTTGAAGTGAGAACAGAGCCAGATGCTAAGTTAGCGGTGCTTCTTTTATCCCAGCTGTGTGTGCGTGACTTAAATGACATATCAGACCCTAAACTGATCTTTTTTAATCAGACCGTGTCTTTTTACTTCCTCATTTCTCCGACTGATTGGAGTGTGTTGGTCATTTCACGTGTGTTTCCTTTTCCAGGTAGTGAACCTCTTCAACATGTTCATAACATATGGGGACACGTTCCTGCCCACCTCCAACAGTTACGACGAGCTGTACTATGAAATCGTACGAATGCACCAGGTCTTTGACAACCTCTACTGTATGGGTACGTTAGCGTGAAGAGGATCGTGCATCATTCCAACAAAAATCTCAAATATTAGCGCTCTTGAACGGATGAAATTTGGTTAAGAACTGGTTGTTGTGTACAGAAGATTGTATTACTGTGTCCAGCTCCTCTCTGTGCTGATCTTACTTTTTCTTCAAAGCACTGGTTTATTCCTTTATCTTCACTTTGCAGTTTATCCTTATAAATATTGAATTATGCAAGTTTTCAGCTCGCCTTCTGTCTCCTTTCTGAACTTTCAAAGTAACTGTCAAAGAAATTTAATGTCCTTAAGAGTCCCCTAAACTCTCAGAGTTGAGTTAAAGTGTGTCTCTGTCTTTGTGTCTGATCCTGTTTTTACTCTGCCTTTCAGTTTTGAGAGTATCAACCAACACCGGCCAGTGGAAGGAGGCAGCCAGCAAGGTCACACATGCGCTGGTCAATGTTCGGTAAGAACGCACACAAGCCAAGACTGACAAATGTTAAGGAGGAGGAAAGTTTCATCATCACATTGCAGGATTTAAAAAGGAAAGGTCAAAGTAAAGTAAATGACGTCAAAGCTATGAAGCTGTAATTGGTACTAAGTTCCTTATCCACAGCCTTGCTTTCTTTTACTCCTCTAGGCCCCTCTTTGATCATTTTTAAGCCTTTATCTCCTATACTCAAGCCCAGCTCCGCTCCATAAACATTTTGAACAATGTCCCCTCTTTACTAGTTCCCCCATAATCTCTCGTCCTCCATCGTCTCTGAGGAGGTGATCCTATGAGGTCACCCTGGCTTTGAGGACCCTAGGGGCCCCCTGTTTCAGCAGGATCCTCCCCTAGGATTCACCCTCTAAGGGGGCCCCTGATGGAGCAGACTCCATGCTTATATAAGGAGGCATGAGATGTCAAGTTAATATTTGAAAGAATAGATGGCAGGGAGGTATAAAGACACAGTTGCAACCAACTCGCATGAAGGAATCAAATCCACTTTGGTTCTCCCACAGTTATCGACTCCAGGGTTCCTACTATTCCTGCGATTGCATTCTTGTCTGATAAACAAATGCCTCTGAAATAAACCATTAAACTTAAACTTTATTTCATAGAACGATATCCTAATGCTTGAAATATCGCCTCTGACTTAACATCTCAAATGTTTTGTTTTCCGTGCTGTATGAAGGAATCAAAAAGAATAAACCGACTGGGACGAGAAGCAGGTGTTTTAGTCTGGGGATATTTTTCAAACTACAACCTTTTTGGCGAATCTAGTGAACACTTCGTGGTAGGACGTGGTAGGGCGATTTAGCAAAAAAAAAAAGATGACGATATATTTTGTCATATTGTCCGATCTCAATTATTATCACAATTTTTTATGCCAGTTTTTAAGCATCTGTACTAAAAACTAAAGAAATTAGAGATTATTTCAACATTTTATTAACATACAAGGTAAATAACAAAGCAAATTGAATAAAATAAACTTGGAAAAATACAAAAAACATTTTAACTCAACAGAACAACAAATGTAGATAAATACTAAATAATACAGTGAAGTAGTCTTGAGTGTTTTTGCAGGTATGTAAGATCCAAAATAAACAATCGCCCCCTCAGGGATAATGAAGACGCCTTAAAATGTGAACATTAGATGATGTAAATGTAGGTGATATGATTGATTTCTGCTTTGGTCTGGTAGCTGCACCTCTAGTTGTAGCTAAACTGCTAATGCTACTTGTGCAGTCAGCAGTGACAGGTTGTGCAGAATCCACTTGCATTTTCATGCTTTCAGTATAATCACTCGGGAAGAACTTCTTCAAATGATTAAACCGATCTGTTGTGTTGCCGGTTTTTGAGGGCAGTGACTCACGTTGAGTAGCTTTTCTTCTCAACAATGGCATCTTTGGAGAATTACTCAAAGTCACGGCTGACACCTATTTTGCTGCCCTCAGCTCCACGTTAAGCTCCATGTTCAGTCATTTTGTTTACTTCTCCTGTTTACTTTTCCGGCAACTTACAGAAGTGAGCAGGAGAAGCTCGACTCTGATTGGCTGTTGTGATGCAAATTTCCACTCTGTTTAATCAAGTAAATATGCTCACAGCTGATCAGTGTGAACAAACTGAAATTTATCACAATCATAAATCACGACCCAGTCCTACCTCATGGTATAACTCAAAATGTTATGAGACTTTGTCCTCCCTGAGCCGTCAGATTTCTTCTCCTGTTGTTTTACATTGAATGCAAATGTAGCTCATAAAAACTGCCTGCTCAATATTTATGTCTGACAAACAAACATAAATACACAATAATGACAAGAGGTGTGCTGTACGGAGAAGTCGCTGCAGCACACCCTCAGGCATCGGACCGAAAAGGCTGACATCATCACTTTACAGAAGCTCTGATATTTCCCTGAAGCTGCTTCTCCCTGCAGTGTTCAGGTGAATGCACAGATGTTCAGAGACAGCTTGTTTTGACGCTCAGGTCCAGATGATAATGAGATGCACTGAGATTTGAAAGGATGGTGTTTGTGACAGAAAACTTGACTTTATCCGTAGATTATTATATCCTGTATCGCTGAGTCTGTTTGAACCGCATCAGTCAGATTTTTTTTTTTCTAACCAGACAAAATCTTACACAATCTTTCTCATCTCAGAGAAGTACAAAAACTTTATAACATCAATTCAAGTTTCATAAAAACAAAGAAAAACAGCCGGCTGGAGAAGGGAGGCCTGTGTGGGCCGTAACACAAAAGAGAAATTGTTTATTTTTCAACTGGTAAAAACTCTTCAAACATGATTGGTGTATCAGCAGATTGATGCTTGCAGCTGTGAAATGATGTCCTTGAATTTAATAGAAAATGTTTGTGTCTTTAAGGGCCATCATCAACCATTTTAACCCCAAGATCGAGTCGTACGCCGCCGTGAACCATATCTCTCAGCTGTCAGAAGAGCAGGTAAACACAACACACCCTCAGCCCTCTTTGCATGAACAAAACGTAACATGGAAATAAAGCAAAAACTCCCTGCTTCAACATCTCGAAGCCGTTTGGTCACAATACCCCTGAGATACGTCTCGTGTCATTTCAAAAGTATATCTGGATGAATTTTTTAGTGCGCCATGGAGAACACAACGCGCTTTAGAGTGTTTTAGAGGGAGTTAGAGGGAAAGTAGTGACAGCTGTGTGTGTTCACATGAATACAAAACATTTTACACAATGACACACACATTTGAACTGCACTGTAAACACAGCAATGCCAATTACTCTATTGATCCAAATATGAGCTTTTCTCTTGAGTTAGTCATTAAATGTAACTATGGACAGCCTCCCTCAGCTGTCGCTCACAACTAAAGCGTGAAGAGACATGCCCAGAGCTACTGAAACAAAGAAGAGGGACAAGTTAGTCATCAGCCGGGGAGGAGTTATGATGACAATATTGAAATAATAGTTATTGATGCTGCAGATTTGTTACACACTTGCCAAGAAATGAAGTTGCACTGAGCCTGATTTCTTATAATTAGCATCAAACTACGTAAAATAAGCATGAGCGTGTTGTTATAAAGCAAATCAAAGGAACATTAACCTGTTAAACAGCCTGCCAGACGTTTAAACTCTTATGCCTCATTTATCAATCAATCAATCAATCAATCAATCAGTCTTTATTTATATAGCACTTTTCATACACGACATTTAGCACTAAGTGTTTTACACAGAAAAAGGAATAAAAGAAACAAAGAATAATGACACACACATTCTCTGCCTATTTACAAATGTGATCAAATTTTACCTAATTTAAAAGTTAAACTTATTTTAAAAGACTGATTGTTAAAAACAACTGTCTTGTTTATTTTATTTTCTATTTTTTATTTTTTTTAATAATTTTTTCAAATTGAGTTTCATGCTTTCACCACAGGGTACATAATCTTTTTCCAAACAGTACAATCGCATTACCTATCAAACCATAACATAATTTATCACAATCCACATTCTTCCATGGTGGTGCTGGAATAACATGAAACCCTTATTCATTTGTACACTAACACAGGAACAACAAAATAAAAACACACAGTAAACAGTTTCAGCATTTAAATCCATATACTATTCATGCAGATTCTATTCTCTGCCCTAGTTTACAAAAAGATGAAAAGTTAAAACACTGGAAAAAACAGAGGCCCCCTCTCTTTATTCTTGGAAAGGATTGAGGAGATACTACCTGACGATAGAAAAGACACTAGCTGATGACAACAGTAAGGTGAAACAATTTAATGATGTATGGAAACAGATTAATGAAGCAGTATGAAATATGAATTATTAAACCATTCAGTCTTACAGGTACGGTATAGAGGGGGTAGGGGATCAGTGGAGAATTCAGGACAGGGACCAGTGTTAAGTGTTTGTGTGTATGAGGAACAACAGTCTTCAGAGATATTTCTCTGAAAAATTTCTCTGCTTTATCGTTTCCTCCTAAATTAACATTATTTATTATTTAACTGAAGCAGGAAACCCTGAAAGTGTTGTGATTATAGATCCGTGATTTTATGTCTAATGCTCTGTTATTGTGCGGGTTTCTTTGGCGTCTGAAGCCGTTTAAAGAACGATGAATTATGCTCACAGCTGGAGTCCCTCTGTTGGATCACTAATCTAATAGTGATCTAACAGGACTACTACCTGAAAGCTGGACTTCCTTTCATCTTAAGTGGAAAAACTTGTGACTGGAGGAAGGCTGAACTTCACCGTAGTGAGCATTGTGAGCTCTATTTAAAACCTAATCATTAATGTTGAACCAATGAGGATAGAATAGAGTAGTCTGTATTTTTTTACAGGCTGATAAGAGGGTGATGGATTTGGTAATTACACTCTCCAATTACCTCTCTGCTTTTATCCACAAGATTTATTCACAACAGAGAGGGAAGGCCGAAGTTAACTTATGAGCTGAAGGTTTTTATATGATTTCCCTCTAGTGATTTAACACCTATTACACACAGGAGATAAAGAAACTTTGTTTTTCAATTAGGCCCTGGGTTTGAGCTGTCCCTTTTAACACTTCCTGAAAAGTAAATGTTGTTGTGGAGAGACTGTAGTACAGTCATGTCAGCTAATTCAGGGATCAAACAAAGGCTCTGCTGCTGTATGAATAAATAAATACTTGAGAGAGTGGTTACGATCAAATCATCAGATGGAGAAATCCGTCGTATCAATAAGACATGGAGCAGAGTGAACTTATTCATGAACATATGCCTCAGTAACTGTTTCTACCTGCACTGGACAAGAGCGCATAAAATCAAAACATATTCTGTGACCATTTTCAGACTGATTTTTACTCTACATCTACAATAACTTTTTTTTTTGATCCAATGAAAATAAGAAGTAAACACAAAACTCACGAACTGGGTTGGCAGCCGAGATTTTTAACTTTAAAAGAACAAATGGCTTCAGCAGCTCTTTGTATTCCACATTCTGGCACTGTGCTTTAGTGTTGGACATGTTACTTTTATAAAGTAATTAGTTACTAACTACTTCTACCAAGAAGTAACTGAGTTAGTAACTGACTTACTCCACTAAAGAAGTAACCAGCTACCAGGGAAAGAAACTATTGCGTTACTTTTTTCATCTTTTTCTTTTTTTTTTATATGTTGAAGAATTTGAAATTTTTTCCAAGCGGGTTTCCAAAGACAGTTCGTCTTTGTTAGCGGAGCTCACGTTAGCTGGCCTGCTATCATCACCATGTTGTTAACAACGATGTTTTGGGCCACTAGTTCTGTAGAAGCTTCAGTGGATTAGAGTTGCTTACAACGAACGTGGACAAACACTTCACTCCGGGACATAGTGTACGCCTCACATATATGTTCTTGCCTTTAACCTCAAGGAGATTAATGTAGTGTCTGTACTTCCCCTTTAAAACGCCAACTTTCCCTCTGAACTCGCCATTGCTGCAGCTTCCCTCTGCTAGTTTGTGTGCGTGAGGCTTCTGCGAGCATGTGTGGTTTATGTACAAACCATAAACTGTATATAGAATGGACGTCGTCTGCCTCCTCGCTGGGTGAAGCCACTCCGAGAACAGCACCCTCTGTTGATGGGCTGCAGTATAGGTCATCAATCCCGCCTCCGCCAGCAAAGCTTATGGAGCTGTGGACAAACTTTAGAAATTAATCACACAGAACATAATTTTTCTCCCCCCTGCTTGTGATGTTGACATGTAGTTATTGTTAGACTGGTTTGTGTTCAAGTCCTCTTTTTTCTGTTCAGCTCTGTTTTTAAAAGTTATAAGAGGGTTCATGTTTTCTTTGATTGACACTTAATACAGCCTATTGGCGTTCAGGAATTGCGTAGCTCAGCCGGGGGATACGCTGTTTGAGCCGAGCGTCATCACAGTGACTCTTGGCGACTCTCCCGTCAAATGCGCACAACGCTACTGCGCAGCGCTGGTTTCAGGAAATTAAGAAAAATCCCAGAAATACAGAGACCTTTTTGCTTCAAATCCATATACAGGCGGAACCAAGTTGTCCATGGTATATACAGTCTATGGTACAAACTGAACACTGCCTCTGATGGGCTTAGCATGAAATCTTACTCTGCCTTGTCACCCTCCACCACCACCAAAGGGGGAAAAACCCCCCAGTAATTTTCAACTTCTGAGGCTGAGATGAACCAAGTCGAAGGACAACGGTTTCACTGAGTAGTTTGTAACGCGCCTCATTAAATTGTCTGTAACAGTAACGGTTGTAACGATGAAAATAGTGATTAGTTAGATTACCCGTCACTGAAAAAATAACACTGTTTATTTTACTTTCGTTATTCCCATCACTGGATATGAGCGAAATGTACTCTTGTTCACACACTGATATTGATTAGACACATACCTTAAAACACGTCATATTCCAGTTAAAACAGACAAATATTTATGTTCCCTGTGGCAGCGTCAGTGTGAACAACTCCCAGAAGAGCATGGATGAACAGACAGTGTCCAGTAAAGATAAACAGCTAGAGAGATGCTCTCATTACGACTTAAGAGGTTAAACCCCTTGTGATGTTTTTCTGTTTGGATAAAAGGCTCAGACCATGAACTGCTATAACCCCGCTTTGTTTTTCTCTACCCTGTCCTCCTCTACACTCATCAGCTTAAGGTGACTGTATTTTAGAAAGATATTTTCGGCAGTACCATTCATTAGAAAATGTGTGTCACTGGTCTTAAAATTGAGTTAATAGTTTGAACGAAAAATAACACACAGCAGGAGAGAGCTGAATGAAAACAGTAAGAGCTGACAAGTCGCATCTGACCTGAACAAAATAATATTTCATCAGAGACAAAATGTTAAGAGTCCTGTTTTCAGAGCAGCATGACTCAAACCTTTATAATGGGGCAGAGCAGAGGAGGAAAAAGCAGGAAGGGTAATGTGTTGATCTATTTCAGAGACATTCAAAAGTCACTTCTTTGTCTTTCTTCCTCTTCTTCTTCTTCTTGAGTGTATATAATGTGTGTGTCCATACATTTCACTTACTCCTATTTCTGACAATACAGCACTTATGATTAGCACTTATCTGTGCTTTCAAATCACATCCATACGCATACATATCCTGTCTCTGTTTGAATATGTAAAATTTCTTGATCTGATTAAAAATTTGAGGGATCGGATAATCTGAATCCACTGTTTATATGAGTGTAAAATCAAATAATCTGATCATGACGTGTGTGTATACATGCACCAAGTTTTATTCAGATTAGAAGCATTTGGACATGTGCAGAGTTGTCTGATTTCACTAAATCAACCACAGAAGAAGAAGAGTTGTATTTACGTATGTGCTGTCAACAAACCAACAAACGCCGTAGTGGCTCGTCAACCAATTCAGGATGTTCCCCCCTGTTAAATATTGTCACTAGATGGCACCCTTACTTACTTATTTTACTGTTCTGTCAAAGGTTGCACTGTGCTTTCAAATGTAACATCATTATGCCGTATGAATGCCTTATTATGTTATTGGAGGAGCAGACACGGCACCTGCGGTTGTGTTTTATGCCAGAGTGTTAATAATGAAACCTCCTGTACTGACCTCAATCAATAAACCAAAGGCTTAAGAGTGAAGATCGATTCGGGTTAGAGAGTCACGATCAGAATAAGTTTTTACATGGACGCCAATAACGATCGGCATAAACCACCCTTCTCGATCGGAATACAATTTCTTACCGATTGAGCCGAATTGGTTTAGAATCTTCCGATCGACATGTTTATTCCGATAATTTGTGTCCATGTAAACACAGCTAGTGTGACCTTATGACCTTGTGGGCGGTATCCTTTGAGTGACATTTCCTGTTGAGGTGCACATCAGGTCAGATCTGGGGTATCAAATCTGCCATGTCACAGAGATGTGCTTTTGACCCCGTACTATCTGCCTGAAGTGTTTCCACTCGCTGCAGTTACACTATAAGATAAATGGCCTCTACAAACCCACTTCATTAAAACCAAGCTGCTGTACTCTCTTTCTGTCACACACATTTCAATATTCGAGTCCAGAAACACACTCCTGCTTTGAAATGACGCTTTAAGATAAACAGGATGATGACTGTGTGTACGCAATCATGTCTGCTTACTGATGCAGAAAGTTACCCTGTGTGTTTGTGTGTGCGTGTGTGCGTGTGTGCGTGTGTGCGTGTGTGCGTGTGTGTGTGTGTGTGTGTGTGTGTGTGTGGGCATAATGCTGAAGCAAACACTTATCATTCGATCATAGAAGCAGTCTGATAAAGATTACGTCGTCTCTCCGTCTCCTCTAAACCTTTTCATTATTCTTGCTCTCCTGTTATTTTTTCCTCTCTAATCCATCGGTCACGGCTCACTTTCTCCTCCTCCTCCTACTTTCTCCTCTGCTTTTTTCCCCATTTGTCATGATTGTCAACAAACCCTAATGCATATTTGTTGAGGTTTTTATTCAGATGTGCCTCAACGTTTTCTCAGAGAGAGAGAAGAGGATGATGAAGAAGGAGGATATGAATTTTTCATCAGTGTACTACGAGAGGTTGAAATGAAAACAACAGAAAAGAGAAGAGCTTTAGATTCATTAGAGGGAAAAAAAAAAGGAGAGAAATGTTTTCTGGTTTCTCACACTCTCCATAAATTGCAGAATGATGTGTCAGCTGTTCTCTGAATTTACTGTCAAGGCTAAAGGACAATAAGTTGTTCTGCGAACATAAACCGTAAACATCCTCTCTATATAAAAGACTGGATTGTCCAAGAAATGTGTGTTTTTGTGGGGGCCTGACAAAGTTCAGCTCATGCTCTCACAGTGTTTCCTGGTGTGTGGAGCTTCCATGCACAGACATTAATAAACGAATGGAAAAGGTCTGGTTAGGGGCTATTTCACAGATTAATGGGGGAACGGCAGGGGTGGAAGTGTGGAAAATCTCTGCATAATTAGCTCTGATTTAGCTCACCTTATCGCAGCTGGACTGTACCTCAGGCAAATGTGCACATGAAATCACAGTACACACACTCACTTCAACAGAATGACTCGGCTGTATTTATACTCTGACCTTAAAGTGGATGAAGCGGATTCTCCTAAATGACCTCCTCACAAAAGAGTAGAGATGGGAATTGCTAAGAATTTAGCAGTTCCGCTTCCATTATCAGTTCTCTTATCGATTCTCATTGAGTAAGAAATAAGATAATACAAATAGTCTTTTTTGCATTAACTCTTTAATATTGTCACCTTTGGACAGAAGCTGTGTCTTATCCATGCACGAATAAGTTGTTATGTGACCTTCCCTTTGACCACAAATCTGCTCCCAGTTTGGTGACATTCGTTTATCTTCGCCTCTGTCATTTTACTCTTTCTTACTTGGTGAAAGGGGCTGCCAAAGGTGTGTGATAGCTACCCGCTGTAGCCTCTGAGCTAGTATGATCTGGCAGTCATCGTCATCTAAGAGTCTGATAAGACCCCTTTACTGTTTACATTGCTAACCTGTTTGTGATCAATAAAAGAAAGGTGGAATATAGTGGGTTGTCACGCTACCATGGAGGATTACCAATAAAGACTGCAAATGCAACCTAAAAATTGGACTTTGACATAGAGCTGGGCGATATGGCCTCAAATTAATATCACGATATATTGAGCAGTTCACCTTGATAACGATAAATGGATGATAACTACTCCACAAGCTGCTCACCCCCTCCCACATTAACTTCGTCTACTTCAGCCGCTCCAACTTTTGAACCGTCCTCCATCTCCTCACCTGTCTTTCCTTCATCACTACGGACTGGATGGGGTGGAGTCACGTCTCGACGTAGGACAGCGTCTTAAAGGGACATGAGACCATAGCCTACCTACACACATCAAAAAACAACTTTTATTTATTTATTTATTTTGACACAGAATATACCGATATGGGGAAAATGACGTTGGTTAGAGTCGTAAATTTTGGTTTCGGTAAATTTTCAGTTTATCGCCCAGCCCTAACAGAGGATTACCAATAAAGACTGCAGATGCCACCTGAAAAATCGGACTTTGACAAATGGCACATGACCTCCAGGTCAGTGCAAAGTCAGTGAGCAGATAGAAGAACCTCAGCAGGTGGACAGATGTTTCGTAGAGAGACTCAGCGTGAACACCAGAGAGACATGAAGCACACAGGTCACTTGATGCTAATGACTTTGGTATCTGTGAATGTGTCAGACTGCCAGTTATCAAGACACAGACTCTGACTTTGGTGTCTTTACAAAAGAAATCCTCCTGAGAAAAAGACATACTCACAGGACAGCTTTGTATGAAACCTGTGTCAGAAGAAAGCAATGTTGTAGTCAGTCTGTGTTTTTGGACGGCAGTCTTGTGTAGGTATTTGTTCAATGTATGTTTGAAGTTAATTCTGCTTTTGTTTGCAAGTCGTTTCCCACCTTCATTCAATAAAATACACTACCTAGACAAGATATTTAATGTTCAAACTGATAAACCGTTTCTCTCCTCTATCATTCCACTAGGTTCTGGAGGTGGTTCGGTCCAACTACGACACACTGACCCTCAAACTGCAGGATGGTTTGGACCAGTTTGAGAGATACTCGGAGCAGCCCAAAGAGGCTGCGTTCTTCAAGGAGCTGGTAAGAGAGAGAGAGAGAGAGCGAGTCGAGAAGAAGAGTCGGTGCTCCGTACATTAGTACATATCAGATTTATACTGCAGGCCAAGTGCCAAAGAAAATCCAGTACAGTGGTTCTCAAGGGGGGCCAGGACTCTCGGATTATTGGGAGGTGTAGGGCTTCGTCTCCTCTAAGGCTGTCAAAATGTTCTGATAAATCATAGTTAAGACACTTTTTTTGATTATTCAAGCGGGTCCTGGGGGTTCAACTTTTCTCAGATTCAAGTAGGGGGGACTCCAAAGAAAAAAGTGCATGTGTGTCTATAAAATGAAAGTGTCCCTAGTTAAAGAAAAATACCTTTTACAGAACTATACAGAGCTAGATGTGAAGGTGTTGTCGTCATTAGTGTTTAAACTAAGGAGGATGGCATGATGGCTCCCCAAAAGTGAAGCCAGAAGCTGTCCTTCTGCAGAGGTTACCATCATAGTTGCAGCTGCCAAATGCCGAAATCACCCTCCTAGCAGGTGACCCTGTAGCAACCTTATGAAACCTTTTTTTTTTTTTCAGGAACTAAATAGTGTGTTGAAGGTTTAGGGACCGGGATCAAACCTCAGCTTCTTTCTTCTGCATTAATGTTGTCATATTGTGTATTAATGGGTTTCCACCGCTCTGCCTCCAGGTTCGCTCCATCAGTCTGAATGTGAGGAAGAACGTCTCTCTGAACACACTCAGTCAGGACATCTTGCTGAAAGAGTTTTCAACCATCTCCTGAGACTCCCAGCGAGCCTTCTGTTTCCTTCAGACGGACATAATATTTTTGTGCGTGTGGACAAGTAAACAAACTCCGACACATACGACTCTAAACACAGACACCAACCGGGACAATCCTCCTTTTCTTTCTGTGATTCTTTTTTGTTTCTCTGCTTCCTGGAAACTGAATGAAGGAAACTTCTCTGCACACGCTGACGTGCTGGATACACTTTAGAGAAAAACCTGAAACTCTGCAGACTTATTATGTTTGTGTTCGTCCACACTGTATGTGTGTCTGTGTGTGCGTGTGTGTGTGCGGGTGTTAACTTTAAGGAAGTGCCCGTGTTGCACTGGTTCCTTGTGCAATCTGCAGTATTGGCTGGACTGTTAACCGACTCCTGAAAGTTTGGACTCAGAGTTGGAGACTTAAAGTATTTTGAACTTTTAGATCCACCTCCTCAGCCTCTGGCGATGGTGTTGGTAGCTCCTTCTGTCATATGGACAGTTAAAGATTTTCTCTCCAGTGATTATTTTAGAAGATTAAATCTTTGATAGCTCACTAATATTTGTACAGGTGACTTTGAGCCTTTTTTTGAGTTTGATCTTACTGTATGTCCTCTTGGATTGTGGCATTAACTCTGAATGCTTTGCGTGTGAATGTTAACTTAATTCAGTTTCATGTTAAAAGAGTTCTTATAGGAATATACTGGAGTAAATTTAAGTTATGGTCAACCACACAGTAACAAAGAGCTAGACACCCCCTCGAGAAATGAATGTTGCCGACTGCTTGCTTCTCTACTTGTTCAAACCTCAGTAGCGACCACACGATAGCAATACACAGCGATCTACGTCTCCACGTGCAAACCTCAACCAAAAAGCCACTCTATAGCCACAAATAATGCTCAGAACAGCATCCAACTTCATCAACAGTACATATAGGGTCCCAGCCATGGTCCTAGCCACCAAACATCTTTTCAGATTTGCCTGATTTCTTTAGCAAAGAGACTAAACACAACTCACTTGCTCTCCTCCAGCAGCCGTTCACAGAGTTGGCGGAGTTTCGCAGCTCAAGGAAGAAAATTTATGATTATTACTTAAAGAAAATGCAATCAGAGTTCTTGTGTATCTTGTATGTGCACTGCAGACGCGGTAGTGCTTCTGCCTTAGCGTCTCGGTCTGATTGCGTTTCCAAGAAGTTCCTTGAGTCGCAAAACTCCGCAGCACTCGGTGACTCGTCATGGCTCCCCCACAAACAAGCAGCTGCTGGAAAAGAGTGGGTGGGTTGTGTTAGGTCTCAAAGCTGAAAGGATGTTTGGTGGCTAGTACTATGTCTGTGACCCTATATGTACTGTTGATGAAGTTAGGTGCTGTTCTGAGCATTATTTGTGGTTATAGAGTGGTGTTTTGGTTGAGGTTTGTTTATGGCTCCTCAGACCGCTGTGTATTGCTATCCTGCGGTCGTTATTTAAGTTGGTATAACGAGAGAAGCAAGCGGTCGCCAACATTCATTGCTTGGGTGTCTAACTCAGTGTTTCGGTGTGTTTGACCCTAACTCAATTCTACGCCGGAATATCCCTATAAGGTATTTTGTATGTACATGTTTGTGAGGGGAAGGATGTTTTGAAAAGTGATTCATTTGAGAAGGTCTAAAGTAATGAAATCCTTTTAATCGTTGCTCTTCTTTCTATTCTTTTAAAACCATCACATCCACTACTGTACTCATCCCACATGGCATTTTTTTCTGGGGAAAACCTGAACGTGTTTAAAACCGCTCAAAGTTAGTTGGATACATACAGCCGTTTGATCTCACCCCGGCTCTTTCTCCGTCGGATCATTTGTAGTTCTTTCTTTTGACCGGAAGTAGATCTGAATTCTGCAACATCTTCAAGTGTAGGGTCTCATCTTTTCATAATTAACTCCCTTAGGTATATTTATGTTTCTTTTTTAAATAAAGGTTGGTTTCCTGATAAGAAATCAGTGCTGTATCTATATTTACTTGTGACATCAAAAGTATTCTTCCTAAGCAAACTCTTCACTTTTAAAAACACACACACACACACACACGGTCCTCTGCTGACTCAATCTCGGGTGTGACTCATGGGGGTGTCAGTGGGGGGGTTTGATTTCTTATCCCCACACTGCAGCAGTGAACTATGACTTTTCATTGGACGAACACTGGCCCTGATAACAAATGCCTTTCACTTGCATCATCTCTTTACCTCTTGTCCCCCCTGTTGAGCTCGTTTGAACTGTTGAGTAAAACGTCAAGCGGCTTACACTCAATTGATGGAGTGTGTTTGGGTGTGTTTGCAGAGAGGATGACTGCACGCTAAGCTTCACTGATTTTATTATATAATAGTTTGGCTCTGCTCTCTTTGTTTTACTCCAGTGTCAGAACCAACCTACTGTACCTGCAGTAGTTCATGTTATTCAAAGCTAGCTGCATGTTGGTTCATTATAATGATTCAACAGATGCAAAACAAACACTGTAAGCTCTAAATACTCACTGCTGTACTTAATTTAGCACCAGGCAGCAAATGGGAAAAGTTCAAGACTTGCTTGTTTACAGTATTCGATGATTGCATCAAATGTGCAGCTCTTATAAAGCACCCCTTCCCCCTCCTCTATATCAACGGCAAGTGTGTGTAGAGGGTCCACACTTTCAAGTGTCTGGGAGTCCAAATCTCTGATGACCTCTCTTGGACGAACATCATCACAGCCATTGTAAGGTTGGCCAGCGGCACCAACTCCTCCTGAGAGTCCTCAGGAAGGAGGATAAGGACAGATTTCCAACCCCTCTGTTGTTTACCTTTCACATCAGTCATGTGATGGTGTGTCTTAAAGGGATATTCCGGGTTAAATATAAACACACCGTAACACAGAGTTAAGACAACCCTCGAGAGATGAATGTTGCCGACCGCTTGCTTCTCTAGTTATACCAACGTTAGTAAAGACTGCAGGATAGCAATACACAGCGGTCTACGTCTCCACATGCAAACCTCAGCCAAAAAGCCACTAGGGTCCCACTATATATAGTCGATCACCGAGTGCAGCGGGGTTTCGCAGCTCAAGGAAGAACATTTATGATTAGTACTTCATGAAAATGTTCCGCTACACTCGGTGATCGACTTGTCAGGGTTCCCCTTCAAATTATCTGCTGCTGGAGGAAAGCGGGTGAGTTCACACTGAGCAAGAAACGGCTATTAGACATCCAGTTTTTTTAGACTTAATTTCAACCGTCCAGATTCTGTTTATTTTTAGACGTAATTTAGACGTTGCACTTTAACCCATTATTCAATAACGATTTATTTCAAAAATTAACATTGAGTTACATAACTGATCTCCAAGTACTTAACCAAAAATAATTATGATAGCTGTTGAGCAATATACAGTGAAGTAGAGATATAGCCCAGATTTAGACTTGGTCTAAATTTAGCCTGAGTTTAGACCAGTCGTCTAGGCTACATTAAGACGTCTATTAGACCAAAAAATGCTCAGTGTGGAGTTTGGTCTCTTTGTCTAACTCGGTGTTAGGATGTGTTTGACCCTAACTTAATTTTACACTGGAATATCCCTTTGGGAGATGTCCTTTTTCATGTGACTGATTTGCAAATATCAAACTTGGAGATTCAAGACAGAAAAAGATAGACAAACTTGCTGTGTTTGAGTCGTAATCTACACAGTACTAAAGGACCACTTGATATTATTTTTTAAACCAAAACAAGGAGGAAGAAGATTCAAGAGTCTCCTGTTGGTGACGGTAATCCCAGTCACATTGTTTCTGATCAGCAGACACATTTCTGCAACGAGATAATGAAACCACCGAGGCTTTCTCTTCCTTCAGGGTAGAAGTAACATGTTTCCCTGAGTGTGTTGCAGAGAAACTTCACTGCTGAGCATTTCTGAAAGCACCAAGAATGGAACTGTTTTCAGAGGAGCGTCTCATCATGACTGCATTGCCATACATAAAACAAAAGGAGCTGTAACTGGTGTTTCAGGGCATGCTGGGCCACCTGTGGGCTCCTTCAACTCAGCGGCAGAAGTGAGGCTGTCTGATTAAAACTCCTCCACTTATTGGAACTCTTTCTTTTCTCTTGTTGTGTGTCCCTGTCTCTCACAGAGTAGTTACAGCTGGAAACTAAGAGTTTAAGAAATCACTCTGATAAGCCTCCGATGGCTTTTAAATCTGAGCGTGTGAGAATGAAGGAGGGTGTTTACGCTTCCTGGATGTCACTTTATGTAATGTATTTTAGTATCGAGGACTTCAATCCCCTCGCATGACGTTTTCCCAAATCCTCTGATTTTGTTGGCTTTATTGTATATTGGGCAGTATATCAACTCTGTGATATAATCACCGCTCTGTGTGCCGGTGTCTGTGAAAGCTCAGAAGCTCGTGCAAATGCGAGTGGGTGCGTTTTACTGTGACAAGCCATTAACGCCGCAGTGTATTTATAACGTTTCATTTGAGCATATCAGCCCTCTCATCAAATATTCATTCAAGGGAAGATTGCCTACTTTGTCTCGCCTGAACCGCCCTCCTTCATCCCTTTATCATCATTTCACCTCTTCATTTCTTTATCTGTGTGTCCTCACCTGAATCTGTGTCTGCATAAAATATGAAAATGAAACTAAATCAACTCAAAGGGCCTATTTTCAGAAGTACATGAAAGCATTAAAACGCCTCCTAAGGACACGAGGCACTCCTTCTTCTGTCTTCTGCTGAATATTATCAACTGCTAAGCGCTGTGCCAGCTCACCTTTTTCTGTATATTTTCACTATATCTCTCAGCGTGTGCGTTATTTGTCACCTGTATCATTGCTCCCCAGAGTGCATAACTTCAGGCATCAATCCCAGCTCATTATTGGTTATCTGTCGACTCCACTTACCAGCCTGCAGCTGTGGTAAACTTCCCTGTAAACCCCAGTGGGAGATAAACACCATCAATACTGGGAGATTTAACCGTCCCACGGTGCATAATATATTCAAATGTCTCACTTCTGCCTTCCCTCTGTCTTCTTCAATTTCCCCCTTGAGATTTTCTACCTTCTCTCCATCATAGATTTCTTCCTCTTTCCTTTTCAAATCCACCTCTTCTCCTCTCTTTGATTCCTCTTACCTCACCGCGCTTCTTTGGTGTCCTCCCTTGCCTTTACATTTCCTTTGTTTGTCTCGTCTCCTGCAGCTTATAGATATTTTCTCTTTTCCACCTGGCAGTCTCCCGACTCGAGGAGGGACATAAAAACCTAACGGTTTCTCCAGTTTTTCCAAAATAAGCATTTTATCCTAGAAAAATAATGTCTCTTTTTATAGTTTAGGTTAAGTAGAGGTCACTCCAGAGTTTGGAAGGTCCGTGACCCAAATGTCTGATGACCTCAAAGTCGCAAATCACGAGGTAAATTTATGTTGTCATAATCATAGAAAATAGATAAAAGCTTAAAGGGATATTTCGGGATAAAACTAAGTTATGTTCAAACACACAGTAAGACCGAGTTAGACATCTCGTCGAGAGATGAATGTCGAGTGCAGCAGGGTTTCGCAGCTCAAGGAAGAACATTTATGATCATTACTTCATGGAAATGCAATCAGACTGAGATGCTAAGGCAGAGGAACTACCGTGTCTGCAGTGCAAAATGATTAATATGATGATTATTACTTCAAGGAAAAGATCCGCTGAACTCTGTGATCGACTCTTCAGGACTCCCCCACATAAGCAAGCGGCTTCAGGAGGAGAGTGGGTGACTTGTGTTTGGTCTCTTTGCTAAAGAAATTAGGCAAAACTAAAAAGATGTTTGATGGCTAGTACTATGGATGGAACCCTTTATGTACTGTTGATGAAGTTAGGTGCTGTTCTGAGCATTATTTGTGGCTATAGAGTGGTGTTTTGGTTGAGGTTTGCACATGGAGATGTAGACCGCTGAGTATTGCTATCGTGCGGTCGTTACTAAAGTTGGTATAACTAGAGAAGCAAGCGGTCGGCAACATTCATCTTTTGTGGGGGTGTCTAACTCAGTGTTACGGTGTCCTTGACCATAACTTCAATTTACGCCAGAATATCCCTTTAAGGATGTAGTGAACAAGATTACTTAGAGGAGTTTTAATTGAGATTCCTCTGAACATGGTCTTTTTCTTCAATATAATGCATTTTTAAAGTCAGCAACCAACACTGCGGATGACATGAGAGAAGATTCACATCATGTAGAAGGAGCATCCTTTTTCACTGCAGCTATCACACTTATTTATTTGATCACATAGGACACCAAGACACACAACTGATCCTTAGGTTCCACATTGGAGCTTTAAAACTCAAACATGAGCATTAACATGGTTACACAAACTGTAAAAATCTTTCATTTTAAAGCTGCTAACACGGTTGTGCTGACTCCTCATCTGATTGTCTCTTAACCTCATTGAACGGCAGAGCAGAACTGCAACATCAAAATCATTTCAGCTCATGAATCATGTGGATTTATCATCTTACCGAAATCACATTTTCTTTGCAAAGAAATTACTGAACTTAAAGAGGAAACGTAATCTTGATCTTTTTAGTAAAACTCCTTAGAGGCGACTTCAAAGAGAAGAGAGGTGTTTAGTCTAAAAATAGCTTCACCGAGCGACCAGCCTTCACTAAAAACCTCAACTTTTAAAAGTGACGCTCTCTCCTCTCTGATTTATAGGCATATGAGCAAAAATAAATTTACAAAGTATAACAGTGTTGTAAATATAAAGCTCTCAAATGTAGTGAGATGACAAATAAGATATTTAGCCACTCAGTGACAGTCTTTCTTGAAACCTTGTCCCAGAAAAGCTCAGTCTTAGGAATCGGTGTGTTTAAAAATAGAATCTTCTGATGGGAACAAAGCTGTGAAATCTTGAAGTTTATCCCATAAATCAGGCCGTGGCCTCCTCTGTCTCCATCAAGCTCACAGACTGTATTTATGGACGTAATATTCAAATGATTTTTTTAACATCATCAGGTCCTTGGTGCTTGCATTTACTGAAATATGAGGAAGTCATCTGTTAGCTCTGCTCAACCAGCTCAAGGACGCGCAGCTGACAGCGTATTGATCCGCAGGTATTACTTCTCCTCATTGAAGCAAAGCTGCTCAAGACCGGAGCCAAGGTGAGACCATCCATCAGAGCGGCAGCGATCAGCAGATATTCAGGCCCACATCCAAGTGTCTGTCAGTCTGTCTGTCCATGTCACTCCTCCTCCTGTCAGCTCGCACTTAACGCAAGTTAGAGGGGAGCACTCGAACCCTTTACGGAGGAAGATCTACTGCTGCATCTTGTTACATTAGAGTCTTTTTTTTTTTTTTTTTTAACTCATGTACTGATGTTAAAGGAGGGTTTTATTCTCATAGCTAGTTGAGGCTGAGCTTGTTTTCATTTATGTAAAGGTCAAAAAATAGTGTCTATAATATATGTTAAATTGAATCATCAGTGGACCCATCAGACATCTAGTTTTTTTTAAACCTAATTTTAACTGTCTAGATTCTGTATATTTTAGATGGAATTTAGACGTTGCACTTTAACCCATTATTTGATAACTATCAAATTTGGTCTAAATTTAGACGTCTAAAAAACTTTCATTTTTAGATCTGTGGTAGCCTGATTTTAGACCAATCGTCTAGGCTACATTTAGACGTCTATTAGACCTCTTTTAGACCAAAAAATGCTCAATGGGGAGTTATACAAGTCACATATTGTGAAAGTTGTATTGCCCATGTTTAGATTGCAAAATTTTGCCTGTGGAAAATTTTTTATATTTCTTTATGGAAATGCAATCAGACCGAGACACTACAGCAGAAGAACTATCGCGTCTGCAGTGCACATACAAGATACACAAGAACTCTGCTTGCATTTCCATGAAGTGATGATCATAAATGTTCTTCCTTGAGCTGCGAAACTCCGCTGCACTCAGTGAACAACTCGTCAAAATGCTCCCCCACAGACAAGTGGCTTCTAGAGGAGAGTGGGTGAGTTGTGTTTGGTCCTTAAGGTCCTTACACACCAGGGCCGACACAAATCTAGAATGTGAAATCACGAAATATTCAAGGCGAATTTTGACGCGCCTGTCTATATACATCAAGCCCGATGTGATTTTGCTACTTTCCGGAGGGGAGAAGACGCATCCTGGGGAAGACTTTTCCCAGTAAAAGTCCCGCCTCCTTCACCTCGGATTGGCTAGAAAAGCTGGGAACGTCATCACACGCTCAAGCCAAATGGTCAGCACTTTTAGCCAATCAGAGGCAATAAGATAAGCACATGAAACTATGTTAACAACCGTTAGCTTACGTTAGCAGAGATGAAAGTTAGAACAAAGACGTTTAGCAAACTGTTGAAGCACACAAATCATCATCATTTTTGTTTAGCTCGACAACGTCACGTCTTCGTCGTGGAAAAAAAGGGGCGTTGACGAAATATTTTCGTCTACGTCATTGTCAACGAAAACAACACTGGATGGATGCGAACCAAAAGTTACTTACAGGAGCTTTAATGGTTTAAGATATTATGGTGACAAAATGCCGAAAAAGCCTCTCTGCAGTGAAGGAAAGTGCATAAAAAGAATAGAAGTTGTTTATATTTTCGTGGATTTTATAACATGAGAATATGTTGTCTACTTTATTTAGATTCCAGTGTTGACTCTCGCTCTCTCTCTCTCTCTCATCCACTGATGCTCTTCTTGACTGACAGACTCTGACATTTTTGAACACTCAGCAGAATAGAGTCATCAATATGCTCCAAAGCACTGACTATATATCACCATAAGGTTTGATCCCTAGGCGCCCCCCCATCCTGAGTGACGCCAGAGCGCAGCCCCATATGGCTGTGAGCGCGCGCTGCTGTTAAGCGCGAGGAAGGAAGATCATTTAGGAGAGAGAGACGAGAGGGGGACGGTGGAGGAGGAGGAGGAGAGCTCTTCTCGGACTTTTTGACGCTTTTAGTCGCTCCTGGTTGATGCTCGTAGGAAATTGACCTACAGGGATGAGGAGGCAGAGGTCGTAGACGACGAGCTGTTGCTCCACAAACCCAGAAGGTTCGACCCGGAGGACCGGAACAAGCATGAAGTCCACGAGTCAGGACCAGAGTTTGTCTGACTCCAGAGAGCTGGACAGATCTTATGACCCTCTCACAGGTAAAATACACCTTTATCATCTTTGTTTGTTTGCTGACCTGTCTCTTAAAAACTTTGCTTTGGTTTTCTACAAGAATTTGAAGTTTATTTGAACATGTAAAAATAATAATAATAAAGTAAAAAATACAACAGCAACTGACAGAAAGTGATTCATGTTCAAAAAGGAGTGGAAAGAAGTCCAGACTTATCTATTCTCACCCCCTCTCCTACACTAATGGTTTAAATATATCATAATATTATATAATAATATTAATCATTATAATAATAATAGCAATAAGAATAATCACCACTGTGAAAATAACAAAACAACAACCTTAAGACCTTAAAACAGGTAGACTTAGTGGAGGACTAAAGCTGACTGATGGGTAAATGATGTTTGACTTATAGGAGAAAAAAAGAAGTCGTCTCAAACATCATATTTATTCTTCTTCTGTGGCCTAACAGTTTGTGCAAATGTGAATACTACACACCACAGCTTCTCTGTTACTTCATTTAGCCAGCATTGTAATCTCTAAGAAACTTTGAATGCAGAAAGTTAATCTCATATAATAATAATAATACATTTCATTTATATTGTGCTTTACATCTGAGAAAACAGATCTCAAAGTTAATACAGTGAAAGGCAACAGTAAAAACAATCAATAAAAGAACGACAGAATTTAAAATCAGGCTTTTTCTAAAAATGAGGGTCTTCAAGTCCTTTTTTAAAAACATCTTTCGTCTGTGGAGCTCTGAGGTGGTCAGGAGGGGCGTTCCACAGACGTGGAGCAGTAGCCTCAAAGGCCCTGTCACCCATGCTCTTGAGCCGAGTTCTGGGTGGGCGTAAGACTCCACCACTAGATAACTAATTCACAGTTTTGAAACCCTTTAAAATGTAAAAGAACCGGAGGAACGTGTGTAAATGTCTCTAAAAGCAGCCTCTTCCTATCACCCACGGGTTAGAAGCAGAAAGACTTCTGTTTTAGGTTGGAGCCGGAGTGCATCCTTTTCAGTATGATTAATGCTTTTGTGTTGAATATTGGGCAAACATCTGGCAGTAAGAACAGATGGTTGAATCCTGTCTTTAGTAGGAGGTGGAACAGCGCACCGTGCTTCATGGAGGTTACATTAACCTTTTATTAAGAACATAAATAACTGAAACAGTGATTTATTAATTATTGGCCGACAGTTTCTAGTGACAACTTTTAATATCTAAGGATATTTTTCCTTTTTCTTTCTAAAGGGGCGAAATTTATTCTATTTCAAGAGTTAACTTTGAACTAGCGATGAGCCAATACTTTTTTTTCTGATACCTAGGCTGAGCGTATCGGCCGATATCCAATACCGATCCAATACTACTGTTGAATAAATGAACTGTATACTAGAGGATGACATTTTTCGGTAATTCCCGTGGGTCACGTGATTTCCGCGGGAATCCCACGGGATCGGAGTCATGTTTTAATTAATCCCGTGATCAGGACGGGACGGGGAAAAAAGCAACGGGAGCAGGCAGGAGCGGGAACAACATTAATAGATGATCATTACAGCCGTGTTCAACAACCAGATGAACAGATGCGTCCATTTTTGTACTCATCTCTCAGTGAGAGCCAACACTCTTGACCGCGCTAGCAACACAAAAGAACTACAACAGTGGTTTGACTTCCTGTCAGCTGTTAGCGCGGCTGAGCATTTCTACCCTTCAAGCCAGGAGCACGGATACGTCATTTTGTGACATTCTGTAGTAATTTTGAGTGGGAGCAGGGTGGGAGTCATTCGGGACGGGACGGGATTTTTTCTCTGGGAGTGGGACGGGACAGGAGTGAAAATCCGCTCCCGTGTCATGCTCTACTGTATACCTTGCCCTTGAGTGAAGACATCAGGCTTGATATTCACCTTGTTAAAAAAAAAAGGTGACAAATTAACACAGATATAAATTGACTTAATATCCTTACTAACAAATAACAAATTGCACTTTAGCACACAGCAAAAAGAAGTAAGACTTCCATGTAGTAAAAGAAAAATTCATCAGATATCCGATCCAGTTAATTTGTCAATATTGGAGCCGATATCCGATCCAAATATCGGATTGGTGGATCCCTACTTTGAACTGATGATACAGAAAAATCGTGACTTGCAGCTCTTAATACATCAGATGTGAGAATTGTGAGGTTTTAATTCTGACCTCAGTGTCCTCTCTCTCTCTCTCTCTCTCTCTCTCTCTCTCTCTCTCTCACACACACACACACTATCACACACACCTCATGCCTTTTGCTGTCATTTTTGTGACAACTTCCCGAAATAGTCTTTTCTTTTAAACATGACGGTATAAATGTTTAAAAATAACTCCCGGCACACTCTGTTGTTAGTTATAGTTTAGGACAGATGGTAGAAAGACTGTGGTTCATGTTCTGGCTGTTGAGCTGCACAAAAGGCGTATCTGTGATATCCATTCAGCAGCAGGTTAACCAAACAGTGAACAGGTGCATGAACACTGAGGCTTCAGGGGGCGTTCAAGAGACACAAACAGACCTTTTTATTAAAGAGTGAACCACAGGGGCGCTGTGATGTTCAACAGCCCGAGGCGCAAACTGTGTAAGTGCAGAGCCTTTAGTGTTCACCTCTATTGTTATTTCAAACAAACACCCTGCACTCGTAGTAAACGCGTCAAAGGTTAGAAAAACACTGCTTATGGAAAAACATGTTGAAAGGTACATTTTAAAGATTTATCAGCCACATAAAAACACATCGAGACGCAGCAGAAAATGCTCTTTATGTGCGGCGACTCAGCTGTACAGCTGCAGAAACCTCTTGTTGTTTACTCCTGACCATCTTCATACATTATAGATGGAGGATCTTTTTCATGTCATCACTTTCTACACTAGACTTCACATGTTACAGTGACCCTGACTGACTGACTGCTGCGGCTGCTGTGCTGCAGCTGGACTGATCTGGAGATACTTATCTAACAGTAAAGCTAGCGGACAGTTTGGCATAAAGACTGGAAACAGTTAGCCGGGTTTTACATGGGGACCTGAAACACTTAGTGTAGTGACAGGAACTGAAGGAAAGAAGGAGAAAGTAAACTCAGCTCAGCTTTAAGAATAGAGACAGTCAGCCTGACTTTGTATAAAGACCAGAGACAGAAAGTTTTGCTCTCCATAGAGACAAGAAACAGTTGGCTTAAGGTACAGACTTTAAATATTTAATGGAGTTCTGCATTAAGACTGGAAACACTTAGCTTACTTTGGCATTATGACCAAAACCTGTTTGTGCTGCATTAGGACTGGAATTAAGATGAGCTGATAGCTCGGCAAATAAATTTCAAACAGTTAACCAGGCTGAGCACAAAGACGTGATATAGTCAGCCTAGCTTTGCAGAAAAGTCCATGAAAAACTAAACCTACAGAGAGCTGTGCGTCTTTAGGGGTTCCCACATATACCCAATGACATTGTCTAACTCATGGTAAATCCATCACAGTCTGTTTGGTGAAGTTTTTAAAGATGTGTTTTAGGGCTGCATGATTGTGACCAAAAATTAAATCCCGTTTTTTCTCCGTAAACTCGCATTTCGATTACGATTTTTTTATTCAGGGACAACTTCACAAAAACTTTACTTTAAAAATAAAATGTTTTTCTATCATCTCTCAAAACAAAACCACTGAAAACAATGTAGTGCATAAGCCAAGCCAGTAAGTGGCGCTGTAAAGGTCCTTACACACCAGGACTGACACAAATATAAGACGTGAATTTACGAAATATTCGGAGGCGAATTTTCACGTGCCTGGCTATAAACATCGAGCCCGATGTGATTTTGCGACTTTCCGGGGGGGAAAAGACGCATCTCAGGTGGAAGCGAGAAGAATGACACAACAGCAGATTGAATCATGCAGCCCTAAGATGTTTAAAAAAACTCTATAGTTAGGATGAAATGGAGCTTTGGTTCCGGCCTGGAGCAGTTTTTGTAGCTTGCTCTGTAATAAGGCATCGTCATGCTTTTGAATCATCACTTTGCACACATTGAAAAAACTTAGTTCAACATCCACCTCAGAGACTCTCTGGGGTCACTTTTTGGTACCGAACAGAGACATGAGGCTGTTCCCTCCTGCTGGTTGCAGGTCCATGTTCATTGTGACTGACAGGAGTTTATAATCACTCCTCCCTCTAAACCTTTTAACAGGAAATCAAACTTTATTGTGTCTGACCGAATCATATTTTAGTGGTTTATGGTTTTAATGCTGAGTCTGCAGATTTGTAGAGATGACATTTTTAAGTGAATGTTGTCTGCGCTGGTGTGACAGAGTCTGCCTGCAGAATCACTGGAGCAGCCTTCTCAGTATTTGTTTGTATTCACTCTCGTGGATTTCATGTCATGATATCATTGTAGAGGCTCATGGACGTTTTTCTCTAATGCACAGAAACTTATTACTGATAAGGTAAATATTTTTATTTATGTAATATAATTACTCTGTAGATTTTAAATTCAAAGCCCTCCAGCAGCAAACAGACATCATGTTAAATGTGCCAAGTGGATTTGGTTGTGGGCTAAACTGACGTTTTAAGACCAATGTTGTATAACAAAACACTGATGCAGATCCAACAGAAGTGAGGAGGTGACGTCTCTGTCTGTGCGAGGTCACAGGAGGTGAAATAATTTCACGAAATAAACCTCCGTCAGCTTTACCTGGAAACTCATGATGTAAGTGGAAGAGGAAGATTGTGTAAACTGTCATATTTTGGTGAGTGCGTGCGTGTTCGTCTGCGTCCAGTTTGAATCAGACTGATGTCCGTAATCTGAGGCATGTCCTCTTGAGGATTATGGTAAGAGCGGAGGCTGTTGCCCGGGCAACGTTAGCTTACAAACATTTATTTGGATCTGCGTGACCCTGCTTGAGCTGCCATGACCCTGCAGTTGATGCGAGTTCTTCCAGTCAACCAGGAATGGTTTGATTTAAGCTCAGAATAATGAAACATCGTATACTAAAGGGTGCTTACAACTATTGTGCAATCTTTTGAGAGGTTTATTTGTAACAAACGTTTCTCTTTCTACTGATTCTACTGAGTTTTCCCTCTTTCACTCTCTGCCTGTGAACCAGTGCTCACCTTTTTATTGCTTTGAATACTTGATAAGGTCTCTGTGTCACACACAACTCTGAATCATGTTTGATAATATTTATTTTGGAGGGACACAACTCCACTTTTATTTAAAGCTTCTGTGAGGAACTCTCGGTTCGTGTCCAATTTGGTGCCCCCTGTTGACAGAGCAGTCTTCACTTATTTTATTGTCTAAGTGCTCATCCAGTGATTCTCATCCTGCTGACATTTGACAGAGAAACAAGATTTTTTCATGAATGTTTTAGGTGTAAATTGTTAAATAACTGTTGGCTGTTTCTGCAGCTGTTAGGCGGACAGCTTCCCACCCTTAACAGCAGCCAATCCTGTGGCTGATGGCCTTGTTTGCTTTTAGATATCATAGAAATGCAATAATGTAGAGCTGCAGATATCGAATATTTTAGTATTCCATTGATTACTCGAGTAATTGGACCCAAACGGCAGACTCACATAAAGTTAGATTTCCTAAAGCCCCGCCATGAAGGCCAGACTCGGAGAAATAGAGGACAATTGCGGAACAAGCGCGAAAAGTCGCCAAAGTCACTAGGTTGGCAACACTGCAAGAAAAGCCCCTCTCATCATTTATTTTTTCCGCTCTTCAAAACCTAAACAGCACGTACTCCTCCTTCTACCCTGGTGACGTAAGCGCCTTGTGTCACCTTCGAAAGAATCCGTGCGAAACAGTGACGATTTGAGCTTTTAAACGAGAACTTGAGGCAGAGAAAATTCCTCGATCGTTATTTGTAATCAAGGTACTCGAGGTATTCGAGGAATCGTTTCAGCCCTACGATAATATACATTTCAGTCTCAGAGGAGCTTTAAATGGCCTTCATGATTAGTTTTTTCCCTCGTGTTTTTTTCTGAATGTCAGAAACCTTCCTATTGTACTTGACTGAAGCTGATGGGTTCGTACAGTAGCCCACAAATGCAAACACACTGCGACTACTCAAACGATTTCCTTAATGAGGTGCAGGCTGCAGATTTCCATCTACACTTGTTCTCATATAAAATCAATATCCCACTGTGGTATCCTGGCTGACCGCAGAGCTAATAGCTGCAGCAGCTAACTGAACAGGAGATACTGGAACAAATCTTGATGCCTGTCACAAACTATTCGAGCTCAGGTGAGTATTTCAAAGATGTTTAAAGTAGTGTTTCTTTACAGCAGTCAGGCATGGCCAAAGCAGGTTGAAGGTTTATTCTAGTGGCTCTAAAAATGAACTGAGACTCAACGATGATACTGGAGTCTGCCAAATCTATCAAAACGATCAGGTCAAAGATCACTACAGAGGATATACCTCCAAACACGTATGAATTTCTAGCTGAAATGTCTGCACTGGTGGATCTATGCTGAAGGTTAGGATGAGAAAGAGTCTGTTAATGTTACGAGCAGCATTAACAAGAGTATTGATTGCTCTCAATCAAAGTCGCCCTCAGGGTCTCCGGGGCTGAGGAAAGGCTGCTGAGAACCTGTTGAAGTAACCGCTGAGTCAGTAAACCCCTTAGATGTTCAGCGTTCAGCTTGTACTGTAGGACGTTTAAATGTTACGTAACATAAAGTGAACATTTTTAAGGAGTTTGCTGAACAGTGTTGATGAAATCCTTCATGTTTAATATCTTATATAACTAATACAATCAGCTGGAACAATGCTGAACACTTCTAAGCCGTTTGCTCTCTTCGAATATACAACCTCCTCTCCTGTTTTTCTGCTGGATTACTCGGCAAACATGTCCCATCACTCAGACCCTTTCAGAAAGCCTGACAGTGACAAATATATCAGTGATCGATGACCTGCTCATTCTCATGTCTAAAAATATCTGTTATCGTCGTCTCTTTGAAAAACTGATCACCGTTTTAAAAAAAGCATCTTCTAGTTTTTTTATAGCTTCGTTTTCTCTTTGACGCTGACTGATCTGTGTCAGCGTCAGTGCGTGTTTGTGCGTGTGCGAGAGTGTGTACAGGAGGCGCCCTGTAAAGCTTTATTTGTTTTTCCAGAGCTGTGCAGCTGCTCTGCTGGATAGTTTGATTGACATATCCTATGTAGAAACAGGGTGGCAACTGGTTTCATGTCGCAAAATGAGCCAATACCTCTCTTTATTCGTGCTTAATCAAAGAGAATACATGCACACGTCTGCAAAGTTGATTTTGCGTAAAGGAATACAAAATTTTTTATTAATTTGGAGTAAATAATTTGATTTTTATTTGAACTCAGTACACAATCCCTGTTTAACAATTCTCCAGCTTTTCATCGCGACTGTTCCAGAGATTTCTCAGGTGTGTGGATGAGTTTCATTAAACATATAACTATAATTATAGCTGCTGATCACCATGAACAAATTTATGCTCATTTAACACTGGCGATAAAAACTACCAATCAAAGGATGCACACTTTCACGCTTGACAATATGTCACATTATGAGCAATTCACCGATTTTTAAAAGGAAAGCAGATGTAAGTTAATGTTATTTTGACTCTTAATCAGCATCAGATTACTCAACTGTCAGTGTTTGTGTCCTTAAATGCTCTGTGTGGCTTTCTGTCTGTGGATTTGTTTTGCTTTTCTCTGATTGACCGGTCTTAAAACTGATTAAACTGCAACACTGCCCTCTGCTGGAAGAAAGGAAACACATACGTTATGACCCATCTAGGGGTGGCAAGGACACAACCTGACAGTGGATCCATTTATTTGGTGGTTGTGCCTGTTTTTGTGTGCTCTCTGTTCAGCTGCAGCTTGTTTGAGGATCAGCACCTGGAACCATAGTACCAGTGCTGTTTCAGATACAAACACATGGAGCGCACTGTTATTGTACTCTCTTTGGATTTATTGCTGGTGTTTCTGCCCTGATCCAACTCAAAACATCCCTTTTTCTTTTGAAATCATTTCTTTTTACATGATCATTAATCATCCTTCAGACTTACACTCTTAATTGAATCATTGTTGGCAGCTAAACTGGTGTTAAACTCATTTAATTGTCTATCTTCTAAAAAATCTCACTTTCTCGTTAAGTTATGATTATGAAAAATCCCTCCTTTAATGATGTACCTTAAACCCACAAACATCAAATCTAGGGCTGGGCGATATGGCCTCAAATCATTATTACGATATATTGAGCATATCACCTCGAAAACGATAAATGGGCGATAACCACTCTACAAGCTGCTTCATCTACTTCACACACCGCTCCAGCCGCAACAACTTTTGAACCGTCCTCCATCTCCTCACCTGTCTTTCCCTCTTTGTTATGGACTGGATGAGGTGGAGTCACGTCTCTGATGTAGGACAGCGTCTTAAAGGGACATGAGACCATAGCCTACCTACACACATCCAAAACCAACTTTTATTGATTTATTTTTTTGACACCGAATATATTGACAATGACGTTGGTTATTGTCGTAAATTTTGGTATCAGCAAATTTTCGGTTTATCGCCCAGCCCTAGAGAAAACCATATATGAACCTCTTCTGCAAATGCTCGGGACTTCTCAGGGTCTGCAGCCATTTCAGATGGACTGAGGTGAATTGGAGAGCACTCCTGTGGTCCACAAGACAGACCACCAATGTTGCTGTTTTTTGCATTATTTTAAATATTGGGTTTTTACGATTTACAATTTTACCTCATTTAACTCAGAGTCCTGATTATTTTGGCATTCAGGTCGTAGGACTGAGTCAACATTTCATCACTCTCGTGTTCATTTGTAGCACTTCATTGTCAAGTTCAGTCTCTGCAACACAGACATCATAAATTCTGAGAATTGTTAATTCAGTTCTGTTGACATGGGCGAATTGACATTGGTTATTGTCGTAAATTTCAGTATTGATACATTTTCAGTTTATAGCCCAGCCCTAATCAAACCCAAACAATGATAGACCTTCAAATGTGCTCGGTGGGTAACCTTCAGTCCTGTGTTTTAAACTCAGCTCTGACTTTTTTATCTGACGGGTCACACTGGTCCAAAATCAGATCTGCAAACTGAAGTTTCATGAAAGAGTGAATCAAAGTATCTGAGTGCAGATTTTCCTGTGATTTAACCTGCTGCTCTCTGACCTGTTTCCAGGTAATCCAGCATCAAAACCTCATAAAAAGAGCATCAAGCAGCGCTTCCTCAAACTTCTCCCCTGCTATCGCTCCAGCTCCAGCTCTTCAGTAGGTCAAAGTAAGTAACACAACACACAGTCCATCATGAGCAGTGTTTCATGTGCACTGTGGGGTATCACGTTATCTATCTCATGTCTTTCTGTCCTTGCAGAGAGTTTGACAGAGGATAGTGAGCTGGCCACACTGAGTTACAGACCTGAGGGGATCGACCGTCTTGTACAGCAGACCAGCTTCAGCAGGAAGGAGCTGCAGGTCCTCTACCGGGGATTCAAAAACGTCAGTCAGAGATTCCTGATGAGTCTCTTTTCAAGTCCTTTTCACGTCTGTGTGTGTAAACCGGGACTGTTTACATTATCTGTAACTTTCAGTAAAGTTTGTGTTCATGTGTTGTTCCTCCCCGCAGGAGTGTCCCAGTGGTGTGGTGAATGAAGAGACTTTTAAAAGCATCTACTCGCAGTTCTTCCCTCACGGAGGTCAGTCCTTCACACACACTGGAAACATATCTGTTCCTGAAACTAACATTAACAAAGTCACTGTTTCACTGAGTCTTTTTGGAGACATGATGACTGACACTTTTTCTCTCTCTGTCAGATTCAAGTATGTACGCACATTTCCTCTTCGAGGCTTTTGACACTCACAACAACGGGGCGGTCAATTTTGAGGTGATTTTTTCCCATCCATCATTTTCTGCTGCTGTTACTTTTTTTTTTTCCTTCTGTGAAGTGTGTTGAAAACTTTGACAGTATATGGAGGAGGAGTAGGGCCACCAACACAATGAAAAAACAGTTTTTTTTTCAACTAACTTTTTTTTCTCAGAACACAGAATTTAATCTTAAAATTCTGATTTCCCCCACCCCCCTATAATTCAGATTTTGTTTTCTTGAAACCATGACTATTTTATTTGGGGATTGTGACATTTTCCGCATAATTCTAATTGTAATATTTTTGTAATTGTGATTGTAAAATCACAATTCTAATCATAATCATATCTTTTTTTCTCATAATTTTGACTGAAATTTAATATTTCTGTCTTTTTTTCTCATCGTTTTGACTTAAATTTTATAAGTCTGACTTTTTTTTCTCATAATTCAGATTTTTTTTTCTCAGAAGTCTGACTTTTTTGAAATTCTAACATTGTCCCAATAATTCTAATGATAATCCCACAATTCTTACTTATTTTTCTCAGAAGATTGACTTTTTTCTCCCTTAATTCTGAGCTCATAAACATAATTCTGACTTTAATTTCATGATTTTTTCTCAGAATAACAACCTTTTTTATGATTCTGACTTTTTTCAAGGAATAATGTATTTTATCATATTATGTTGACTTTTTGATATCATAATTCTGACTGTGAGCTCATGATTCTGACATTTTTTAAAATCACAATTATGATGTTTTCATGAGAATTAGAAGGGGGAAAAAAGTTCTGACCTAATTTTTATTTATTTATTTATTTATTTAAAGGCCTGTAACTATCACACGAAGTCAGGTTGTAAAAAAATATCTGAACTCCCAAAACACTTCAGATTAAACCCCAGCACGGTACAGGTTATTAAAATTTACCAAAGAGTGATCGTCTTTATAAACACTGAGCTGTAACATTTACCTCACACCACTGAATCATTCACAGTAAATACCACCAAACACACCGACTTAAACCACTGAAGTCACAGCAGTCCTCTTGCTCTCTCTGTCCTTTCTGATTCTTCTGTTGTTATGGCGATACTGTCCAGATCTCCGTGATGACTCTGTGTCTCTCCTGCTGTAGGACTTTGTTTTGAGTCTGTCCATCATACTGAGAGGCTCCATCACTGATAAACTGAACTGGGCCTTTAATCTGTATGATCTGAACAAAGACGGCTGCATCACCAGAGAGGTACTTAAACCATTTCCCTCTTTGTCTCTGCGCTTGTATCTTTTATTTCTAATTTGTTGAATTACTTCTCCCTCATTTCCTCTGTGTGTGTGTGTGTGTACAGGAGATGACAGATATCATGAACTCCATCTACGACATGATGGGGAAGTATACCTACCCCAACATGAAGGATAGTGCTCCTAAAGATCATGTAGACAACTTCTTCCAGGTAAAACACACGAATCTGTCAGGTGTGCTCTGAAACCTGAAACCTGAAACGCCAGTTTAATTTGCTTTTCTACCAGGTTCTCGAGTTTAATTGGAGTTCAGCAATAAGACAATTCAAAGAGCTAAATGTAGACATTAGAAGAACCATGGAGACGTATTAAAATAAATGTGATCTTATCTGTGTGTTTTGTTTTCCAGAAAATGGACAAGAACAGGGACGGGGTGGTCACCATCGAGGAGTTCCTGGAGACATGTCAAAAGGTTTCCTGCGTTCATATTTTCAGACCATCTTCCAAAACCACATTCATAAACCAGATAAAATCTCCACTTTAATCTGTGGCTCTGTCAGGAATTTAACTTTGTCCCGATGTTTCTTCTTCCAGGACGAAAACATCATGCAGTCCATGCACATGTTTGAAAATGTGATCTAAGGTTTTTGGTGGACACACACGTCAGATTTTCATCTGTAGTTTTCAGCCCCAAACCAGAGTGGACGGAGTTTAACAGGAGCAGAAACTTAAACACGATATCCACCCCTGAAACCACTTCTTTGATCCTTTTAAATCAAGGTTTGTTGTTTGGGAATAAGTCGGAGGAGCTGTTGTTTTAAGGTGTTTTATCATGATGGATGAACCAGTTTGAAGACGCATGTTCACTGCGGTTAAAAAGCAGCTCTTAAAACACGGTTAATAAATGAAGAGATTCTCAAAAAAAGAGGCAGTTTAGTACCGTGGCCTCCGTACTCGACTAAATGAAAGCTATAAACCATCTTATTTTCCTGTAATGCATGAATGAATGTGCAGACACATGAGGAAAGCTGAAAATGCTGAATTTGTTTTGGAGTTTTAAACTCTTTCTGTACGAAAAGTCATGTTGACATTGAGAGGAAGGCTCAACTTTACAGGAATGTTATCAACAACTCTTTGCTGCCCTCTCCTGTTTATTATAACACTGTGTATGACGTGTCTGCATGATGTGTTTGTTCGACTGGCCATTAAAATGTGAAACCTTAGTCTACATATATTTTCTATATGGACATAAAAACAGTGAAGATGAATAAAAACAACACAAACTCTTTTCTTTAGTTTGTCAGTTTTGTTTACTCAGACTGTTTCGTCATACTTCAAGGTGGGGTAGGCAGGAATCGATTAAAGAAGTATCTTTTTTGTGGTGTATAAAGAAAAGAAGTTTTTAATATCAGTCAATTGCTATTAGTTATTGATGACATTTGAGAATATCATGATATTGCTGTGTTCTTTTGTGTTCTTTTGTGTCTGTGTAGTCAACATTTTGAGATTTTTGAGCGGTCCGCTCTTTCTGACTGTAAACAAAGCCGTTCTCCACCTCCCCAACCTGATTGGTTGAGGCGGACGCTGCTCCCTCGTGTTGTGAGGCACGCTCCACATCCTCGAATAACATTCATGAGCCCAAACAAAGTTAGCATGCTACAATATCGGACAGCAGAAAACCAACCAGAAAGTACGAAAAATGGTCTTAATCCTCCTTTAGCCACGACTGCCGACACAAGCAGGAAAACAAAGTTAATACCGGAGACTCTGGCAGAATGGGCGCTTAAAAAGGAGGTAGACCGGAGAAGAGCTAAAAAGCCGGGTCAACATCAATGAAGCATAAATGATGGGGGACACTTCGGGATCTTATGGACCCTGTAACCTCTCTGCTGGACAGGTAAACCGCTTTAACAAAGAAAGCCAAGTGTCTGTGACATAGACTGTATACTGAATGGACGCCGTCTGCCTCCTTGCTGGGTGAAACCACCCTGAGAACAGCACGCTCTGGTGACAGGCTGCAGTATAGGTCATAAATCCAGCCTCCGCCAGCAAAGCTTATGGAGCTGTGGACAAACTTTAGAAATTTATTACAGAGAAAGTAAACTTTTCTCCTGACATGTAGTTACTGTAAGACTGGTTTGTGCTCAAGTCCTCTTTTTCTGTACAGCTCCACTTTTAAAAGTTATTAGTGGGTTCATGTTTTCTTTGATTGACACCTGATACAGCCTATGGGCGTATGAAGATTGCATTGCTCATCCAGGGGATACGCTGTTTGAGCCGAGCGTCATCACAACGACTCAACCCCGAATGCGTACAACATTTTTGCGCAAGTGGTGGTTCAGGAAGTGGAGAAAATCCTGGAAATACCGAGACCATTCGGCTTTAAATTCGTCTAATGACGGTCTATGGGTGAATCCCTGAGAGGTAACACATGTAAAAATGCATCTAATTAGATACTCAATAAACAGACAAATAACAAATACATTTAATATATCCTTTATTTTTATTAAACAAAATTTCAGTAAAAACTCTTAAGTAGAAAGACAAATTTCCCTGTCAGTAGTTTTCTCCAGCTGTAGGACCGACCCCGACCTCTTCTAACTCCTTGATTATTTCACTCAAATCTTTTCTTTACAATTCAGTTCACAACGAGATACATCTTTGTTAATGTTTTAATAATGCCAAATTATATCAGCCTTTCCCCGGTGAATAACTTATAAAAGATGAGAAACATTTCATAAAACAAACATCTACACTCTAAAAGGTAATAATCCACGTTACATCCGAGTCAGGAGCGGCCCTACACTGCTCTCTGAAAGGTCCGTCCCAGACCTCCACATCATCGTTTGTTCACTCCTACTGAATTAGTGCTGAGAGGACAACAGAGCCATCCTGCCTGGCTCTCTACCAGCGGGAGAAAGTCGACAGTAAATAGTGTCAAACTTGCGGCGTAGACAGCAGTGTCTGTTACAAAGGCATTAAAGAAAGGAAAAGAGCGGTGAGCAGGTGCACCGTGCACGTACAGCCACCTCTGGCAGTGTTTTCAACTGTTATTTACTTTTTTTTTAACTTTTCTTAAAAAAAGAAGAAGCTACATGATTATCGTCACAAAATAAAATCTCTTTGGCATAGAATACCCACCCAAAAGCATTAACACGCTCACACTCACTCACACATCCACACACTCACAAGTTCACCTCCCATGCTCGCACACACACACACACTCTTTAAAGGTTTTCTAACAGAAACCTACAAGCGTTGTCGTCACTGTCAGAATGAAAATCAGCAAAATTATGTTATAAAACAAAGTTGAGCCCTGTTAACATTATATGAGTCCCGTACTCAGTGATAGTTGCATATTTTACATGAGAGGCTGAGAGCTGAAGGAATAATCTCTACTGGTGACTACGTCTCTTCCTCCTGGTGTGTCCCACATCAGCTCCTCTTCCTCCTCCGTCACCTCTCCTCTGGCTCTACAAGAAGGAGAAAGAGACAGATTAAAAAAATGTTTAACTTGCCAGAAGTTATTTAGAAATCATTAAGTTGTACTTTATTAACATTATAGACTATAAGCGCTCTGATAACATCCTTAATTTGAACTTTTTGCTTTAAATTTTGAGTCTCCAACATGAGCATTTGTGATCAAGTGTTTAAACCTGAGCTTTCCTGTCTGTCTTTAAAGGGATATTCCGGTGTAAATTTAAGTTGTGGTCAAACACACCGGAACACCGAGTAAGAGCCCTGACGAGTCGATCATTGAGTGCAGCGAAGTTTCGCAGCTCAAGGAAGAACAATTGAAATTCTTATTTAATAGAAATGCAATCAGAGTATTTGTGTATCTTGTATTTGCACTGCAGATGCGGTAGTTTATCTGCCTCAGCATCTCGGTCTGATTGCATTTCCATGAAGTAATGATCATAAATGTTCTTCCTTGAGCTGCGAAACTCTGCTGCACTCGTTGATCGACTCTTCAGGGCTCCCCCCACAAACAAACGGCTGCTGGAGGAGAGTAGGTGAGTTGTGTTTGGTCTCTTCGCTAAAGAAACCAGACAAAGCTAAAACAATGTTTGACAGCGAGGACTATGGCTGGGACCCTATATGTCCTGTTGATGAAGTTAGTTGCTGTTCTGAGCATTATTTGTGGCTATAGAGTGGCTTTTAGTTGAGCGTGTGGCTCTCTCAAGTAGTCAGCAACATTCATCTCTTGAGGGGATGTCTAACTCGGTGTTAGGGTGTGTTTGACCATAACTTAAATTTACACCGGAATATCCCTTTAAGGGGAACACGGAAACTGAAAGATCATAATTTTCACTCCAACACTGAGGAGGACAATCCTCTAAGTTCTAGTGCAAGAAGTTTTCAGATGTATTTCACTCAAAAACCATGGCAACAATCACAACAGGTGGTAAAGGTTGACCCCTTGATTTGGGTTTAAATAACTCACGACTAACTCACAACTTTAAATAACGAAAGTCTAAGAATAAAAAAAGTCTGATCTGATTTTAAACTTTTGAGCTACAATGACATCAGTTTTACAACCATGTGACAATAATCGTTTTAAGGACAAGATATAGTTTCTAATATCATATTTAATCTGCTTTTTTGACTGTATATCCTGCTTTTCATATTCATGTTTTATGTCTTTTTACTTGTTCAGTTTGTTCCTACTGTTCATTTCATTTCATGCACATGTAGAGTACTGAGGGAAATGTTGTCAGCGCTCTTGTTACAGAGTTATACTGTTGGTAGGTCAAACTCTAGTTTCACTGAGAAAAATATTAAACAAAAAAATTTACATTTAACCGACAGTTCATGATTTGCAAAGGTGAACTTTGCATGCACTAACCTTGAGGTCAGTACTCAGGGTACGCTTGTCTGTCGTAGGCCATGCTCGCTGCGTATTCGTCATGCATCATGCCCCCGTCCATGCCGTCCATGGGCATATCAGCTGGATAACCTCCATAACCCTGGAAACCAGCATCCAGCTCTGAAAGACATCATATTTGTTTTAGTTTGTTTCTTGTTACTCACTGGAAAAACAGATTATCTGTAATTTCACTTGGCTAATTGAACACAGCTGTTATAATAAGCCGGTGAAAATCATCAAACATTTTCCCCGTTTTAGGCATATTTTGGTACGGAGAGCAAGAGACAGGCAGACAAGACCCTGATCCTTTTTCCTCTGAGGGTCTTAGGAGACAGAAAATACCACAACCATACAAGGAGAAAAGCCAGATGAAGAGGAAAGTGGAAATAAGTGAGGGATGAAAACACAGAGAAGGAGGTCAACTGACGCAGAGCAAGTATTTCAGACAAAAAGAAGAACGAAAAAAGGAAACAAAAGACAAAAGAGAAGAGGACAAAGGCTGCGGTGACTGAGTTCAGTATAAAGTTAAGAGTTATGAGGCAACAGAGAGAGTTAAGAGAGAATACGGCAAATTAAAACCAAGGCTTAAGTGTCATTTTACAAAAGGAAAGACACACTTTAGCTGTTTAATCATGTTAAAGACATCCAGTTAGCCGATTACAGCATGTTCAGAGTGCAGTCGCTCTCTGTGGTGGAGTGACCCAAAGCTGGAGAATGTGCTGTCTCTGCACATTTCAAACATAGTTACTCACCATCTGGATACGGTCCCTCTGCTTGTATACTGTTGTGCGCCTGCAGGGAGGTCAAGAGATGGGGAGAGGTCATTTAAAGGCAGCACTTTGATTTATAGACAAGTATTAATAGCTTTTTAAGTATTGTTTATCCTTAAAATTATAAACATGTCATGAAAAATGCTTTTAAAATATTCTCTCGATCTTCCATCAGCATTGTTTAAAAGAGGTCAAACTGCCGTGATGTTAAACCAGAGACGACAAAATAATAAAATAAAGATCAGAAACTGATTTTAATGTTCAGTTGTTGTGTCCTGGCAGCAGAGGGCGCCACACACTCACCATCTCCCAGGCAGCCGGGTCGTTTTTGAACAGAGAGTGTGTGAGCTCCACAGAGACCCGCTTCTTATAGTCCGAGTTCTTATCCTCAGAGATACGGAAGAGCACAGCTGCAGCGTAGGTAGCTAAGGAGGAGAAACAAGGACACAATTAGAGATAAACAGCAGACTTCCTCAACATTTTAGATAGAAATATGTCCAAGATTGGGAGTACTGAAGGGAAACAGACTCTCAACTTTGGCCATTTCCCAACGAACATTCAAGATATCGCAGAAGTACAACAGATAGAGTGCAAATGACTGCAGGGGGGAGTCTTCTTAATCCAAAACCAGGGTTACTACACATTTCCATACTTTTTCATACCTTACTTATTCGAATTATTTTTGGAATTACCTACTTTTCTATTTTAGTAAACAGTATTAAAGAACTTTGGTAATAATCTGGAAACATATATACTTTTCCATACTTTATTTTTCATTTTCAATATTTTTTAAGACCTGGAAATTGATCAAATTACTTTTATACTTTTCCATACTTGCATTGCAACCGTGCAAAACACTACAATTTATGTTAATCTGCAAACATCATAGAAAACCCCTGGATGCTCTCGCAGCCGATGATACCTCACAGCTTAGGAGGGTTGCATGTCTGAGGTCGTGGGATCGAGACAAGATTTAGGTCTTTTGTTTTTTAATAATGTGATGCCCTGAAATACAGTCATTTTAGCCAGAATTTGCACAAAATCCATATAACTGCATAAATACTAGGGCTGGGCGATAAACCGAAAATTTACCGATGCCGAAATGTATGATAATAACAGACGTCAATATATTCAGTTTCAAACAAATAAATAAGTAAATAAATAAAAGTTGGTTTTGGATGTGTGTAGGTAGGCTATGGTCTCATGTCCCTTTAAGACGCTGTCTTACATCAGAGAAGTGACTCCACCCAATCGAGTCCATAACAAAGAGGGAAAGACAGGTGAGGAGATGGAGGACGGTTCAGAAGTTGTAGCCGCTGAAGTAGACAGGGGGGTAAGCAGCTTGTGGAGTAGCTATCGTCCATTTATCGTTACCGAGGTGAACTGTTTAATATATCGTGATGTTGATTTGAGGACATATCGCCCAGCCCTAATAAATACTGTTTTGTTTTTTTTCTGACAGGAATCGAGCTACAGTGCAACTTAGATGAATTGATAGATGAGATAACAGCTACTCTTCTCATTGCTGTAGGTTCAGTTTAGTAATGGAGAGCCCCTAAAATAAAAACATTCCCCCTCTACTCATGAGACTGAATTCGATAATAGCAGAGAAATGTTTCATGATGGTGTAAAACTGAAAGAAAATATCAATAAATACCTCAGACATTCGACTTGAACTCACCCCAAACTCTCTGTTTTAAATTTAGCATCAGCGTCGCTCTGACACAAACCCAAACACAGGCCTGGCTTTGAGTGTAAAGTGATCTCATGTTTAATTATTTACTTGGAACTTGTTCTAAGTTTTTGAATATTTCATGAAGTCAATGACCTGAATTACTTGGGTAAACTTGCAGACTCAATCCTAATTCTTCAAATGTTTTCTTTAAACATAGGGTATGGACAGAAATCTGCACTTACAGGAAGTACCGCACTTGTGTAAACTGTTTCTTTCCACCTCCGACTAAATGCTGCATCACAGTCAGCTCTGGTCAGCACATTATCTGAGCGTCTTACCGATGCCCTCGTTGTTGGAGTGGAGCAGGTCCATCAACGGAGATGAGGCTCCCTCTGCATCAATCAACTCTGCTGACGGTTTGTCCAGAGCCAGCTCACACAGGACGCCGGCCGCCACGCGCTTCACGTTATCCACTGGAGAGTAAAGAAGCTGAAGAGGAGAGGGAGGAGAGGAAGTGAGTGAAACGAAACGAACGAAGAGAAGTCGGTGATCGAGAGGAGAGAGTGAGCTGAAGATTCATGTTACCTGAACAAATAGAGGGATGGTCTGCAGGTTAGCAATCTCTGCTCTGTTGACGGGGTCTCTAGCCAGGATGTGCAGAGCTCCTGTGCTGCCCTCCACAATCTCCTCCATCCTCACTCCATCCTGAGGAGCAGCATGACAAGAACAGTTGTTACCCAAGCATACAGAAAATACTCAATAATTCACAACTCCCTTTCCCTTCCCGATCCTCAAAACACACGTTGTTTTGCCAACGATCACAAGCATCCTTTCAGACGAGCTCCTCATGTACCTGGTAAGTCTGCTGGGCGGATGATTTCTGGGCGTCTTGGTGGGCTTTAAGAAGCAGGTTAACCAGGCGGGGGATCGCCCCAGCATCTCTCAGCGGGGCCTGGTTCTCGGGGCACAGCGCCAGGTTGCGGATCAAGCCGTTTACAGCCTTTAGGGGAAGAGGAGAGGAAAGGAAACTTTAAAGACAGTGCCTCTTGGACTGGCCAACAAAAAATAAATAGAGACAACTTTAAGCTTCTCCACAGAATAATAAACGAATGAATGATAGAGTGCTTCTTAAAACAGTTTTACAAAATAAATGAAGGAAAACAAAGAGAAACTCAAGGAATATAAAGACTCAGCATTAAAAAAATACTGTTTACTTTATATTAAAAACGAATAAATACACCAAAAGATTTATGAGAGGAAATGAAGTAAATACAGAGACTGCTTTACAAGAAGAAGTCTGAAAACTACTAAAAACAAAAACAGACCAGAGCCTGCTTTAAAAATTGACAATAAAACTTTAAAATCATTTCCGAAATTTATCAGGAGCCCATGAAGGGAAGCTAAAATATGAGCGATGTGTTCTGGTGAAGAGGCTGTAACTTGTGCAAACTCTGTCGGTTTTTCAAGACGTGAGTACGAAGAGTTCCAGTCGTCCTAATAGGATGAGATACAAGCAATTTAGTCACTCATTTTGGAGAGTGTCAAAACAAGATCGCATATATGTGCTAAGATGCTGGATCAGACTGAGGATGAATTGATTATTCTTCTCCTCGGTGTCCAGTCTGGTCAAACATACTGCTCCTGCTGTCATGCTTTCTCAGGCTGATTGAGACTCTGGCCTGCAGCCCAACCTGACATCCCCTCAGTCCATCTGTCATTTTCTCTCCTTTGCCCACAGATTTGTCTTTTTCACCGAGCCCATTAATCACCAAATATCTCTTATGAAGTTATCCTAAAGTGGTTTTGGAGAATCTTTAACTTTTTTTTACTTTCTGTTAACTCTCATCTCACTAGAAAAACTATTTCTGTAAATTTTGATCAGTCAGATGTCATGTGGTATGGAAAATGTCTGTTTGGGGTGACCCTCCCCTCCTCTCTACCTTGATGACGGGCCAGTAGTAGGGTTGGTTGAGCAGCTTGACGATGGCGGGGATGCCGTAGTGTTGTCTCACAGCGTTCTGTGCCAGCTCGGCCTGTTGGTGGCGGGAGGTCAGGTGGCGCAGAGCACAAACGGCAGGCTCGGTCACATCCTCCTTCTCACCTGCACGCAGTATGGCGTGGATCAGAGACTCCACGCCGTTGTTCATGGTAACCAGGGATTTGTTGTGAGCATTGTTGCATGTGAGGTTGGACAGGATGCCGGTAGAACAAGTAAGCATGTTGAGGTCGTCTGAGCTGAGGAGGCCGACCAGCGTCTGCAGGAGACTGTCCATACCCTCCTGAAAACGATTGGAAGACAGATATTAAAGACTTCTAAAGACGACGGGAAGTAAAAACAAAAAGACGGGGAAAGGCTAGGACACGGACCTGTTTGGTAGCAGCATCAGACAGGTTTCTGAGTGTCCACAGACAGTTCTGCTGGAGACGCTGGCTGGAGCCTGTCAGGTGTTTTCCCAGAGCCTGCATCCCACCTGCAGGGACAGAGCGGTTAGATCATTCAGCCCTCAACATTATTTAATATGTTGTACTGTCATGTAGCTGAACTAAAGCCATTGACAGTTCAGGTATTAAAAAGTTGATCCACCTGTATGACTGCCTTACAAAGACGCACAGGTGCGCACACACACCAAAAAACACACATTACATACCAGCCTCAACAATGGCGGGCTTGTTGCTGGGGCACACAGAGAGGACTTTGAGCACACGGCTTGTTGTCCACAGCAGCTTTTCATAGTCGTAGTTTCTCATGATGTGAACCAGACCCTCAGGACCCCTGTTGGCCAGGATGATGAGCTGTGTGAGAAACAAAGACAGAGAGGCGGAGTTAGACACAGAAAATGCTGAGTGTCCTGAAACGCTCAGGATCCTCCGGTCAGAGACTTTGACCTGTCGAGGCAAATTAACACTTAATCATCTCCTATTTTACTACTTATAACCACACCTAAATCCTCACTGTGCCATCTTCTGAGGACTCTGTTCACATGCCACACCCAAAACAAAACACATGCACACACAAGCTCGACAGTGTCGGATTACAACACCTCACTGGTATGAGGTGCAACAGCCATTTTGTTTTGTGCCCTGACACACACACACACAAACACACACACCTTGCTCTCCTGGTTGCCGTAGGACAGCAGCTGCAAACAGTCCGTAGTGATGGCCAGGAACTTGTGGTTGCTCTTGTTCAGCAGAGGAACCATTTTCTGCAGGCCGTCAGCCAAACGCACCGCCATCTTGGCTCCTTCCTGATGCAGCAGTAGGTTGTGGAGTGTGGTGATGGCGTAGAAGAGCACGGACTCCATGGGAGAGCTGAGGGAGAGACGCGTGTTTGTTATGTGTCAGACGTAAAGAAATGCGAGTTATGGTGTCGTGGTCTTTACTTTCTGTTTGGATCCTTTTCTACAATCATCTTAATTTAAGGCTGACATTTGTCTCATTTCATCCTGGAGTACCTGAGCATGCGGACCAGAGCAGGGATCCCTCCAGATTTGAAGATGGCGAGCAAACCCTCTCTCTGGTGGGACAGGTTGTGCAGGATGCTAGCTGTAGCCCGGGCTGTCTCCATGTCACTTGTATTCTGCATCGCCCGCACCACTGCTGACACCATCTGTGGGGACTGCATCATCACACGCCGAGAAGCGTCTTTGCGTGTGAGCTGGTTGACGATCTGCGCGGCCTTGCTAACCACCACCTGACGAGAAATGACGGGGGAGATAGACGGTCACTTTCTCCTGAGGGAAAATAAGTTTCAGAAACAGCGGCAGCTACTTTTATCCTGTGACAGTTTTAGACTATTTTTGTCTGAGTGATCCTGCGATCCTCACCGGGTCTTCGTCGTTGAGCAGCTTGGTGAGCTCAGGTATGGCGCGGGTGGCTAGCTCAGCATCATCCTGGTAGTTGATCAGATGGATGATGGCGTCCTTGAGCTGCTGGGATGGCTCTGCCAGCTTCTGGAGGTTGGTCATCTTGGACGGGTCTGTCTCAATGGACAGGGTGTCGGTCCCGCCCAGTGGATCTGGGAACATGGATGCACGAACCCTTGCGGCTCTGGTCAGAGAGTCTGTTGGTAAGAGAGATGGTAATGATGATGATGATGAAATTGTGGGACACATTTTATTATTATTACTGGTATTATTCTTTTGTTTTGGAAGCTTAAAGAGATATTCCAGCATAAACTAATTTAGGGTCAAACACACCATAACAACGAGTTAGACAGCCCCTCAAGCGATGAATAGTGCTGACCGCTTGCTTCTCTAGTTATACCAACTTTAGTCACGACTGCAGGATAGCAATACACAGTCGTCTGAGGAGCCATAAACAAACCTCAACCAAAACGCCACTCTATAGCCACAAATAATGCTCAGAACAGCACCTAACTTCATCAACAGTACATATAGGGTCCCAGCCACCAAACATCTTTTTAGCTTTGCCTAATCCATTACGGTTTACAGCGGGGTGACGCAGCTCAAGGAAGAACATTTATGATCATTTCTTTGTCAGTTCCTTGAAGTAATAATCACCATATTAATTATTTTGCACTGCAGACGCGGTAGTTTTTCTGCCTTAGCGTCTTGGTCTGATTGCATTTCCATTGAGTAATGATCATAAATGTTCTTCCTTGAGCTGTGTCACCCCACAGCAGTCCGTAATGGACTGGCCTGAGGTCCCGCTACAAACAAGCGGCTGCTGGAAGACTGTAGGTGAGTTGTGTTTAGTCTCTTTGCTAAAGAAATTAGGCAAAGATAAAAAGATGTTTGGTGGCTAGTACTATGGCTGGGACCCATATGTACTGTTGATGAAGTTAGGTGTTGTTCTGAGCATTATTTGTGGCTATAGAGTGGCATTTTGGTTGAGCATGTGGCTCTCTGTATTGCTATCATGCGGTCATTACTAAAGTTGGTAAAACTAAAGAAGCAAGCGGTCGGCAACATTCATCTCTCGGGGGGGGTGTCTATCTCAGTGTTATGGTGTGTTTGACCCTAAATAATTTTTACTTGGCCTCAGTATTTGGAGGGACTGAGCTGAACCAGCCCCAGGCCCTGAACTATCCAGGCAAATACCAGAAAGTTCCTGCACATGACCTGATTGAGGTCTTTCTGTCGACTCACCTTGCATGTCACCCGTGGTGGTGGTGGTGGTGGTCATCGTGAAGTGCTTGATGATTTCACCGTCATCATCCCTGATTGTGTTGGCTCCAGACTGGATGCCAGAGTCAGCCCCATACATCGTCTCCTTCCACTCCATCACCTTCGCCCTGCCGCTCTCTACCTCAGGCCCTGCAGAGCAGAAAGAGGAGGATTGTGAGGAATCAAAGCAGGACATTTACTTCCAAATTTGGTCAATATGGAGTGAGGGATTTATGAGGATACTACAGCACATCTTTTCTCTACTACATTAATTCCTAATAATTATATCTTGCGTATCTTTTACTCTGATGTTTCTTCCTTTAACATTGATGAGAACAGTTTTCCAGAAGTCACCTTCAGTTCTTATTTATATTCTGGGAGTGGCCTCAATATAAATACATGAAAACAATAGTTGGAAGTAGGAAACGTCAAGATCAAAATATTCAAAGTTTCCCTACAGAAGTAGCTTTGAAGGAGGTGATGCAGAACAAATGAACATGGAAATACAAAATTACAGATTAACATCAAACCATAGTGTTAATAGGCTGCAAAAAATGTATTGCAATTTAATGGAAAATCACTTACTCATTGCCATCCTGGCTTCCCGTTATCAAAACAACGCTGAAGCGAACCTAAAAAACACACAAACAGAGGCAAGGTTAATATCCAGCGGAACATTTTTCTGCCATAATGATGACAACCTGCACGCCTCTTTTTCTTCATGAATAAATAAATACTCCAGTGAGGTTTCTGTACCCTTATACAGCCCCCTGTCTTTCAGGTTTTCTACGCAGCTGGAGTCTAACAGCCCACAAGAAGACCCCTTAGCACACTCCTCTCACTCTTAGACATGCACCCTGACCTGAAAATGACAACACATAGCAGCAGCAGAGGCTCTCGGGGGAGAGAGAAGGCGAGGTGGGCGGAGAGACAGCTGTAAGTCTGGAATGCTAGCCAGCCCAAGTGACCTTTCACCCCGGGCCTCCACCCATACAGCCGTGGGAGCAACCTACTGCTGACGCATGGCAATCAGAGGAAACCTGCTTGTCAGGTTTGCACTCCGCCGGCTGAGAGTGTGTGTGTGTGTACAGACAGAAAGCGTACTTCTCGTCAAAGAGAACTCCTGGGACTTTACTTGAGACTTCAGTTTACATCATTACTTAATCAAGTCCATTAAACCGGCCTTTGTGGGTCTCTTTGAATAGCTTCGGTCTGACATCTCTGGCTTGCGTAGATTTTCTCTGTGGGCGGTGCTCAAGATTGAGTAACTGCTGTGCTTGTTGTTGCAGGTTTGTGCCGGCCCCCCCTTCATGATCTCACCTTGTTTAAAAAAAAACTTCCTGCTAAATTTGCTCAGGGTTTGACTCACGCTGAAACACCTCATCGATACTGTCTGAACACGGCCGTTTTGTTACATTGGCTTACTGTACTTACATGTTATTCTCTTTACTGTTTAAAAAGCATATTCCTCTAATAAATAACTTAAACTAGAACCTTTCTTCATAAACGTTGATGTAATGAGACTCAAAATAGCCTCCAAATTTCTATCTCCACATTTCTGCGGCATGAATGTCACCCACCACAGAAATCCACTCATAATTACATTCTGCATGTGAAATACGGCCGATACCGCACAATGCCTCCACTGTGCTGGTTACAAGTATTTTCAGATGTCTGACAGTCACTGACAGGATTCTTTGCGGAGAACATTGCAGGGGTGCATTGTGCTCGTGTGTGTCTGTGCCAATCTCTGCGGGCACGCCAGATGCTGAACTGAAGGTATGAGGGATTTAAAAAGGCGAAGTCAATCAGCAAAGGCCTTAACAGAAGAAGGAAAGGGTGGAAATTATTGCCCTTCTTGGAGCTCTTCTCTATGACAGCTGTTTATGACTCGATTCCACGCAATAAGCAACCAGTCTTATCTTCTGTCTTCACAGCTAATAAAACAAGTCGGGGCTAAAATCCACAGTGTCGAGCTGCAGTGTTGGCGTAAACTGAGCCATAAACCCTTGAATTATCACCTTTCCCTCTGCTCGCATTCATACTTAACAATGTGTTGAGTACTGTAATCAAAGTTGATCTACAGGTTTGGAGGAACAGAATTTGTACAGAGATGAACTGCTTTGTCTGGCTGCTTTGGACTGGAACTGTTCATATTAGTTAAAGCGCCACGCCCTCATCTTCATGCCCCCAGGCTTTGCATAGGGTTGTGTCGTGTTGTGTTTCAGTCCCTCAGCCGACCCCGCCCACTTTTCTCCCCTAGGCATCTATGTGTGTGTGTGTGTGCAGTGGTGTTTGTGGTAGTGTGTGTAGCGTTGTAGCTCTAGCAGGCAGGGGGGCTTTGTTTTCCATTAGTTTGTATGACGGATGTTGTTGTGTGTCAAACAGAGAAATGTGTGTGCTTCATGTTCTTCATTAGCCATCGTCTGTCTTGGATTTTCCAGCTGTGACACGACTTACTCGGTCTAGTAAATTACTCACACCTCCCCACTTGTTATTGGCATGTTTAAGTTGTTTACCATGCATTCGTTTCATTCATAATCCGTACACTGACCTAAATCTGCTGTTTCTGTAAAGTCTGGACATGTTTTATTGTTGATACTCACGAAAAGGACTCAAAGAGTTTCAGTAGCTGTAAGTCTGGCGTGAGATCCTGCAGGACCAGACCTCGGAAGACTGCCTCTGCTTGTAGCTACATGCTACCTTTCAGATAAAGCCCTGATTCATACATGCACAGACAGAAACTATGCTTACAATCACTGAGTATTTCTGCCTTTCCAACTAAAGGTGTGGCCTCTCTGAAAACCGAGCAGGAGGGCCTGCCGTCAAGATCCAAACGATTGACTCTCTACTCATCAGTGAGGGAATGGGACTGGATTAAAAGAAACAAACCACTCCGTTCTGCCTTTTTTAAAGCTTTTGTATGAAAGTAAATTTATGTGTTTGCCCCCTGTAGCCGCTGTTTGAAAGAGACTAACAGCATTCACAGCACGCTAACACAGAACTTTTCTGTTCTCTGTAAATCAGGGACAGTGTTTGTGTAGTCTTTGTTTTCCTGGGCGAGGCAGCGGGTTCAGCCAACTGTTGCAATGCTGCGACACGCCCCGCATATCGCCTAGGTAACTGAAATTTCACTCAGGCTCTGTACTGTGGGGGTTTTATCTGCTGACCCATCTGATGTCTGGAGCGAAACTTGCCGGATTGCTGATAAGGATTGTTGCCTCTTGGGTTTTCCTGATAATTTCTTTTTTCGTGACTGTAGCTCAAACCAGTGAAAGAAAACAATCTGTATTTGAAACATACACCAAAACTGAAATTTAGAGAAAACACACAGTTTTTTTACTGTGTTAAATTGAAGGTATAGTTCAGTGCTGGATAAAAGCCCCTGGTTTTATTGTGCACTTTCAGCTGGACTTTGCTCTCTCTCAGTTAATGAGTGATGCACCCCGTCACTTTCACTGTACCTTGCTCTGCAATTGTTATTCCCACCACAGCCCTTACAACCATTCATCCACCCACCTACATCCACAACATGGGAGCCACACTCTTCACTCAGGATGCACAAATCTGACACTCATCACCTCCCACTGTCTGTTTTAAGTAGCAGCTTGTGTTTAAGGAGCTTCTCCTGCTGGAAAAGAGAAAAAAAAACCTCCACAGTAAAATCAGGAATGCGTATCACTGAAAACTGCCAGTGAGTGAGTTGTAAGAGAAAAGCAGAGGTAGATACTGTTCACTTGTTGCTGAAACACCAGTGTCACATTCCACACGAACGTCATATATTCAATCTGTCGTTTGTAAATCTCTTGCTGAGTGGTGCAGACTTTCTGTACTCTGCTAACACTGAATGAACTCTAAACTGATCCCACTGACTCACTCAGAAACTCATGAAACTCACAGATACAACGAGGACACGCCAGCTGAGTGACAATGAATGAATAACTCGGCCATGAGAACAGGTTCACTCATCAGCCCCCTGTGCAACCACAGGCATGTTACACAGGGAGTGTCACCCCAGCAGTGACTCGCACTGAACAAGGGTGTGGCAGAGAGTGAGGGTGTACCAGACAACTGGGCGAGGTTGAATACACCTTATGGCTAGAGGGGCTAAACTGTAATGTGAGTCTTCTTCATGATGAATTAATCTTGTGGTTAAAAACTGATAGAAAGGTTATCAAAACCATGCCAGAGTTGTTTTAGTTTATTGGCTCAAGCTTTTCTTTAGGTCTCAGCAGGAATGAAGCAGGTCAGGATGACTCAGGAAAGAGGCCCTGGGGGCTGGAGATCCCCTGGCTGAAATCCTCAGAGGCTCCTATTATACACTTTATTGCAGAGTTTGCAGTGATTTATTATGTTCCCTCATGGTTGTCTCAGAATAACTTAACACAGGACTTTTTCAGTCTGTATGTCTACCTGGAGAAGACTAAAGTTTGACATCTTTGGCAGTGCTTTTATCTCAAGTTTGACTGTCCAACGAAAACACTGATATTGACCAGCTAATTTAGAAAATACAAGGCCAGGGCTATCAAATGATTAGATTAGCTGAGCAATAAGTATAAAACAAAAGTATAATGTGATTAATCCCAGCAAATAAGTCTTTGTGCTCATCTGTCTTACATTTGAAGCCAGATCACAAAATCAGTGAACCTTACATTAAAGACAGACTTGATAAAGGAGATGTTTTTCTATCAAACAGTAGGGGTGGGAGAAAAAAACAATACAGCGTAGTATTGTGATATTTTGTCTGGTGATGTATCGTATCATCTCATCTACCAAGTATTGATTTTTCTAAATGAATTGCTAATATGGAGTCAAATCTATGATAATGGAAAAATAAAATCAACTCTTTGTCCAGTGAGGTTGGCAGAGGAGACATCATAGAGCAGGAAAAAGTTACGTTTGCAAGATGTGCTACATGAAAATAAAATACAGCGTAAATAAGACAAACATAAAGGAAAGACAAATGCTGAATTAGCTAAATAGTTGAAAAAATTGTATAAATCACAATATATTGTATCGCAACACTCACTGTATAGCAAAATGTTAAAAATCGCAATAATATTGAACCGTGGCCCAAGTATTGTGATTTTGAGGAAGTGGGAGTACCAAAAACAGCAGTTCCACAAGTGTCCACTTGAGGCAGGCTGTAAATACACAAATAACAAAAATAATGTAGCTACAGTCTAGAACAAAAAAAAAAAAAAAGATTTTGGTCTGATTGTGATTTTTGCATAATTACGGGCCCAGCTGACTTGACTAAAAGGAGTCAGCTGTGAGTGAACAGGATAACCTTTTTGCCTCTTGCAAAAGTTAGGCTGAGTCAGCTTTCTTGTAAGGCAACTCCCATCAATCAGCTTCAGAACTTCAGAAAACAAGAGCTGACGTCTATGGTTTTTCTGTCCTGATCTAATAAACTAAACCCACCTGCACCTCAAGCGCTCACTGAATAATACAAATGATTTAAAAATCAAATTAAGATCAAAAACAGCTTAATATAGTCGTGGGCATAATCCCTGATCAGAACATTATCCCCAAACAGAAACTGGCAACTTTTCACTTGGCAACAGCTGAGCTAACCGCCTCATTGGCTGGCTGTAGTGTCAAATTTGAGGTACAGAGATGAAGGTGGTGTCAAACTTCATGACTGTCTCTAACTTTAAATATTTTTTTAAAAAGTACATCTTTTTCTTTCACTTAGAAAGAGGAGGAAAACATGTTAGGAGCAGAGATGTTTGCATTAGTGCATGTGACCTGCACTTCCTGCTTGTAGTCAGAACATCCCAGCTTTGTGGTTAAAAACTTAACCTCATCTGTCTGTCTGTCTGTCTGTCTGTCTGTGATTCTTAACAGGGCTGCTGATGTCATGTTTAGGCTGACATGCAAATAAAGCAGATTAAGTTTCCACACATCTGTAAAGCTTTCTGCACCATCTGCACGGATCAACCATTTAACATACGGGCTGCTCCCCCGACACGCCCGCTGTCACATATACGTCCCCTGACATGCAATGCAACCGCGCTCCTCTTTCTCCCGACAGTTTCCCATATTACTTTAACACAGGACCGTGCACTCACACAGCTAATGGCTGGTGCAGCCTGCTGAGCCTGCCGGGTTGACATTGTGCTCTATATGCACTTCTTCCCTACAGAGTCAGGGTTCAGTTGTCCCAATGGGATACAGCTTAACACCGACCACTAACCTTCCCAATCCACAAACCACGCATCCCCTACCCCCCCGCATGTCCCACAATGCCTGTCACAGAGGCAGGAGGGGCTCACTAGATAGCTGTTTGCTATAAATCAATAAGAGAGGATGTGAAGTGGTGCACAGCTAATGGATTTATTGTGGTGGGTGACAGGAAGTGGTGGTCAACAATATCTGACTCACCAACAATGCTGGGCAGTCTGGTCAAAGGGGAAGTTTATTAGCAGAAGCCGGACTTCCACAAACGTTCCTACGTGTTACGAACACACAACTATGGTGACAAACCAGTGTTTGGCTGTAACATGGTGTGCTTAGTTTTAGAGGAACGGGACTTCACTTTTTCAGGGAGAGCATTCGTCAATTGACTGTAACAGGCAGCTGATAAAATCCAGACCACAGCAACGCCGACATGCCAAGAGCTCACAGAGAAAGAACAGACAACGAGATACTGCTGGGGTGAGCTACGTACACACACTGACTCCATCTAAACGTGGCAGATACAGAGGAGCATTTCCCGCTGCTTCCTTTCCTGATCTGGAAACATTCCCAACAACAAGTCAACCACAGCCAGCGTGCCGATGAATTAAATAAACAGCGGGATGGTTAATGGTCCCTGATCTGTCAGTTGATTCACTGCAGCCACTTTAATGAGTCGAATTAGGCCACTGGATCCAGTATGTTGGCTGCAAACTGGTGTGCAGTTGTTTACTCCCTGTGGGACCTCGCTGTGAATCAAAGGAAATGTGAGCTGCCTCAGAGGAGGTGCTGGAGAGCATTGCAGGATCAGATTACACGAAGCTGATAAAGAAGAAGGGAATGAGTCAAAGGGGGAAAAAAAAAAGGGTGTACCTTAGTTATAAACCCTCTCTGAAAAGCCACAAAGGTCACCAAATAGCCAATTACATGTCAGATAATGTGAAAAGAAGAGAATTGATCCAACTAACATCCATAACAAGAGAGCTCTACATATACTGTTTAATTTTTGAACATTTGATGCTCAGTGTTTTGGTTTTGGGGGAGTAAAAAGTGATTTTAAGTCGTCTGTTTGTCTGCAGATCTGCGGTAAGACGGATGGCCCACCCTCCATGTTGTTTGGTGGACTATATAGGAAGGAAGCGGATGGACTGAGTCTGTGATACAGCACAGAGAGGTTCTGTGTTACTTTGTTTGGTGTAGAGAGGAAAAGAGTAGCTGCATTGTCCCATTGACTGCTGTCACAGTGAAAAGGAAACCGGGTCTCAAGTGTCCCTGTTGGATGGAACCAAAAAGGCTGAAGCACATCAAAATGCCTCTGTGTGTTCACTGGCCAAGATTAGTGGCCAGCGCTGCATCCAAAGCCCCCCGTTTAAAGGCCTGACGGAGAGTTATTTCTTAAACTGTGACTGCTACGCATCGGTGTACGGCTGAGCACTGAGGCGATGTGACAGATGATTAATTTTTCAGGGAGATTAGAGGCACGAGGGAGCGGGAGGGGGTGCTTTGGAGAGCAGGGGAGAAGTCTGCAGAAAGGGAGGGGGGCAGAAGAAACACCTCAAGTTCATGCTTTCTTTATGACGAACACAAACAAATAAGAAACATGAAGAGTGAAAAGTTAAACCAGACCAGCTATTTTCAGACAATTCCCTTTAATTTTAACACTTCATGACGAATAAGAAGAAAGAATAACAGCTCAACTTTCCTCTGTATCCAGTTACTCTGTAAAGTATTCGAAGGGGCAAAGGATTGCACAACTCACTCCAGAGCATGAAATCCAACATGAACACAACCAACAGCTGAGTTACGATGAGTTTCACCGAACAGTGAGGGAATGTGAGGCTATTTCTTTCTTTGTGAGATCGAGTAGTGAATATGCCATATGAGTATGAATATGTCACAACTCACACGCTCTGGTAATTTGCTTTCCTTTTCAGCCACACCCTAGCTGTCCTTACTCTCCTTAATCTCTCATACAAGTGTAATTAAGCGACAGGGAGGAGGAGGAAGAGGAGGAGGAGGAGGAGCACAGCCGACACCGCAGGCCTCATCGCAGACACTATGCTGAGAAATACGACTCAGCCAAATCATCCAACTGTGAAAACTTTATCTTTTGAGTCAGAGCTGGAATCTGGTTTACTCCCCACCCCCCTTTTCTTGGTTACTCTGTTAGTAATGAAAAAATTATCATCTGTAATGTATTCTGGAGAAAACAGCCAGATTCAGCTATTTCCAGCAGCTATTGGACGGGTGCTTGAGTGTTTTGGACAGAGCTTTGATAGGAGCTGAGCTGCAGTGAATGACCTGGCAGACATTCACACAGATTCAAGAGTGCAAGTGATGGGAAGAAACAGCCATTAGGCCTTTGACGTTTTAAGTAAGGGACATTTTTTGTCTTCCTACTTTGATCCAACTGAGTGAACTGTTGAAGGTAAATAATTAATTTCAGAGACCGTCATGGGAAAAGTTGAGCTGGCCTGTGTCAGCTTTACTTGCTCAGCATTATACGGTGTGCTATGCTCGAGGCTTCTGATTTTATCTTGTGTCAGTGACAGCAGAATCTCTCAAACGAAAGGATGTTTTCAGGCCATCCTGCCAATTATTCAATGACTGTTTTTTTGTCCTGAACAAAGACCCTTAGAATTCCTTTGAATGGCTTAATGAGCCCCTTTCTCTGAAGACCTAATGTTTTGTTGCACCTGCCCGTTGAGACGTCCATGTTTGAGGTGTTTATTCACTGGGTTTGTTGGTCAGAGATTATAATTCCATCAGAGTACTGGGTGTCTGGGAGGCTGCTTGGCTGGATAGATCAGCTTTGGCTTGACGACCTTATTGTCTGAAGAAGATTTCACTTAATCCTCTGGAAGGGAACCCCATGGAGATTTTGATACTGTCACACCAAACTCCCTTTTGACTTCAACCACAAAGACCCCTATCATAGCGGATAGGGAAACTTTATCTCTGCGTGCCTCTTTCTCCATGGGAACAGTAAAACACAGAGGAGGCTGGGTGTTATGCAAACACTGTGCAGGTCATTGGACGTGTGCGTTTGGAGGTTGTAACTGAGCCCCTGGAAAGTACTCAGTCAGGCACCAATGAACAGACAAAAATGAGGCAAGACGGTGAAGCCACAGAGAGAGAAATCCTTAAACAAAGAGGTCAGGGTTTATACCATACAGTAATCCCCTTTGCAAAGTGTAGACCTATTTATAAACTGAAGGATCTCCTGGCCACTTGCTCTGCTAATGTAGGACAGTATCACGGAATTAAGCAGGAGGGGGGAGATAATCACCGTGCTCCCACAGCTGTAGCTGCGAAATCTACAGTAAGTCTCTCCCCCTCGCTTCCCCCCGCCACCGCCGCCGGCCCACCATCCAGCCGCCCCCTTCCCTGGAGGGCAGACAGGAACAGCTTTTCAACCAGGGTGCTGTCTGCTGCTGCACTACTTGATGACACAGACCCTGGGTGAGCTTGGCAGAGGGCTGACTGGCAGAAAGTATTGGCACCCTGTCCTATTCAGCATGACACACATTCAATGGCCTCAGCTGGACACGCTGAACGAGAACGACATGAACGCCTCAAACTTGTTCAGCCCTATTTCTGGTGCTTTTTGTTTTTATAACTCCCTGACTGTTTGGAAAAAGACCAGTAGTAAATTTGATTCAGTGTTTAATAAACCAGTGGACTCAGGCTCTGTAACTTCTTATTAATATAATGGACGTTATTGAAGAAACTGGCTTTATTAGATGAGACAGACCAGATAGTATCAAAGTACTTTACAACTGATGCTTGTCTAAGTGGATTTACCAATCAAATTGAATGGAAAAAAAAAAACTATTCTGAGGTCATTCAGGAGCATGACTGATAAGACGTCTGTCCTGTCGAGTCTGACCCACGAGCGAACTGAATAATGACATCATGGAAGATCTGGCAACATCTGGAGACATCACAGCGGTGTGGGAGTCATGAGCTCCATCATAACACGTACACATTTTAGGGATGTGATTAATAATTCATCGTCATACATTTACACACGTCTGCAAACTAACCTCCCCGCTGCAAAATTAGATCGTTGCTTCACTTCATTTTTTTGTTGTTTGGGCTTAAATATTAGAGATGGAGCTCGTAACTCACTTTTTGTTTCATCTGCTTTATTCTACCAGATCACATTTAGATAAATTGATCAAAATCATGTCATATTTGGCCCTAACCATATTCTGGGAATCATTAACTTGCAAAATAAATGCATTCATATCATAAAGGTCAAACAAAACAAAATTGTAAATTAAGCAGAAAACTAAACACTTGCTGCAGTCCTTTAATGCCTGAAACCACAAATTATGTCCAGAAAATTCACATTTTTTTGGAGCTGAAATGTTTATTTGACTTACTACTGAAAACCAAAAAAATCAAAATGTCCTTAAAATTAAACAAATATACTTATGTATCTCGTTTGATACACTAGATTTTTTTGGAAACTAATCAACTACAATTTTTATCATTTATCAGACTGTATTCTGGGTTTTATTTAGTAATATGTTGATCATATTCATCTGATAGAAGTATATAAAAGTATGTATCAAATATGATACAAAAGGCATTAAAGGGTTAACAATTTCTTGGAGATGAGTGTATTTTAGAAACAGCTGCAAATAACTTCCTACGCAAATTGGTTAATCAGTTGATCACATCAGCCCTACTTTACTACAACTATGATTTAGCTGAAACCATGAATGCTGTGTTGTTATCTGGATAAGAAGTGCCTGTAAAAGTTTATGTGAGAGATTATCCCTGTGGTACTAACTGTGTTTCACAGTCTCTACTAGGGATGCACCGGTCCAATATTTGGATCAGATATTGGCTCTGATATTGACAAATTCACTGAATCGGATATCTGATGAATGACGCCAATCCAGCTTTCCAAATCAGTCTTGCTTCTTTTTGCTGTGTGCTAATGTGCAATTTATTTGTTAATAAATAACATTAAGTAAAGTCATATCTGTGTTAATTTGTTACTTTTTTTAACAAGGCTAATATCAAGCCTGATGCTTTCACTCACAGGGCAAGGTATACAGTTCATTTATTTAACAGTAGTATTGGATCGTATCAGATATCGGCCGATATGCTCAGCCCAGGTATTTGTATTGGATTAGATCAGAAAAAAAGGGAGGTAAATTAGCTTAACATATGGTAATTGTTTATAGCCCCTTCCTCTTCACCTGCCTCTCTCGCACGCGAAAACAGGTACGCCCGCGCGCACTGGGACACTCCATTGACAAGTGACGTCGAGCCGATTAATCGATACTGGAGTCAGAAACGTCCTTTTAGTTTTATCAGAGAGTTTCAGTGACACTTGACGATAATAAGTTCGTAGTCGAGACCAAACTTTTGTTGTAAGCGGAGCTCGCGACTCGACGTTACAGCGAAACAGCAGCGGTCAGTTTGAGGCATGCGGAAATGAATTCCAAATATGAGGATTGGTTTCGCACCGAGGAAAAACACAAGGAGAAATTAAGGAAACATATAATGGGAGGAAAAAGGCTACACACTTCTGACAATTGGATAGAAACTACAACTGAAGGAGGAAAAGGGAAAAAAAACTGCATGTGTCGACGGCAAAACACGGTTAAGAGATTTTAAAAGTCTGCATTTGGAGGGAATAACCAAAGGTTCAGGATCTTACCTGTGGAAACACACAGAAGTGTTCAAGTTTTATTCCAGACTGAAGTAGTTTTTCTCAGCACGGACACGTCTCTGTATTCCTGCCTTCCACTTTCTACTCTCCACCAAAGCTGCTGCTGCTGCCTCTGCTGCTGCTGCTGGCCGACAGTCCGCTGAACAAAAATGAGTAAAAAGGAGCGTCACCTCAGCGCGTAGACTCCGCCCACTCTCACCCCGACCCCACCCTGCTGCCACAGCTCCTCCACACGGGGAGGGAGAGACGTCAGAGTCTGGTTTATTGTTAGGGACTGTAGTCGATAGAGCAAACAGAGAGGAGATGTTTGCTTTTCGAAACGGCTTCAGTAAAGACACTTTAAGTGATATGAGGGAGGAAACATCACGACTAAACTTTAGGACTCCAATTAAAATTTTATTCTTCTTCTTACAAAAAAAAAAAGGATTTTCCACCCCAAAGTCTCATACGAAAATGATATCTACACAAGTCATCTTCCATTACACGGAGATAATCCTAACTTCTCAAAATAACTTGCTATTGTTAAAACTGATGTCTTTTAAATTGATTAACAGAGAAGGAAAAAAGTATTAATTAATCCTTATTTGAAACATACTTTTATATACTTCTATCAAATCAATATGATCAACAAATTACTAAAAAAAACACCTGAATACAGTCCAATTAATAATACAAATGTCCTCTTGTAGTTTTTCAGTTTCCAAAAACATCCAATGTATCAAACAAGATACATAAATATATTTGTTAAATTTTAAGGATATTTAGATTTTTTTACAGATTTACAGAAGTAAGTAAAATGAACATTTCAGCTCCAAAAAATGTGAATTGTCTGGCCATAATGTGTGGTTTCAGGCATTAAAAGGATATGAATGATATATGATTCAATTACACAGTGAGATATTGAGTCTCCTGTAGCTTTGATTGGACAGTCAATTTGGCTTCTTGTAAAATTTTGATATCATACCCATATTACCCATATTTGAGTGTGAAGTCATTGTGTTTTACATGTGAATGTTTCTACACTGACTTGATGTGCTGACACAATTTGGTGCACCTGCACAACAGCCGACCACACCTTGATTACAACACGAAACCAGACGACGTCATGAGTCATTTCAGCTGGGAAACGGCACGCTGTCAGAGCCACTATACTCATGCTCTTAACAGAGAAATACATGCATTTGAATATGTTGTCTCAGGTCTTTGACTCAGCCTTTTTTTTCACTCCTTTTTCAGACAATAGTTTCAAGAAGTGAGGGTGGATACAGAAAAAAGGGAGGGAGGAAGAGAGGGAGAGAAAAGGAAAGAGCTCATGGGAGGTTTTCTACATGCAAAATTAAAGAAATACCGTTTGATAAGGTACAAAAGAACCTTTGAAAAATTAAACATCTCTGCTAAGTATGTAATATACTCTGCTACTACTAATTTAAGCATTTTTTCTTTAGATGGCGTCTGCACAAAATGCACTGGCTAAAGACGTAAAATAAAAGAGAAGCTGGTCTGTATTAAAGAACACTTTTTGTCCTCAAAGGCCACCATTGCTCCACAAACATTGGGAGTGAGCATGGAGGGTTTCCCATTTTAGAATCTGACCACTATGTAATGCTTAATACGACCATTTCTACACACTGTTTGTGTTTTTAACATAGGACTGTCTGCTTTAATTACAAGACTATTGTTGCATTTCTTTTTTAATAATCCAAATAAAAGTAGAAAGCCAAACATCAGAGAGCGGGTTTCAACTAAGTGAATGTTGGTTGAGGTTAGGTTATGTGACACATGATGGGCTTAGTTGACCACAAAGAATAATTTCCTCATTAATTGTGGTGAATTTAATAAGAAGATGCCTCAGGTCCACTCTGACATCATTATTACTCACTTTATTATTTAATCCAGGAGGAAATGCAGACAAAGAAGGGTTAATTTTGTGCCCCCCTCTTACTGGTTCAATTTTACTCTGTATATCTGTCTCCTTAAGCATGTAATATACTCAGCCTATATTGCAGACTCAGATAGGTCAGGCGATATTATACATTGTGCCTCAGGCGAAATGTCATGGCTCTTCCTATGCGGCCATTGTGACAGGCATCATCTGTGCCTCCAAGAGTGAAAGAGACAGGGTCGGAGGGGGACAAGGCCACTGCTGGTTTTATGGGCTATTATATTTGTCAGAGTGAATGTGTTGACTGACAGCCCTCTCTTTGGAAAACAGCTCCGGGCACAATCAACATTCTTGGCTTCTAACATGTTGGGGATGTTTATTTGAATATTAAAAGAATGGGACAGGGCCTTCATAACTTCATACTCTCTAAACTTTTACTTTTCCCCTCGCATGTCTTGTCATGTTTTGGCTTCCTCAGATATCCTGGGATAGCATACACAAGGGCAGGAGGGACATGAATGGGGGTATTGTTTTGAACACAGCAGCCTCTTTATGTTGAAAATTTGCCAGGAATTAAAAGAGTGGGAATCATGTGGGACCCCGGCTCATTGTAAGTCTATTAGAAACACCTGCGACATTGATTCAATATCTAGATTTTGGAAGATAGCTTAACACATGAAGCTCTCCTGTGTTTGCTCCTGTCATGTGTCACATTAGAGATATTTTCACCGCTTAATAAACCTTCAGACATGTTTCTCCATTAAAGCAGAGGTCAGTGCGATGTTTACACATGAACCTGTCAGAGTTACAGTGTTACTAAAGTTAATCTCACTGTAAGCTTGATTCTGTCTTTGACTCCAAGGACAGAGCACACTGATATGATGTCCCTGCTTCACAATACTGGCTTGTTTGGCTCACACTGGTCCTCTGCCTCCTTCCCCACAGGAAATGGCCCCATTGTCCTTAGGAGAGGAAGTGGCCTGCAGCAGACCACTGGCTGACTGGACTGATTGAAACTAGGGTAAATTATTAATCATCACTTACAAATGGAAGACACGCAGCCATGCTGTAAAGTGTCCACTGAGGAGGAGCTGCAACAAAGGACAGTAAAGCTGCAGCTGACCACCTGTGTGAAGTCAGACAAACACTTAAAAACATTTTCAGTCATTTTAGATTGAACTGGAGTCTGGAGAAACAGTGAAGTTTAGGAGAAAAATATAAAATTATATGAGCAAACTTGTTGTTTCTTTGACAAAATACACTGAAGGGCCTGGACTCCTTAAATCAATCAAGAAGCTGGTCCGATATCAGATATTGACTCCATAAACAGCAGGAACCAAAGACCAAACAATTTGCTAGAAAACGTGCACACAGTCACCATTTTAATCATCTCCTCTTAATGACAAAAGCTCTTTGTTTGTCTGTAAAAAGATGATCTTAGAAATGTCAAACATGGCTTTATATACTTTTATATACAGAATAATGTTGAATCTTCAAATTGAAATATTCATTTTACCTTGCCATATATGATACTTCAATACTATACAGTATGTAAGTTATAAGACAACACTACCATATTAACTGCCTTAGGAAAAGATGTTTTTCAACTTTAACATCTAATACTTCAAGCAAAATAAAAACAACCTTTTTCATTTCATTCTTTGACCACCAGAGGGAAACAGACACTCAAGCAATCAGTTTTGGCTCAACATGCAGCACTGAAGGCATTTCTAAGATTCGGATCAGATGTGAGTGAGGGTCTGTGTGTGGACTGTGCCTAATGTGTCTTTGCACATTCTCACACCAGCTGGGATGTTGGCTCTCAGGGTTAAAATAGCTCAACTACTGGTTCAGTCACGTGACAGTGTCCGTGCGAGTTTGAAAGAATCAGATAAAGTGAGAGAGACAGCTGAAAATAAATGCAGATATTCTTTTGATAGCACTCACAGCAACAGAGACACTGCATCTGAAAATAATGGCTTAGTTTGTCCATTACGAGCGCTAACCTTCCTATATAAAACTACTTCAGTTTTCTCAGGTGTAATATAGGTAAGGTCACTTTGTATTGAAAGTGTGTCACCCGTTGGCCACACACCCACTCTGCAGGCTCCATCAGTGTCAGATAGGACAACCAAAAATACCACTCGAGTGAGATGTGATTTCTCTTGCTTAAAATACTTTGCATGTGACCATTTGCTACTATGGGGCTTTGCCTAATTCCCACGAGTCCGCCACCCTTTCATATAGGCGACTGTATGTTGGCCTATACACTGTGATCAAAGAGTAGTTAGTTACAGTAAAAACCAAAGCCATCCCCTTAATGTTACATCTAAGACTTAAGATAGTTAAGGCCAGGTCACATTTAAGTCAAATATACATTACTTATTTTGCAAAATCTCTCTATATATTTTTAATAGAGAAGGAGAAAATCTGGAATTCACTCCCCAAACCCATCTGAGACTGTACAGACCCCTATACTTTCAAAACTACGGTGGCCGAGAACTGCCACAGCTGCAAATGCAAAAAAAAGAATGCAAAAAAAAAGAAGTCACAACGGAACTTACCTATACAAAAAAAAAAAAAAAAAAAACCCCGCTGTAAATAATGAAAGGAAATGGTGAAAAAAAAACACACAACGGAAGTTAACAACACAAAAAAGGGTGGCGATGCAAAAAATGAAAATAAAAAAAGTTACTTACCACAAAAATAAAAGGGTGCAAAAAAATAAAATAATAATAATGCCAAAACAGAAGTGAGCTGCCAGGGACCAATAATGATGATGCACCGGTGTTTTACGATCTAGGCACAGAAGATGAAGGCGAAAAGCTGAGCAAAGAAGTTATTGTTTAATTTCACTTAAAGTGCTTTTTTTGTGACACCACTTTTTCTTGCATCTTAAACTTCCTTTGTGGCTTTTCTTTTCTTTTTTTATCTGCACCATTTCTTTTTTTTTATTTGCAATGAGCTTCTGTTTTCTCTTTTTTTGCATCTTTTTTATTTGCAGCAGTGGCAGTTCTCGGCCACCATACAAATCACTCCAATTTTATTAATTAATTTTATTGTCTTTTCATATTGTGTCTTTTTTAACCTTTTGCATTGTTAGTTTTATTTCTCAATATTTTCTGTATTTTAAATTGTGTTTTTTTTTATTATTTTTCTTGCTTTGTAAAGCGTCTTTGAGCACCTGTAAAAGCGCGCTATAAATATATATTTTTAATTATCATTATTAAAATTAGCGCTTCGTTAAAAACTACAAGTCCCATGATGCTTCGCTGCCAAGCTGACCAAATGGAACACGGAGCAGACCAGCCGTTGTGACAGCTGAGCAGCAAGTTTTCTGCTGAGAGAAACTTCAGCGCCGACAACAACCTGAAATAGACACGAAGGGAAAGGACATGTAAGCTGAATCTTTTTTTCTTCTCTCTCTATTTAATTCCTCCTCTTTTCTCTCAAAGACTGTTGAGGTTTTCACCTGTCGCTTTGTCGGCTCTCTAAACTGTCCAAACTTGGTGAAGGGATTTTTCCATACTGCTGCAGGGTGTGGGATTCCTCCTGAGTGGAAGTGTTGATGTTACGATTCGAGGACACCTTTGATAAACATTGACAAATAGTTGAACATTTAATATGAATTTATTTTTAACTCTCTAGCTAACAGTTTCGAAAGATGAAAACTGTGCACCGGTAAGTTTTATTTGTAGCTAACTTAGCTCGTAAGCTCCCCTTTTCCTTTACTTCTCGTTTTGCCATGAGCACTACAATGACCCAAGAGTGAGATTAAAAATTGATTTTATACCATTGTGATTTAATTTATAGTCTTACTAATATCCTAATGTGAGAAACAGGAGGAGTAAAACTCTTAACTAAAGGTTAAAATCCTGTCCTTGTTATCCTGAAGGTGAGACTTGGAGTGAAAATCTCTGTTTATCTCTGTACATGTAGTTTTATTGCATTCTTAGACAGCAGACAAGCTAAAGGTGCAGCCTCTGTGCACACCATAGACTGTATATAGAGGTCTATGGTCGATAGGTCTATACAGTCTGTGGTACACACTGGCTGATGAATGACACCTTTGTGTGCAAATCTCATTTTCACCGTGTATTCAGCACATTAAAATGGAGGATGGGAGTGGAGTGGAATCGCTCACCCAGAATAGAAAATACAGTTAACTCCAGTCTAAACTAAAACTAGGTTTTGGTATTATATCCCTAAGCTTATGTAAAGTAAGAAGCACATGATGACCTTTGTTGTAATACAACCAAGGGAGAGGAATAAATGAATCACAATGAAGGAATCTCTCCGGGGCTCTCCTCTTTGTTTGTGCATTTGTATAAAAGTGAAGGAAAACTCTCAAAGGGTTTTTTCGTATCAAATGAACAACATGTAACATGAAAGTGCACTAAAAGTGATTTCATGAGAATGATAGAACCCTGTAAATGTGTCTTTTCATCATGTTACGGTGAGTCAGCAACATGCTTGTCCATGCTTGTTCAGAAATTTTACAAAAGTTTCAAAAGCGAAATAAACTTGACATTTGGTTCACAAACACACCCAAAAGCATGCAGGCAAGAGGTCAGTGTTTACATATGCAAAAAGAGTAATAGCTGAGGTGCATTACATCAAGATTAAGTGGTAGATTAAGTCTACAACACAAATTCTCCCAGCTTTACCAAATTATTAAGTATTTATCCGTCAAAATGAGTTTCTCTCACTTTTGGCTCCTTCTCAATTGAAACCAACTGAACACAGGAGGAACACAAAGTCTGACAAAACATGAAAGAGAAAACAACTTTCCAATGTACTCCTCCCAAAAGGTAACTTAGTGTTAAGGTTTAATTGAGCTTTAATTACGTTAAGAAGCTTATTTCTGTTTATCAAGATCACCGGTCAAATAAGTCATAAACACACACACACCCTTTTTGTAGAGCACATGCATTTGAGTCCAGCCTAGTTCGATGAGGAAGATATTAAATTTGAATTTGATTCTTTAATATTCACTTAATTTATTATTTTAGCTTTAATAATCTGGTTGGTTTATTCTTTTGAGTTTGGTTGTTTTTATTTTCTCCATTTATTAATTCTCTGTTTTTTCTTTGAGATTCAACAAAGAAAAGAAACTTTCCACGAAGAGTTAGATTAAGTTTTGTAATGGCACACAGAGGAGGTTTAGATTAGACTCAAAAAGTCCAGAATAGTTGAGAAACAAAAGCTCCTTACTCTCTGGACAACATCTTGTGTGATGTAATTAAATATTTGTGCTCCTTCCTGTGATATCATGACTATCAGGTTACAAGTTGGATAACAGAGGAGAGTTTTTTTGCTATTTTCGTACAATAGTAGGATCACGAGAAACTACAATGCCCTTTTTTGGGAAACATGCAGGCTTTTAATAAGACTCTGCCAGACTGCTAAAAAAAACATGCAGACTGCTTTGCCGTTTGTTGTTGAAGTTTTATCAGAAGAAAAAAATGTTTGGGGGGAAAATAGCATTAAAAGCATCAACCACTCTTCCTTATTAGACTAATCACTACACTAAGATCTTTTTAAACCTAAGCATTACAGTAAGACAGCTTTAACATAAACAGCAGCCTCTTTGAGCCGTGTGTTACACACTAAAGCTGTTGTTCTTCACTGAATACCTGATTTCTTTTCCTCTGAAGTGGTCTGAATATGCTGTGGAGAAACTGAGGTCGACACAAGTGCACATGTGTGACATTGTAAGTTAAGAATACCATTAGTCAGGTGTCGAAACACTCCTGCTGATTTAACACATATGTTTTGGTCATGTCCAGCCTTGGCAACCTGCCGGTCCACCATCTTTTGAACGTTGTCAGAAGCATTGAATATTAATCTTCAACCCAACGCAGCAATGGCCATATTTGGCACCACAGATAAGAGACATACAACATTAAGGAAAAGTTATAAAAACATAATTGCTTTTACGACGCTGCTTGCACGTAGAAGAATTTTATTGCATTGGAAATAAAAAAACCCACCCAAAGAATCTGTGTGGTTTAGTGACCTGACACAATTTATACAATTAGAGAAAATAAAATATACTCTAAGGGGGTCTAGAGACAAATTCTTTTCTGTCTAGGATCCGGTGTTGAAGCATTTAGGTAAACTTACTGTGCCCACTCAATAACCACTTCAAATCCATGTGAATCTTATCTTCCTGTTTTGTGCACAGCATCAGTGTTGGAGAACTCAATTATGTGCTTAAAATGAAATCACAAAAAGGAGCATGCTCACATTTAGTAGCATATAGAAACATTAACAAGAACGATCTGTCCAATGTCTTCTTAACAAGTTTGATCAGTCGGAGATAGACGGTTATTAATTGCTCTGTAAATCAGTGACTTGTGCTGATGATGGGGAACAGACTTGGCATTGTTGCTGTGATAAAGACTGAACCAAAAGCGCACATCTCATTTGGATAATAGAGTTGAGACCAGGGCCTGGCTGATGCAAATGACTCAGTCCATGAGGAAGAGGGGAATCCTGACCTGCAGCTGCACTACTAAGACCCTGACGTTGAGTGCTGCTGTACTCCTGTCTCTCTCTCTCTGTCTGTCTGTCTGTCTGTCATGTCTCAGGCTCACACCATAACAAACCAGCACGCCTTCCCATATGTCTCACTTCCTCTTTCTCCCCCTCTTCCTCCTCCTCCTATTTCATTTGTCCCTCGGCCCCGCCTCACTGTTGCTCTCTCTCTCTCCATGTCTCTCTCTCTCTCTCTCCCCTCTCTCTCTCTGACAGGACACTCTCAGGACAGGACAGAAGCCGGTCGGTAAAGCAGCCTTAGGAGCAGAGATTATTTCATTTAATGGACATAAACTGAAGAAAAGAGAAGCTACCTTTACCAAACATCACCAGGATAACCTCTACCTCCGCGCAGTAAGTCTGTTCCAGGTTTTTAATCACTTTAATGGTCTGCTGGCGCTCTCAGTGTTATTAGCATGTAGCATGCTGTCTCTGTGTCTGCCAGTGTTCTCAGTTTGTGACAGCACAAAGCTTTTACTTATTTGTTTTTCACTGTAAGAGGACTTGTCATGACTGAGGCTTGATATAGGAGTGTTTGTGTGCCCAGTTCTGCCACCTGTGCATAAAGCCCCTAAGGCCAAACATAAATTTGTAAAGACAAACGCCTGAGGATAACAAGATTGGGATATGTTTAATTCAAGTTTATGATAAAAGATAACATATGTGGTTAAACCAGTATTATATTTAAAATACTGTTGAAATGAAATGAAATGAAATGAAATCATATTAGTGATGGTTTATGGAGAACAGTTTGTAGATGAAGTGTGGCAAATTTTGTGTGTCTTTGGCTCCAAATGTGGGAGGAGATAATTTTGATTAATTTGCAGATTTGTAAAAAAGAGAGATTAATTTTGTATTTTTATACCATCTTAAGGCTTCATGATTTTTCAGCTCAAGCGCGCCACATTTTGAGATAAAGTTACAGCTCATAGGACTGATTTGTTATAAGTGATAAAAGATTCAAACTTGAGATAACTGCTCTTGGACCATCAACTGGATAATTAGCCCATGATTCCAGTAAGGAAGTTGAGACAGGAAGGACTGATGCCACTTAAGGCTTGTCTTATCGCACCTTTGAACCAACCCTGTTACCTTCCCGGAGGCGTTCTTATTTTCTGTTTTGACTTTGTGTGACATTTGTCTCTGAACTTTCACGGCTGTCAGCATGAGCCCTCTTTATTTCCATTCTCCTCTGTTTAATCACAACATGATGGCGCTCATAACACGAGACACTGGCACTCGTGGGTGAATAATACGGTGACCTCCTGCTGTAACGGCCAGCTTTTTTTACAGCTGTTTTACAAGTTGTACCGTAAACCTGTTATTTTAGTGTTTTCTTCCTGTTTGATAATTTGATTTCAGCCTAAAGATCCCAGATACAAATGTGCTTTTCCTCAGCATAAATACGCTTGTTTCTCTGTGACAGTGGTGTAGTAATTATCTCACACTGTAACATTAGTGCCTGTGTCTCACGGTGACTCAAAGATACTTAGTGGTGTGCAGGAGGCCGTAAAGACTGCTGAGTTACAGTACAGTCACTACAGTTTAGTTAATGATACGTGTGGTTTTCTGTCTGTAGCTACATATTTAACAGATCTACTTGGTTTCAGTTTGAGAAGTGTTCAGACTTAGCAGCTGAGGAGGGACAGAGGGTTGTCACTGAAGTGAAGGTGAAATCTCTAATGTGTAGACAGAAATACATTTTTAAAGATACATTTTATTCAGCTAGACTAAAGAAAAGTCGTCCATATTACCTTAAGTCTACTGCCACTGTGTGAATTAACCTTCTGTTTTAGCAACAAAGTGGCGCCATGTAAAGTTTAAACCTTGCTCATCATTTGGACACATCTGGACTTTTTCAACACTGATCAGGATTTGAAGACCTGAACTCTCATTTAAACTTTGCTTTCTATTTACTTGTCATGACAGTCATTGGCTGTGAGGCCTCACTGGTCGTTTCTTTCTGCTAAACCATCTCCAGCTGAAAGATTGAGGGTCTGATGCTCTGAGCCCGAGTTATCCATGTTCCCTGTTGCTTCAGAAGCAGTTTGAAAGGATCCCATGTGGAGTGAACAGAGCAGATTGCCCTTTAGGAAGTGAGAAGGCAGTATTAAGGTTTCGGGTCCACTTTGTTTCATGTGGAGATGCCCTCCAGATTTAGCTCTCCCAGTTGTCAGGGGGACATTCCTGCTCACTTTAGGGTCCTCTGGACGCTGGCCTGTTGTTCAGTTCCCATGCTTTTTTTCCCTCATGGTTCAGATTGATCTCTGTGTTTCAATACTTGATTTCTGGACACTCCACTGACCTCCATATTTGTGTAGTGCTGTAATCAGTGGATTAATAACATCTAGTCCATTGGTTATGAAGTCAAACAAACATTTGCTGTCTCCGGCCAATAATGTGTAAGGCTTTGTTGCTTTTACAGCTCTACCCATCTACAGGTTTAGGATTGTTTGTCAGGAACATGTCAGAAAATGTGAGGGGTGTTTTTGTTGGACATACAAGATGATCTATCAGATATAACACTAAGGTACAGATGTACTTTCCAGTCATCCTGTGGGATTTCATCTTCATGTCCATCGGTCTATCTCTCAGGTTTGTAGCTCTCTTGGATGTGGTCAGTGTCAATATTTGTTCAGTATCAGGCGTCATACCCTGCCTCTCACTGTGATGCAGACTTTGTGTTTGTATTGTAATGAGCTGGTCCTGGTTCTATCAGAGAAGATGCATTAAGTGTTGAACATACTGTAAAAAAACTCCTATATAAAAGTGATCCATGACTATGAGGAAGAATATTGAAGAAATAGTTTTGATCTTAATTTGAAATTCCCGCTTCACAGCTGTTTCCTCAATCCCCATTATGATTGATAATGCAGAATGACCAATAAACTCCTGCTTTTATGGCTGTTAATGGTTAACTGAATGGTTCAACACAACGGCAGAGTCTGTGACTTTCTCTGTGAAACTGGAGATGCACCAGCTTTATTAAACCAGCTTAATATCTGTAACAGTATATCTAAAGGAAGCACAGACAATGCACCAGAAATAACATAATAGTAGCCTCTACGACAGTCATCCAGTGCAACAAAAGAGTATAGAAACAGCCACCTAAAGGGGAAGACGCTTAGCTAAAAGATCGCTGAAGTCATTGGTCTCAAAAACCAGCCTTTCAGTGTGGTGGAAGACGTGAGCTTCTGCAGACCATTGACATACCTGGAGCTTCAGTGGGCTTCACCAAGCTGGCGTCAATCTCAGATCTAGTCATTCCTGTGCTGCAAAGCTTCATCTTCAGTCACAGAGGAGCTCTTTGCTAATGCTACTAATATCATAGATATCTGGACATACAGTCTAAGTCCTGTCAGCGTGTTGAGCCTCAAAGTCATGTAGTTTTGATGTCTATATCTACGGTAGAATCAGACGTTGTTTGTCTCATTTTGTCTCTATTCTAGATAAAACTTTATTTATTTATTTTTCCTGTATTTGTGTATTTGACCATGTATTTGTAATGTAAAGCACTTTGTTAATCTCTTTGGATGTTGTAAGGTGCTGTATAAATTATTATTATTATTATTATTATTATTTATCATTTGGGAGGGTTCCCTAAAGGAAATTGAATTTTTTTATATCTATCCATATAATATATATTTAAAAAAATATTTCTTACACAAATCAAATACTTCATTAAGAGTAAAAGGTAAACTCCAGCTCAGGAGAGACTAAATGCTCTTTAAAATGGGAAATAAATGTGTTTATATCAGTGTTGAATCAGTATTTGCCAAATGAGTTTGAAAATATGATTGATTATCTGTGAAGAATCCACTAAAATGACTGAAGTGTTGTATATTTTATGAGTGATTGGTACAACCACTTACTAAACCCAATATGTTGGTAATTTGATGACAGAGAGAGTGTGATTTGGTCTTTAAACCAAAGGGTTTTGTCATTTTTCTGGCTGTGATTGTTCAGTTTTGTGTAGAGTATCACATTGGTTATCACTGCTCAGTTGGACGATGTGCATTTCTTGTGAATTGTGTATTGCAGTTTGATTGGTCTATAAACGTCTTGTGATTTTTGTGCACAGGTATACTACAAACTACTCTTTGCTGATGTAATGATCAGATCGTGACCTGATGCACGTCTGCACACACTGTGAGGTCATCTTGTACTCTCAGTTGATTCAGTTACACTTCACACATAATTATTTGTGTTTGTTTAAACTTTGTTGTTTGACTAACCTCATCTCTCTCTATTTTTTGTTAAGCCTCTTCAGTGAATGTTTTGGGTATTTTGTTAAAGTATTTTGTGATAAAAGAGCAGCAGAGCCTGTAAAACTCTCTCACCTCATATTATCATGAAAAGTCTGGTCTTGTCCAGACCGTGTGTGCGTTATAACCCTCAGTGTGAATTGAAGGTCTGTAAGCGGTGTGTTGCAAGCTGCGCTTAGACGTGTTTATCTGCACTTCAAGGGTTGAAAAGACACAAAGCTTAGTCCTAATTACCTGGCAGTATTTCTCACATTAAGTCTCTCATGTTTTAAGAACATTACATATTCTAAAGTAGATATTTTTTCTATTTATTAAGGTCAATAATCACTTTACAATGATAACCTAGTTTAGAGAGTAGATAAGTGAAAGGAAGCATGTGCTGCTTTCTTCTTAATCTCTGGTTGAGAAAAAATTTGATACTTTTCTGACTGTCTGTTATTGATATAATTTTTGAAAATCTCACTGAATTGCCTTTACGCTCATAGGATGCTGTATTTATTACCAAAACCAGAATAAGATCATTTTGGTCATGAGATTAAAACTGACTCAATTTAAGAGGAAAGATAAAAAATACCAGTTGTAATAGTCATAGTAGTGAATGTGAATTTGGCTGACTGTTTCTCCAGTTATCTGAAAACAAAACATTCAGAGCTGTAGCCTCCCTTGGTGAGTCACAGAAAAGAGGTGAAAAAGTTCCCGTTGGGCTTGCTTGCATAATTGGACTCAGTCACTCCAGCCCCTGTAGGGTGATTTCTCCCTCCCTCCCCTTTGTGTGTGCCCCATTGCTACTGTGTGCCTCCGCTCACGTACACACCCTCGTGGAAGAGCATTGTTTACCCGGAGTACTAACGTAGAGCGTTTCAAACACCCTTTACCTCCTTTCAGCTGAGCTCAGGTCAGTCCAGACTCCAAGGTCAAAGTCGCTCTGTACTGCTTCACTGTTTCTCTTCAGACGTGACTTCAAGCTTGTATCACAGATCATCTGCAGTTCATGTGACCACTTAAATTTTTTCTTTTTAAATCAGATTATCATCAGACCGACTCTGGTTACAGTACACTCTGAAAACCCCCTGGTGGTATTTTAAGTCTGTTTTGGGCTGCTTTTGTGTTGCTGTTCCTGAACACTGAGGCTAATCTTCTCTGCAGCTCTATTATGTTCTGTCTGAATGATGCACTTGCTGATTACCCAGCTGACAGTTTGGGTTTTTTCCCCTGGCTTTCTGCCTGGCACACTAAAAAGATGAGAATAGGAAAGAGTGAGAGAGGGCTAATCACCATGTCCCCCCGGTGTCACCCCAAAGTGGCTGACAGGGTCTCGCTTGGCTGCATGGTTAACAAACCAGCAATGTGTTTCCCTCAGTGCTAAATTAGAGGTGACAGACTGATGTGAAAAAAAGCTTGGACACTCAAATCCTTGGGTTGCTTTTTCTGTGTTTAAGTAAAATTGAGATCTTTTTACAACCTTTAAATGCATCTATATGGATTTATTGCCGTCCTCATAACACATGCGTTACTGTCAGAAACGGTCGGTCTGATGTGAGGTGAAGGTAAAGGCTTGACAGGCTGAAGTGTGTGCAGCTGGTGGGTCTCCTCTGACAGCTATTAGAGAGGTTGGATTGATGGTGAAGTTTTGGCCTCGGCCCAAGACACTCTGCTGATTGGATGTGATGCAGCACAAAGCTAAAGAACTCGGATAAATAAAGAAAAATAAAAAGGGCGTCTTGTTCTGGTTACACCTGATTACACACCAACTGTGTGTAATCAGGTGTGTGTGTTATAATGTGTACAAAACGGCATATGTGCATGTACTCCTCCTGTTCTTACCATGACTGGTGGTGAGTAGCTATTGCTTTAATTGGGCCTAGCTCTTTGCCTCCTGGCCAGCATGTTTTATTGACTGCAATAACTGGGTCGAAGTATCAAGTGTCGTTTTGTTACCAGTCTGAATTAAGCATGAAGCCTGTTTGTGACGCCGATTTGGGACAAGAGAGTAATTGTTAGAACTGAGCTGTTTTTGTGTTGCGAGGGGCAGAGAGACCCTGCTACTAGCTTAGGATTTCTCCAATCTTTTTTTTATTTTTGGCATCAACCAATGGGCAGTAGATGGATAACCTCCTGCATACAACAGGGTTTGGGGTGTGTGGTTGGGACTGGAAAAATGTAGCAACCATATGAAAGACTGTGAAAATGGATTCAAAAGGAAGGCTTAGAGTTGGAGGACTGAGCTGAATGTTGATTATTATTATTATTATTATTATTATTATTATTATTATTATTATTATTAATAATAATAATAATAATAATAATAATAATAAAAAGACTGTGCTCTGGTAATTTGGTTTTGAAGAGTTATTTTGTGAGGGCAGATATTATAAAACTTAACTTTGAGATAAAGCTAATATGCACCATTTGATTCTTGTTTTCTTATCACACTTCATAATGTTAGCCCAAGTTTGAGTTAAATTGTACAGTGCATTTTCTTCATCATTCAATCTTAGTTGCCAGCTGGTGGTACCCCACCATAAGCTTTTAGTTGCCTAAACTGAAACGATAATTTCCATGTTGCTAACTTCATTTCAAGTAATTAAGATTCACTACAGTTTACCATAGGGCTGGGCGATATGGCCTCAAATCCATATCAGGATATATTGAGCAGTTCACCTCTATAATGATAATTGGACGATAACTACTCCAGAAGCTGCTCACCCCCTCCCACATTAACTTCGTCTACTTAAGCCGCTACAACTTTTGAACCGTCCTCCATCTCCTCACCTGTCTTTCCCTCTTTGTTACAGACTGGATGGGGTGGAGTCACGTCTCTGACGGGATATGAGACCATAGTCTACCTACACACATCCAAAACCTACTTTTATTTATTCATTTTTTTCACACTGAATATATTGACATGGGCAAAATGACGTTGGTTATTGTCGTAAATTTCGGTATCTGTAAATTTTAGGTTTATCACCCAGCCCTTGTTTAACATCAGCTCATTAATTAAAATTTTTCCTCCATTTGTAACTTGGCATTAATGAAAAATCTTCCTTTTGAATAAAACAGGCAGAAACCCTGAGCAGAACCATGCTCTTTGTATTGAAGCCATTTGATTTAATAAACCAGGATGAGACTCAAGGATAGAGACACAGAGTGGGATGAATATAGACAAAAAGCACTTAAAACAGCCGTGATTTCATTAGTATGATTTATTATATTTGTTATTGTTGGAGTCAAGCAGGTCTACAGAAGTTGGGATGATGCACAGGAACCAGAGACAAAGGAGGATAAAACTTTCAGAAATATATCAAATTAGCAATTTGATAATAGCAGCATGTTGAGGGGCAAGACCAAGGCAAACCTAAGTTTAGTAGAATTAAGGCCCACATTACTAACCCTAACTCTAAACTGTGCATCTGTGCATCATCTGCTGTTTATTTTTCTAAAGGACACATATAAAAGATGAATTGAATTGGTTCAAACATTGAACCTTGAGGAACTCCGCAAGATCATGGTTGCAAAATTTCTTAGACTTGCAATAAACCCACCGTCTTAAAAGTTAAAACTATCAGGGATTTTGGAAACTGTTAATAAGAGGTTTTTATCATCCTGTATGGTCTATTTTGAGATTGTAGTTTTAAATGCTAGTTAAGTATGATGTATTATAAAGATGCTTTATGTTATAAGCCAGCTTTTTTGATGCATTAAGTTAATATAAGTATACTGTATATCCTTTAGCAAGCAGCATTTAATAAACTGGCGAGTTAGTTAATGTTTAGCAGGTCAGGCAGTTGTTCAGTCTGTTGGGTTTTAACTTGGGGGCTGTGGGGTCTCTGTCTCTTCCTCTTTATTTGTTAGTGTAATGTAAATGTATTGTATGGTAACCACCGGATACTAACATTAGATACTTGATGTTCTTGACTGAGGTTTTGCTCTGTATTGAGTTGAATAAGACACACCCTCCATAGCTGAAGCCACTGGTCTGTATGTAATTCATACGCACTACCTCATGCTATGTATGTGTTTATAGGCGTGTCACGGCTATGCTGAGGAACCTGATCTGTGTGTAGCTTCTGGCAGTGGAAACTTGATCTTTGTGACCCTGATACATGGACAGGAGACCCAGCCCTGCTTTGTTTGTAGTGACAGACTCTTTGATCAAACAAAGGTTTGATGCCTAGAGGGGTCCGGTCTTTGTCATTTTGATTACAATCTTTTTATTTATGTCTTTTTGTTTATTGACCACGTATTATATTAAGGCTGCAAAATTATCTAATAAAACAACTTTAAAGAAAAAGTACGACTGAAAAGCCAAATACAGTGGGCAGTGTTGATGTAGGGCAGCATTGGAGCGTCTGGGTTTAAATGAAATAACATATCTGTTATCTCAAAGATGCAGAGTATGCTAAGAAAGAACCAATTGAAAGGCGGTTTCAAAAGTTGTTTTTTTCTCATTATTGATTTAAAAAAAAATAATTCCAACAGTTATAACTTTGGTTTTTATTTAGGGGAGGTTTTTTTTTCAAATGTCTTTAAACCAATTGTGGATTTTACTTTTATTTGATAAGATATTAGATTTTTAAAAATTCAGTAATGTATTTCCTCACCATATGGCCATCTAGTGACTCCAGACTGATGCCCCTCCCCTTTCTTGTGTTTTCTATTTTTTCATCATCAGCTCCTTGACCTCTCAGTGCCTGATGCCCTGGAAGCCTGCGTTGTCTCCCTGATCCACCAGGGGGCCTCGGTCCCTCACTGGGACACCTCTCTCTGAGTCGGTCTTCACCCTGAATCCTCCAGCTCCAGTCAAGCTGTCCCACCCTGCGTCCTCTCCCTGCTCCTCTTCTCTCCCTGCTCTTTTTTCTCCTCCCCTCTGGACCCCACAGCTACACCTGGACACCCAGACATCCTTCTCCCTCCATGAGGGGCAAGGGGAGGTGCTGGGGGCCCTGGATGTGGCCCCACAGCCATGTCGTTTGGTTTCATCCGGGGACCTGGGACAACAACAACAACATGATGTGTCAACTTTAACAGGTAAGTCAAAAATGAGGCATCGAAGCGTCTTTTGAATTGGATGCATTTATTACAATTAAGTAAATTACATATTGGATCATTAATTATTATGAAAATTATCTGATGTCAAGAATTGGAAGCATAGATAAATTAAAGAGTATAAAAATGAATGAATACTGAACACTTAGCAGTAAGAGGAAATTGTTTGTTCACAGATTGGTCACTAGAGGGCAGAGTTGTATTGTGGCTGACTTATCAGTGAGCTGTGGTTGTTTAAGTGTTTTTTCTTTTCTCTTCTTTTTTCTTACCCCTGAAAACACAAACACGTGTTTAAATAACCACTTCCCACTCTCAGACCTTTGCTCAGACCTGCCGGAGTTGGAGATAGTGAGCCTCCTGGCAGAGGGTAAACCCAACTACACTCTGCGGGCAGATAGTGTGTTTGGATACGACAACGATGACTGGCTGCACACCCCCCTGGTGCCAGCAGAGGTCGTTCTTGGACTCACGTACGAGCAGATTGAAGAGACGCTCAAGTACTTCTGTGAGTATCGTGCTTATTTACTCTAGTACACCCACACATACCAGTTTGTATCATGTCCTCGTAGAATGAAAGTTAAATTAAGCCCAACTTTGTGTTTTTATGAATCATGTTCAACCTTTACTTCCATGTTAGACTTTGTTGCCTGTATACTGGCTGTCATGTTTCAAGAAATGTGAAAGAAAGTTGTGCAGCGACAAAGATATGATGGAAAAGGTGTGGGATAAGATCTCCCAACCAGTCAGTTCAGTTTGCTATAGATTAGAGACATGATGGTGTTTAAAAAGGGTGATCCAGAGACGTGCTGAGTGTCTCAGTCTGAAGTAAAGATGGGGTGAAGTTCACCCCTCTTTGAGAGACTGAATGAGCAAATTGTTCAGCATTAAATTGTCAGGAATTTGGTGATTTCATCATCCGCATTACACAACAACATTTGAAGATTCAGAGAAAGTGAAGAAATCTCTGTAGAAAAGAGATAAGGACAAAAATCTGTGCGGGGTGGCTATGACCTTTGGGCTTTCCGACGCCACAGCATGAAAAATAATTGAAAACAGCCTCTCTACTGTGGTAATCAGTCAGGATTTCTTCCATGGACCATTGTCTGTGAACACAGTTGGTCTCTGCGTAGACAAATGCAAAGTCATATAAAGAGGAAACCATATACTAACATTTTCTGTAAATGCTGGTGACTTCTGAGGGTCTGCAGCTGTTTAAGATGGATTGAGGTGAAGTGGAAAGCACTTCTGTGGTCCACAATTGCACTTTCCTTTTAGAAATCAAGGACTGAGTCAGCATCCTTCGCTCTCAGGAAAAGATGGACCTCCAGTGTTGCTTTTTTTGTGTTTTATTTTAACTAAATTTTAGGTTTTTATGATTTGCAAATCCTTATTTTTTTGGCATTCAAGTTGTAGGACTGAGTCAACATTTTACCACTCTCATGTTCATTTGTAGCCCGTACTCGACAACCTCAGTCTCTTCGACACAGACGTCATAAACTCTGAAAATTGTTAATTCAGTTCTGATCGTTTGCCTGTAAATGGATCAGATTGATTTTTGTGAAAGCTGTAACAAATTTAAAAGAGTGATGTTAACATGATAATGAGGCCGTACCTCTCATTACAGTTGGGTGCAACATTTCCAAATTAATGGCAGTTTTTAGGATTATTTAAGCTTGTCCAGGCTTTAGAGAGGACAGCACCTCTAACCAGGAGTACATTATTGACTGGGAAAAAAGAGGTTTGTGTCATTTAGGTACATTTAAAAAGGAACATCAGAACAGGTTTGTTATTCTTGAGCAGTTGTCTCTAGGAAAATGATCATAAATACACAAATTTGTATTTGTATACTGAATGATTTCGTATTTTATCCAAAAAAGAAAATCTGTGGATAAATCAGTTCAGTGTTTCTGGTGGTCTCTTGGTTGCTTTCTCGGCAGAGTGACATTGTGTTTTTTTTCCCCTCACATGTGAATCAGACATGTAAATGAGCCTAAGTCTGTGTTTATTTTGACTGGGGTGTTGGAAAACTAATCCTTAGCTCTATCTCTTACACCTTCTGCTACATTTTAGGCACATATGTCAAAAGTCACTAAGCTGATTAACCTGCTGTCATTTGGCATCTGAAACAGTTTCCGCTTTAGAGGAAATGCCTCGGTGACCAATCTGACATAACCGAGAGCAACCTAAAGAGGGTTTAACGGCAGCCATACAGACTGTCTAGACTTGGGAGGTGATGAAAGGTTTTTATCCACGTTTAGACTATTTTTGTGCATAAGTGATATAAATTTTTTTCCCCCAGCAGCCTGGTTTTCACATTATATTTTGAGGGCTTTGTGTTTAACATTGATCCGGAATAAATGAGTACTGTCTGCTGTGCAAATGCATCAAATGCCATAGAAGAATACAGTTTTTTCAGTGGGGATCTGAGCTGTACTTTCCTCCAAGATCCAAACTTCTCATGTCCGTGCTTTATAGCGACGGTTTTCTTAAGACTGTGCGGCCCTGTCCTCAGAATGCTAACTCGGCTGTTCTCAGCTGACGCCAAAACACGTGGTCCCGCCAGGACCAGGACAGACTAACCCGGTTCACACCAAGCTGTGCCAAACTAAGTGTCTGTCTGTGTGGCAGGTGGCTTATCGCGCTGTTTGTTTACAGTGTTCCTCACTCTTGTCCACCACCTCATCCTTGGTTTCCTCTGTTTGCGTTTCACTTCTAGTCTTGTTGTGTTTGTAGCTCAAAATAGCAAAGAAGGATGTTTCTCCATCATCTTGGAATTGGGCAAAAAACTGGCACATTTTTTCTCCTACTGCTTTCTCTTCTTTTCACTATTTCCGTCGTTTTTATATGTTCAAGTGCAGATTTGTTTGGAAGGAGTTTGAATGGAAAAGAAATTTATCAATCAATTCATCAATCGTTATTTATGTATTGCCAATTAAAAAGTGTGATCCCAAAACACTTCACAAAAAAAGCTTCATGAGTTCAACACTTTACAGCATTTAGCGATTTACAGTGGAGAGGAAAAACCTCCTTTAACAGGCAGAAACCTGGAGCAGGATGAGATTCATGTTAGACAGTCATCTGCCACCACTGGATTGGGTTACAAAAAGGGATAGAGGCCTATTTCAGATTGGGGTGCACAATATTATTGGTATAATATTGATATTAGCAGCTTAAAAAGTTGTGATATGACCATTTCAGCAGACATAGCCCCAAAATGTGATATGTTAAGTATGTGCATGCTATGACAACTTATGTGTGCCAACATATTTACAATATGGAGGATTTAAAGTGTCAGACAGATGTATTACTGAATATCTATATTTGAAAAAGACTACATTTATCATACATGGTAGAAACCTTTTTTTTTTTTCATTCATTTATAAAGCAGTCACGAACAGAAAAGCAATCAGATTCTAGCAGAGAGTTGGGTAACATTTTACTTGAAGGGTTATACATAAGAATGACATTATGCTGTCATAATCATGACATGACATCTGTCATGTCACCTGTCACATCATGAATAAGGCCAATGAAGGTTGTCATTAAGTGTCATTTGGTAAATTATGACACCTTTAGTGCTATAATGACAATAATGCATTACCAAACAATGTGACTATAGCACCAAAGGTTTCATCATCGACTGAATGACACTTAATGACATCATTCATTAGCCTTTTTCATGTTAATGACAGGTGTCATGTCATGATTCTGACAGCATAATGTCAGTCTTGCATGTTGCCCTTTAACTAAAGTGTTACAGAGGAGAGACTTGGTGGATGTATTGGTATTGGTATTGAAACTGGTATCATCAAGAATGAGTTTGAAAATCTCTGCAAATCAAATATCTGCAAAAATTCAAAATTATGCCTCTCTTATTTTAGATATAGACTGGAAAAGCCCAATCCACATTTGATAAAATAAAAAGTAAAAGAAGCAAACATTTGACAGCAGACACAATCATTCAAAATAAAAAATAAGCCACAGTTCCTCATAAAGGAAGACATGGGAAAACCCCTCAGTCGCCTCTGATGTCCTATTTGGCAGGGAGCTCATTTGTCTGGTTAAACTGTAAGTTTATAACAGCATGTTTTGCTTTTGTTGTGGAGCGTTGAAAGATAGCAGGTAGAGCAGGTTTGCTTTTTAATCAGTTATTATTTTCAGTGTAATCAAGTGAACAGAAGCTATCTGTAGGGGTCAAAATATGGTGAGAAATGACATTGGGTGGGACATGTTGCAGCTCTCAGTTTGCAATAGCGTTTGTTAAAGATATTGCATGTCTCACCAAGATTTTATTCAAAGTTGCATTTTTATCTCGTCTTGTTACCTCAAGCCTCTCATGAGCCTCTTGTTTTTGTTATTTGATGTAGTTGATTTAGGGTATGTAGGCATGTAAAGAGAAGATTAAATCAAAGCCTGTGATTGGAGCATCAGTTTTATGACTGGAAAAGTGACTCAGAGACGGAGCTCTTGTCCTTTTAACCTGTTATTATGTGCCTGATACTTCAAACACAACTTCCTTATAGCCTCTGTTCTTTGGAAATACTTAAGTTGTCATTGATCTTTTCTGTTTACTTTAGCTGGTTGGAGTGCCATGTCTGAGGGGTATGAATCAAAGCTGATGGGTGTGTTACCCTAAATGCACGCACTAACAAACGCCCGCAGAGGTAGAGTTTGGGAATAAGTGTGATATAACAGTTGGTGAAAGCTGCATATCCGCTGTCACTTGCGTGCGGCGTTTGACCTGGAAAGGGTACGCTTGTGGGTGAAAAATTGATGAGGAAGTAAATATTTGATGGTTGGAAAAGTGCTGCCTCTAGAGTAGCAATGGCAAGGGCAAAGGACGGACAGACAGTAAAGATATGCAAGACAGTAAACATGGAGAGCAGGTGTAGGATGACTCTGGATCACTATGACGGGACTTGAAAAGACGAAAAAGTCTAATTCCTGCACTTTGATTGGAGCTCCACCAGTTTTAAAATAACAAGATGAAAGTATCCACTCGGGATGGGCGATTAATTATCGTTCAGGATATATCGTCAGAAAAATCCTCCATGATAAATCTTTGCCGTCTCATGATAAATACGATAAATGCAAGTTGATGACGTAACCGAGAGCGTCAGACTCGCAGCCATAGACCACAAAGAGCAGAATAACAAACAAACAAACATGGCCGAAGATAATGAAGATGTTTCTGAGCAGCTTGTTACTGAACGAGGCTCCACATGAGGGATTTCCTTCAAGATTGGGGTTTAGATGATTTCAATCAGGTCAGCCTGACATCGGACAGTGGGTCTGCTGCTGTTCATTCTGTGCAATAAGAGTTTTTAACAAATGTTGAAAATATTTTCACATTTGAGACTTGTTTGATTTCATCAGTTTTCTCCATAAACTACCACTCAAACTTGTCGTTGAGTGTCTTATTTGACTACTCCAAGTGGTGTTCCAAAGACAAAACGAGTCAAAAATATAGACTGGATTGGAATTTTAACAATTTTTATCAGGACTTTTATTATTATTGGCAGAATGGCAAATCTTACTGTGATAATTTTTTAGGCCATATCTCCCATCCCTACTATCCGCCTGATAACCCAATTTACTCTATCTACTCTTATGGGGGCGGTCCCTTGATCCTCAGAAGCTGTTTATTATTTTTCTTTTAATTATTTTAACATAATTTCATACATTAAAAATGTTGTTTGGTCTGAAATTTTGTTAAAGCACTTCCTATATATAAAGACGTTTTCAAAGAAGATTAATGCATTTTCCCATCCCTACAATGAAAACATGTTTTTTCTTGTTTTCTCTCCGTAATCTCAGCCATCACATCTATACTCATAAAACACTCTCGCTATACAGCCTTCATCAGACCCTGAACAGTGGGTGTGGCTGTGTCTGCAGCAATGTGACGCAGAGCCTTCTCTCTGTCTGATGTTACGTATGTGCACTGAACAAGATCAGCCATTGGTATAGGCGGACCCTACCATCTCCCTCATGTCCAAAGGGGTGGGTGGGCTCGATGCAGCATCCTTTTAGACTGCGTCAATCATTCCATTCTGAATTGTTTAATCATTTTCAAACACATAATGCTCATCTCTTTGAGCTCAGCCTATATAGCATAATATCATCATTTATGTGGAGTGGTTTAGATATTTCTTCCTCCATCACCCCTCCTCTTCATGCTCCCCTCTTTTCTTACCCGGTAGTCCAACGTGGCCAGGTGCACGGAGGCAGGCGTGACGACAGATGGCCCGTACAGTCTGAGGGGATTATTCATTAACACAGAGGAGCTCAGATTCTCTCACACACAAACACAGGTGTATACACCCACTCAGGCAGGCTAGCGGATACAGTTTCTTCCATCACACCGGCCAGCAGAATGATGCTGAAGACACAGCCGGTGTGTCTCAGCGTAGTAAACAGACAGTAAGGTCAGAAGAGCAAAGGATTTAACGGACCGACCAAGAAGCAGAGGGCATTTTTCTTCAGTCACCATGGAGGTATGGAGCTCCTCTGCCTCTGAGGAGGAAGAGGAAGAGAAGATCACTGCCAGTGCTGTGGAGGAAGTTGTGGAGGAAGTCGTGGTAGAAGAAAAGAAATGCCACAACAGCAATAACAATAATAACAATAACAACAACAACAAAGGCAGCCTTTGCCAGGAGGTGACGCAAGGTGAGACGCAAGAAACTGCATGTTAAATTAAAGAGTTATAGAAGGTGCAAGGGTCAGATCAGTGACCTATGGAGCCAACGTTTGAATAAGAGAGTTCAGAAAGAGAAAAAAAAAGTCATCGTGTTTTATGGTTTTTCTCCTCTGCATGTCTCCTACTGCTGTTTGGTGTCATTATCCCTACTTTGCATTGTCATGGTTTTGGTTATCTAAGCGCTTAAATACTTAATGGTGCACAGCATGTTCTGCAGGCTGCAGTGATGTCACTGAAAGTGCATCACACAGATAATGAATCCATTCAGTAAAATATCCTTTTCAACTTAAATTGTGATCCATTATTAGTAAAACAGAAAGGGACCTTAGATTTATTCCAGTTTGATTTTGACTGTTTGGGGTTAGTCTGGTGAAGGTCACTGAGTCTGTGTGCGGTGTGTTTGCTGCACCAGCATAATAAAAAACTGTGTACATGTTAGCATTATTCACAGCTGATGTTTTTAGATGAAGGTCAGGCTGTCGAATAAAGGCACCGTATTTTAGTGTTTTTGGATTTCTGCCCTCCTGACGGGGATGGACTGTGAAGAGAAAAGGTTTTTTGTAATCAGAAGGAAGTAAAAGAATCTAATGAGACTGAAGGAATGATCATTTTCTAACAAATGATTGCTGTTAAACCTTAAACAATGTGGTCTGTGGCTCAGGAGGACAGTGACTGCAGGTGCATGGACTGTGCTGCTGCCCTAGTTTCTGCACAGTGTTGTCAGACGTCCTTGCTTGTCCTATATGACAATGTCTAACTTAGGATGTTTTAATGAATATCTTCAAAAAATAAGATTATAAGTGTACTTTGGTGTAAAGCAGCTTTTACAGAAATTATAAATTTAGTCTTTTTTGTTTGTTTAATTGATTTTACATCTCAGATTAAAAATGTAAACCCCTGGTTTGACCACAGCTGATTATATGAGCAGGGATTTTGCTCTATTCCTCCTCTGTCAGGGGCGTTCTTTGTCTGAGCGAGCATGTGGCTGAGTGAGAAATGCACAAATACTGCGACATGGGCACCTTTCCAAAAAACAGGACTCTCTTCAAGTCTTTTTATGATGCAGTAAAATAAATAAATCAGATAAACTTTGCTCGCTGCTTTTGTTGTGTTTAGCGTGTTTTATGTTTATATCTATGTAGCTGATGTCACTTTCAGTACAAAATAAGAGCACCTACGTCACCAGGGTTATAGGTACAGTATTAGGCTAGCAGTTCAGGGTAACCGCCTGGATTAAGCTCAACAAAAAAACCCTAAAACCCCTAGCTGGCAGCACAGCGTCTTCTCTGATCTGTTCTGTGCCGTAGCCCACAGGTCGAGAGGAAACGGACCACGATACTCTGCCAGAGGAGACTTTATGGATATAGAGATAAGACGCATTCATCCAAGCAGAAATTAGCTGTCAAGATGCCACCGAAATATCCCACACAACATGATGCTTAAATGAGACTAGGACAAATAAGTAGACTTGCACACTGTCGATAGATGTGTTAATCTGCACGTGTGTGTGTAGAGTAAAATATCTCAAACCAGCAAACAGCCCAAGATTGTCTTTTTTTGATAGAGATGCAATCTTCTTAGAGGCTTTAATAGGATTGAAGGAAGTTGAACAGTTATCTGATTAACCTTTGTGAATTTAGAGAAGGCAATTTGATCACACAGTTAACATTTCAGTCCCCAAGAAGATTGATGTGCTGTTATAATATTAATCATTATTGATTATCATTGAAGGGCGAGTTAATAGATTATTAACAGGGTTGTTTTCATCGTCACTAAGATCAAGAAACAGCGATTTGATATGAGAAACGGACACCATGACTCTGGTTTTGATGAGTACGTCAGTCAAAACCCTGTAAAGGTTTTTGGTGGAGTTCAGCTTTGACGCTCATTCTTGATTTTCGAGGCAGCGTGATCGGTTCACCTCAAGCTCCATTATCACCACGTTAATCACATGACAGGATCATCATGGTCGGCAGATGGCATTCGCACTATTGTAGAGTAATCACTGACGTTAAAGAGACTAGTTTTCTTTCCAATTCAAATTACTCACCGCTTTGTCGCTGAGTGAAACACAAAATCTGCTCTTTGGGGCTTCTGACATATTAGGTGACCTCTGACCTTTCTCTGACAGGCCTGGTGAAATAACTTTCACTGTTTTGCTCTTAAGACAGTTTTATTTCTGCATTTCTTTTAGCTTCAATTAATGAAAATGGAAACAGTAAATCACCTTGTAGCACTATTGACAAGATGCACTCTGTATATTTAATGCTAAGCCTGCAGTATAGCTTGTATGCAGAGGCTCCGGGCAAAAGCCCAAGGTTGAATTCTTTCCATTAGTTTGATTAGACATTGATACGGCTATTCCATCCTGTTTGTAGGCCGAATTCAAGGACCTTGATCTAATTACTTTACTGTGTGGCAACCTCCCATCTCTTAAGTCTGGCTAAGCTTTGTGAGGCTACAGAACTGATACTGATTTAGATGAATTAGAGTTATATTCAGGGCCCTCCTGGTTGTTCCAAAACTAAAGATGACTGAGACTTTTTCAATCAGGAACGACCTGCCAGAGAAGATGAGGCTCACAGGGTCAGTTACATCACCTCTTCAAACCCACTTCTACAGATTTGTTTTTATGTGATGTTGTCCTCTTATTGCTTTTATCGCCTTCGACCCTTTCAGTTATTTTTATCTCTGAATTCATTTTGTTTTATTGCTTCTGCCTCCCTCCTCTTTTACTCTGCTATGGTGGTCCTCTTGGTCTCAGTTCAGGTGGATCTTGTGTTTTATATTTTTGGGTCAGTATCAGTACGTGGCTGATGATAATGTTCATTATTCCCCGGGTTGTTCAGCTGTTGTTTTGTTTGTTTGTTTTTTAATTTTTTTGATTATTTTATTTTCAGTTTCATATATATGCAAAATCTACAAAAAAAAAAGAGTCAATATACCAACAGTATACAGACAAAATTTCCCAAGAATTCCCCCCCCAAAAAAAAGATAGATATGGTCGCAGGTGTTGTTTTGTTTGTTGTAGTAAACTAGGATCAAGATCAAGATTTACTTTATTGCCCCTTGAGGGAAATTTGTCTTAGACAGTAGAGCTCTGTTTGCTGCCGTACATAAAATACACATAGAGTAACAAATACGCACAAACAAAACAGGTATAACAGAAAGAGGAAAGGGTTCAGCGGTCGCATGTTCACAGTGTGTACCATAGTGCACATTTCAGGAGATTATGATAGCACAATAATCATGAGCATCCCTTATGGTAAGAAAGTGCGAAAGTGCTTTCCAGACAAATAAGAACTGAGTAAGTGAAAAATAATTATGGCGAGAGAAGCTGATAAAGGAATCTGAAAAAGTAAAACTTAATGAACAAGATATAAATGCGGAAGAGCAGTAAAAAAATAAAATTAAAAAATAAAGGATAAAGTTGTTCATATCATTTAGAGTTATTACTGGCTGACTCAAGCAGTTATTTTTCAGCCTTACAGCATCAAACCAGCTGCGGAACAATAATTAACTGTACGGCTTGATTTCTATTTCAAATGCACAAAACCAACATTTAAAGTTTGCATTTTTATTTATTTTAATTCATTGTTTTTAATATCCTGCTTGAATCCTGCTTGTGCTACATTATATGTATGAAAAATGCTTAACGAATAAAGTCTGATTGATAGATTTAAAAATTACGAAAACCTTAACACACTACTTTGCTGAGGAGTTATTTTATATTCAGTCCTTACAAGAAGTTAACCTTTAAAACAGAAATACACCCCCTTTAAATACATTGACATTTAATTACTGACCACTTCCACTTCCTTGTGTTTGTTTATGGCCGCCCCAAAGTGGAGGCAAACAATCGGATTTGAAGCAAGTAGCAGGTCAATGGTCAGTCACTGCGTTCTTGCTCATGCTGTACATGTCCCGCTGCTATGAATGCTGTCAGATAAGCCCCGCCTGTGTCACAGGTTGAGCTATATTGGTGTCCAGGGGAGCGAGGTCTTTATTGGCGTCTTATCTGGACTAGAAAGGATCAAGCTAAGAGGATCAGTATGAGGCTGACCGCATGGATGTGTGTTGTGGTTTGTGTCTGTGGGATCTTTGAAGAGAACAAAACATTTATCAGACGCTCGTTTATACAGAGACAGAAATGTGTAAAAACCGAGTGTGTTTGTTAAAGGAAATCATCTTTATTCTCTTGGTGTCATAATAAACCACTTTAAATATGTTCAAATAGGAGCCAGAAATATCATAGTTGAGATATTTGTCTTTCCTGCTCAAACATAAATAGATGGATTGAGCTAAACTTTTCTCCCGGCCTCTGTTTTATTATCGCTCATGTTCCTTCTTAGACACTCAGGAGGATTTCATTGTTTCTATTCCTGCTCTGTGTGTCCTCTGTGTTCCTGCTCTCTATCCCATTCATTAAATCCCCTCTCTCTCTCTCTCTCTCTCCCCCCCCTCCCTCAGTGCTGTGCTCAGACAGAGTGGGCCAGGTCACCAAGACGTATCATGACATCAAGGCAGTCACCCACCTCCTGGAAGAGGTAAGAAAGCTGGGGACACAAAGCAGATGAATGGGATTATGGGAGATTATAGTGACCACCGTGTTTGTTGACCTTTTTTGCACTTTAGTCTCTGTTTGTGCCGTCACATAAAAAGTGCATAAAAAAGATTTTTCCACCTTTACTGATTGCTCACCTGCCATGTTTTTAAAACATTATGCAGCTAGAAATCTCTTCTTTCTGAAACGGAAATATCATCCTACAGAAAGAACGGGATCTGGAGTTAGCTGCGCGAATCGGACAATCCCTCCTCAAGCAGAACCAAGAACTCACCACGCGTAATGAGATGCTGGATGAGCAGCTTGAAACTGCAAAAGAAGAGGTAAAATCAGATAATAGTCGGATACATAATAGATTAATCGCGGTTCTGCGACAGTCTGAGGAGCTGAAGTGATTTAAAAACATTGTACTCCATAGATTGCCCAGCTTCGCCATGAACTCACGATGCGAGATGACCTCCTCCAGTTTTACGCCAGCACTGAAGAGATGGAGAATTCTGAAGCACACTCGCTGTAAGTTTACACACAAACACAAACACACACAGTACACAGAGTTTTGGATGATTCAGGAATAGAAACCAAAGTTTGTAGGAGAAAAGATTAGCTAAGACTACTTTGACCACAGGGGGGCGCCAAAATTGACACAAACCTTAAGTTCCTCACAGGAGCTTTAAGTTATAAATCATAATAATTATTACTCTTTATACCACTCCTCTATATGAAATTTTATTTATCATAGCTGTTAATTTAAAGATACCAGTAGATGTATTAACTTTAAAGAAATTAGTCTAGCCGTCTAACGTTGATTATCTTTCTGCTCGGGTGTGTTCTGCAAGTGCAAGATAAGATTTTTTTCTCCTATGAGGAAAAAAAAACGAGTCATCTCATGTAGACTTTGTTCCTGCAGGATGAAAAGGAATAGTTCGTGCACTTCTCTCACCAACCTCGTCCAATACGACTTCCTGCAGCAGAAACTGAAGGATCTGGAAGACGAGAACCGCAAACTGCGAATAGAGGTGAGCAACACTGTGAGACCGTCACACAGAGAAAGCTCCAAGAAAACTTAGTCCCACATGTGAGATGAAAACTGTATTTTTATGGTCATATCTGTATCAAATGTAGAGAAGGATTCATAAATTTACATTTACACGAGATTCAGTAACTTTAACTTTAAAAGCTTCCTCTAAGTGACAAACATTATCCCTGCAGGCCAGCGAGCTCACAACAGAGACAACCAACTATGAGGAGCAGGAACAGGAGCTGATGATGGTGTGTGTGGACGAGCTCTGTAAGTACCCCCGTCTTGTTTCATCTTATGCAAACAATGCTAATTTGATCAATTACTGGTGTATTTACAGGACTTGTGTGTTTCAGCGTCCGTTAATAAGCAGGTCGTTGACCTTTCTGACGAGCTGGCAAGGAAAGTGGAGGACTGTCTTCGACAACAGGAAGAGATCAGCTCGCTGCTCGCTCAGATTGTTGACCTGCAGGCTCGCTGTAAAGGGGTGAGGGACACAAATACACACAGAGATTTTCCTTTCAAGGTGTCATTGAGTAGCTAACAGGAGCAGTGGCTTTACAAAGAGCGATGTGACCGATCTTTATCATGCTATGTGATTAGGATCAAAGCTTAACCATATATTTTCCTCTCTTTCTCTCTTTTTCTCCAGCTCACCAATGAAAATGAGGAACTCAATCAAAGCCTGAATGCCTCCCGTGAGGAGCAACAGAAACTTAAATCAGAGGTAAGAAACTCAAAATCAACGAAGACATGTCTCTGGATGAATCATTGTTATAGGGATTAAGGAGCATAAAGAGAAAGAAAAAAGGTTAAATTAGGCTTGGGACGATAATCAGTAAATCAATTAATTGCATGATAAACAAAAAATAAACTCGATAATTTTTCCAGCCTCAATATATCACCTTATGTTTGTCTTGCACCTCCAAACATGCTGGATGACCAGAGGGTTCACTCTGTGCATCGGTCTCAGCACCTGAGCGCGTTTGTGCCTTAGTGGAATGAAATGAAGGGAGTGAACCATTGAAAGGGTGTTCTTGCATTATTATGATATATTAATAATCTTTCCCTCTTTGTTACGGACTGGATGGGGTGGAGTCACATCTTTGACGTAGGACAGCGTCTTAAAGGGAACATGAGACCATAGCCTATCTACACACGTCCAAAACCAACTTTGATTTGTTTATTTATTTGACACTGAATATATTGACACAGACAAAATGATGTTGGTTATTGTCATAAATTTCGATTAATCGCCCAGCCCTATATATTAACATTACATTTTTGGTTATTTTGGTCTCGATAATGTCGATAATCGTATCATTTATCGTTTGTTTACATCTAGTCTGAGTGCCTGTCGTCAGACTGTAGACTGGGGTATTAATACACTGACGCATGGCCTGGCTTTGTTGCAGTGCCTTAAACCGAAATTTAGCCCATAGTGGGAATATTTCCCACACTAGTCACTGTATGTGAACAACTTTAAACCAAGAAAATGAACCCTGTTATATCAGGGTCCTTTGTCATAGTTACTCCCGCTCTAAAAAATGAAAAATAGGTGGATTCAACTTGTGTCTGCAATTAGAAGAGGACTGTATGCCTGAAAGAAGCACAGATACAGTGGATTGTTTGGTCAAAGTCTACACACAGGTCCCCACACAGACCTGTTTGTATGCATCTTTGGCTCAAAGGATTCTTGTTCTGCAGTTAGTCAGAAATGTCTCCACCTGCCTGCAGCTCAAGGACCTACAGGACAAGTACTCGGAGTGTGAGGACATGCTGCAAGAGGCCAGAGAGGACATCAAGAACCTGCGAAATAAAAGTCTCCCCAACAGCACGGTGCAGCGGTACACTGCGCTGGCCTCCGTCCTCCCCATGGACTCTCTGGCTGCAGAGATAGAGGGCACCTTCCGCAAAGGCCTCGACAACCCAGCTCCCTCAGAGTACAAGTGAGTCTGTGATTTTATCAATGTCCTCAGAAACCTTCAGGGTTTCATTCACACCAAAAGGACAAACTGATGTTGGTTTGTACGATCCAGAGCACAAAGATGGACAGCTGATTATGGGTTACACGGCAGGGCTGGTTTGAGAGCTTTCTGAGGGTGTTTCCATGTTACGCTACTGCAACACTTTCTGGAATTTGTTTTCACTGTGGCCTCAATCCAATTTGTCTGTTGTGGTGACTGCACATGAGGCATGTACTTATGTTATGACTTCAGCTAATCCAAATCACTTCACTGTGAAGAAATAACATGCAGGTTAAAAAGGAGTATAGATGTGCGGACAGGGAGGACAACTCAAAAGCAAGATCTGAGGCTGAGATGTAATCAGTTCAAATGAGGACAAAGTTTAAATGTCCTGTTTCCTCCGACAGGAACCACCCCTGGCGTGTTTTTGAAACTGTCAAAGTAGTGAACAAGGCCGTGAGGTTGCGGTCTCAGTGCCCCTCCCCGGGTCTGCCAGGCTCCAGTCCTCTATCTGCACGTTCAAGCTGTGCCAGCACACCCAGAACCAGCTACTACGGCTCTGATAACATCAGCATCAACCTGGAGGACAAGCCCAGCTCCAATAGTTCTCAAAGAGAGGACAACGGGTAGGTTTCAGTGTGTAGTAACAGCAAATAAAAGCACTGTTGTTATAAGTTGAATGTACATATTCAAAATAGTCTAAATTTGTCACATCTCTTCACCACAGCGTCAGTGGGCCGAAGCGTCTGGGCCAGCCCGGCACACCAGGAGGCCAGGACCTGGAGGCGGCTCTGCGCAGCCTCTCAGATCGTCAGCAGAATCACTCCTCAGAGCGGCCTTTCTTCGATGTGGAGCGAGAGCGGAAACTTCACGCCTTAGTAGCAAACTGCGAAGAGGGCGAGGCCTCCAGCGGCTTCCTGACTCCAAATGACAGCCTGGTTTCCAGCCCAGGAGCATCCACGGGTACCAACTACTCAAACGGCAGCTCACGGCACTCCTGTGGCTCCTCTGGGGGATCGAGGTCCTACCTGCCTGACCGCCTGCAGATCGTCAAACCTCTGGAAGGTAAAATCTTCAAATCAAGACTGTGTCATTTCCATTACTATAGATAAAAGACATAACCGAACTTTGAGGGTGAAAATGAAGTAAAATGTCAGTGCTTCTGTTTGATTATTACTCCTGTATTGTTTGACTTCCCTTACTTTCTCTCTTGTTTTCAGGGTCAGTGACTCTGCATCAGTGGCAGCAGTTAGCCAAACCAAACCTTGGAGGCATCCTGCACCCGCGACCTGGCGTCCTGACTAAAGACTTCAGGGAGCTGGAGGTGGACGTGCAGCACATCTACAGTCTGAATGACCTGGAGGAGGATGAGCCCGACTTGTCACAGTTGTCTGGAGCTCACAGCTTGGGTACGACACATGTCATTACAAAGCTTGACTGGTTTTTGAGATGTCCGTTTCATTAAATCAGCATTCCCCACTGTCCTTCTCTCTGTCTGTCTGTCTCCTCTCTTTTGTTGAATCTCATGAAATGTGAGTTTCTTCATGTGTAGTTACATTTGCCTTGTCTCCCTCCATGACCTCACAGTCTCTCCATCTGGTCCAAACCTCCCTCAGACCTCTCCCACACATACCATTACCACCTGCAATGTCCTCCAACCCTCCCTCCTCATCCCCTCATTCTCCACTAGGTAAGATATACTCGATGTATACATGTGATCTACTCCACCACTGCCTTTGTGAGGTTTTATGGGGATATTGTGTTGGTCTGTTGTTTCTTTTTAAGTAAGATTTGATTAGATTTGTAGGAACTGGATTTTTTCTTCGCTTTATGAATCTCAGAGGCTTTAAAGACCCACTCTGATGAAAATCATGTTTTTCTTGTTGTCTACATGTTCTTTTGGCATTTTTGTGATGTTACTGGACGTATCATGAGAAAACTAAGTGCAAAATTACATTTCTGAGTATTTCTTTACTCAAATCACTGTGGACCTCTGGCAGACGAGAACAGCAGGCTCAGATTCAGGGAGATTTCTTATGTCACAAATCCAAGCTCCGCCCCCTGAGTCATCGCAGATTGCAATGCTCGTAAGAAAGCTAAAGCTTAAGATATTAGCTTTCATCATTTCCCTAAAGACATTAGTGTCCGGGAGTTGAATAGCTCTTATATTACCTGCTACTTCTACTACACCAGCAATGTTAGGCTACAAGCTAGCGTGAAGAGGAGTGTGCAGAGCAGTGCTGTCTCCGCCCACGACTCAGGTGAATAGCTGATGAGCTACTGGAGCTCTGAAGAAGAAAAGCCCTTAAAAATGGTCTTTTTAAACATGGTCATTTTATGTTGTAGGGTTCTTGTATTGTCTGGGTTTTTTATGACAAATGAAATTTGCCTTCAATTCGGAGGCCTTGTTTTTAACTGAGCTGTTGTTTTTTATTTGTTTTTATTTCCATGTGCTGATGTTCTGTACTTTACGACTGCTTGTCAAAGCACTTTAGAAACTTCTGTTTTTAAAAATGCTATAAAAATAAAGTTATCATTATTATTATTATTATTATTATTATTATTATTATTATTATTATTATTATTATTATTATTAAAAATGAAACAGGTAACATGATTTTGGCTAAAGCCTAAATAATCACAACTTAAAGACCACTGAGAAAACTTTAAATAGTAAAAAAAAACAAAAAGATCGTAGTGGGACTTTAAAGCGTTTCTGAGGAAAGATTTGGGTGCGTTCATTAATTCGTTTTGGTCATCTAAGATTTGATGCAGCTCCTCATCATGTTCTCACTCTGCCCCTCCATTTTCTTCCTCTGAATTTCTGCTCTCTACCCTCCTCAGCGAGAGAAAACGCCTGTCCAAGCTCTTCCTCCAACTTTAAAAGAAGCCTGTGGGGCAAAGTAAGAGTGTAGGGTTGTGTTGGTTTGGCAGGAATGGCAGAGGCACGGCTTTATGTTTGTTTGAAAACTTTTTTTTTTAGCCTTTTCTGCTTTAATGAAGTTGTAAATTTTAGGTCAGAGGCGAAGAGTTTACACATTTGCTGTGAACTAACAGGAATGATTAAACGCCCGTCTTCTGCTTCCTACTAACACTTCTCTAACACAGCTGAACTGTAAAGTCTTTTTTGTTTGACTCCACTCAGCATGTCTCATTACATGTTTAAATGTATTTTCCTCCCTTTAGGTTTTTATCCAGGCAAACAATCAGCTCCTGAAGCTCCTGCCCCACTGACACCATGTTTATCCATATATTTATCCATATTACAGACCTCAATGACGAATGAACTAACTCGGACTGTTTTGATTGTTTCGTTTTATTCATCATTTGTTAAAATCTTGCATGAGCGTTTAACAGGAGGAGCTAAGTTTGGGACTTTGATCACCTGATAATGTTTTTAATCTGAATTTTCTTCCTTTTTTCTGCAGGCTTCGCTCTCTCAGCCTGCCACCTTGTCGGAACTGTGAGCTCGTGAGCACTTCGTGGCCATCTCATATGCAGCACTTTGGCCTCAGAGGTCAGACCACCTCCACCACCATGACCACAAATCTCACCACTCCAAGACTTGGACTCGTGCAGCTGCTGCAGGAGCGCGGCATCTCTGCCTCTTCTCAATGCCATCATAACCAGCACTACAACCAGAGCACTACACCCTCGGACTCATCATTGAAAGACAGAGGAGGAGGAGGCTCGCGATCATTGGACAGAGACGGAGGAAGGAACATTTTCAGTTTGAACTTGGTGGCAAAGCTTCAGAGTTTGGGGCTGCACAGAGTGGCAGCCTGGGGGATGAAGAGACAGCATGAAGCAAAGAGAGGGACAGATGTCCTCTGAAGTTTGCTCACAGGTCGACTCCTCTCTTCGTCTCTGGAGTGACTCTGTATCATGACTCAGACTCAACAGTTCAGAGCTTACAGCTCTGCTGTCTTAACAAAAGCCACATCAAGTGCTAGAGCCATAAGTGAAGTTGTCTGTAGTGTACAGTAACGTTGTTTTCTATGAATCTGTGTACAGTAGTTTTGTGTGCATATGACATCCTCATCTCAGGACTGTTTCCTGATCACCTGATCACCACTTTGTTTGACTGCAACATGATATATGATTTACTTTTGTTTTGCACAAAAAAAACATGAAAACAAAAATATTTTTATACTTTGTCTTGTGATCATCATTTTACACATTTATCCTGCCACTAGTAAAAAAGAAAAAAAAACCTTATCACCTGTTTTTGACCAGAGTTTCCAAAGCGGATCATAAGTAACACAGCTGTTTTTTGGGGGAGGGGACACTAATGCAGTAAGTCAACACTGACCCTGTCTCACTGAAGAATGTTCAAATGCACTAAAACACCCTGGTCTTCCTGCTAAGAAGCTGCTGAGGTATACTCTCTGTGTGAGACTGTAAAGCTCAACACTTGTGTACAAGTTCAAAAAGCAATGAATGAAACGTTTGGCAGTTTAGCGATTGCTTGTAAACGGCATGTTTTCACAGAAGAGTGTCACCTGAAGGCTCTCGTGGACTTTCTTCTTCTGAGCCAATAAAAAAAAGCAGCTTTGCCACGCTGCATCGAAGACAGCGGATAGGTTTTTTTTCTTTTTTTATCCTCAAGCAATATGTCTGTAAACTATACTGCTGAAAAAAATCTTGCTTGTGCTGTATTTAATGTCATCAGGGATTTTGAAATCACTGGGATCTAAATGAACTCAATATTTGTTTCTGTGACTTTTTCATGATGTTATTTAAAGGCTAGTCGAAGAGTGTGTGTTTTATTTAAACTGCATGACTCTTTAAAACACGTCAAAATCAACTGTAGCAAAGAGGCATAGGATACTGTAGGTTAAAAAGGGAAGAAATCATGAACACAAGTCGTAATAATTTGTGTTGCATCAACCAAACCACTGTTTCTCTGCACTGCAGTTTGTCTGTACTGTGTTTGCACCACAGCTGTACATATATGTGTGTAACATTTTTCCACATGTGGATAAATCTTTGCATTTCCATTGAGCACAGGTTTCCCTCTTTTTTTTCTATCTATTTTTTGTATACTGAAAAAAAACACAACTGAATCTTGGGATACTTCTGCAAAAAAGGGTTTTATTTATAAAGTTTCAAGAACAGTTAAACATTAACTGCTTATTAACAAAAGCAGGAAGTCTGAGCTCTCATGATCACTCCACGTCTCGGCGCCCAAAGTCCACCCAGCCCTGGTAGTCGCGATCCAACATGCAGTCCGTGTTCATCAGCTCTGTGAACAAACCAGTCCTACATGAACCACACACAGCGTTCAGTAAACAGATCTGAGCGTCCTACTGGAGCTCTGCCCACATACTCTTCAATCAAACTGGCACAAGCAGGACAAAAAAAAAACAGTCAAAAAGCCATCATGCCCCAACCCCCGGCATACCTGAGATAGCTTGCATGATTTGTTTCGTCATTATCTCGCGTTCATCCTCAGATAGGTGTGTTCGTCTCTGTGTCCGTCTGAGCGCCGGCTCTTCTCTGCCAACGGAGTCTCTCACTTTCGCCCTCTTGTCTAGAAGCTGCTTGAGTCCATGAGTGTCTTTAGCCTCTCTGGGTGAGGAGGCTTCACCAGACACAAGCAGTGCAACCAACAGTGCAAACACGAGGATGACTTTCCCTGACATGTCTGCGTGTGGGAAAGAAAAAAGCTGATTTACATTTCATCAAAGAAACAAAGTGTCTCAGAGGGAAAAGTTACTCTACCTGTGGAGATGAGATCAGTGCACAGTGAAATCCAAGACCAATCCAACTTCAGGCTCAGTCCTGGTGACTTCGAACACGTCCTTTTATACTGAAGTTTGGCGAAGGTTCGAAAAAATCAAACACAGATAACGGCGTTCACTGATTGATTGGTGGTCGGATATGCGTAAAGGAAAAACCCACCGCTGCACCAACAAACCCATCACTCCATTATTGTGACTTACTTGGAAATGTGTTTTTCGCACCGCAATAATAATAAAAAAAAAATCAATGTGTTTACAGAAGAAATCCAATACTACTTTACAGGCGAGGAGAGAGGCTCTGATGAAACTGTGCAGCTGCTTGTTTTAAAAACATTAGATTAGATAACTCCTCAAAACATCTCCACTAATACAGAATTATAAATGTTAGAGGAAGAAAACAAACTATAAATGTCTGTGCAGCATTTGTGTACCTTAATTATGATGCTGCATGAGTTTTATTCACCTGAACTCAAAGAGAAGAGGAGCTAAATATTATCATGACCTTCAAAAAGAAGCTAACTGTGTAAACTTAAGAGGACTGAGTGATGCTGTGGTCTGGACTTTCCTCGTGACGTACGCTCTACCCTTTTAAAGACAAAAACACGTCAAGGAGGACAGTTGACATATGAGTTGTTTACATCCTCTATAGATTTTTGGCACTATTTACTATCATGTTTCCACTCACAACATTTGAAGAAGGTGTCGCATGAACACGGCCTGGAGGTGTTGCCTAGCAGTGAAAGCATCGTCAGGCAGGTGGATTTAATCTCAATGACAGGGATTATGAGCTGCGCTTTGATTTATCTACTGAGTCGAAGTGACAGCAGCACAATGAGAGCGGGGACTGCTCATGCACATGTTCACCTGTTCATGAGAGTCTAACTGATCTCTGTGCTGCAGACATAATCCAGCAGGTTGTTTTGGATGACATTTAAACGATACACACACACTCTGTCTGACCTCGGTCTCTTTGTTTTATAATCCTGGATGAGGAAGAATGTAACAAAACACAAGACACTGAACCTTCTATACACTGGTGCGACAAAAACCAACGCCCCAGAATCAGTCAGATAGATCTCCCTGACGCCACACACGCCACAGATGGCATGTTTTTTTGACCTGTTGCCCAGGTTACATTCACACTTAAAATACCACAGAAAAAACCTCAGAGCTCCCTCTGTTTTATTTTCATTGATGTTCAGCGGTGTCCTCTCAACTATGTGTGGATCTTTAAGGCTGTTGAAAAGGTTACGATAAGTCATTTCATTTAGGGGTTGAATTGTACAATCTTCATTCTGATATCAATATACTGTTGCAGCTGCTTGTTACTTGTCATATGTATTCCTAACTGTAGCTAATACTGTGATAAAAGAGTTTAATGGTCCTAATGAGTCAAAGCTGCAGCCAAAAAAGTGTCATGTTTGTTATCTCAGACTTTTCTCGATGGGTGTGTTCAACATACTTGAGCGTTTAAGATTTTTCTGTCTATCACTTTTTTTTTTTTTTTACTTGACAGGAGGTGGGATAAACTTCCAAGTAAAGGTGTGACCATGATCAGCATACCTTGGAATATCATTATCCAACTAAAGAAACAAGGAACTATTTATGTTCTCTGGTCACGTACAGTGTTTTCAAAACGCTCTTTCAAATAATAATTAGTGCGTTACGCAAGTAAGCTCCCCAGATTACAGAGGAAAAACTTCATGTAGAGGCAAAATACAAAGTTTTACATAACAGAGTTTGTGATAAAGGTGATATGGTGCAGGTACTGGTATCTGCAAAGATAACAGCTCACTCAAACTATGCAATGAATCAGCAAACTCACCCAATACGGGTAACCATAAACTGCAGAAAAAGATCTATTCATGTGACCAATACTGCTACAGTTACTCTGTGAGAATGACACTCTGAGCGGTCATGACCCTTGAAGGAGGCGGAGGCAGGAGTCTAATCCGCCGTAATATCAAGGTCAAACACACCGTAACACCGAGTTAGACACCCACATGAGAGATGAATGTTTCCGATCGCTTGCTTCTCTAGTTATACCAACTTTAGTAGCGATCGCACGATAGCAATACACAGAGCCATGCGCTCAACCAAAATGCCACTCTATAGCCACAAATAATGCTCAGAACAGCACCTAACTTCATCAACAGTACATATAGGGTCCTAGCAAAAGTACCAGCCACCAAACATCTTTTTAACTTCGCCTAATTTCTTTAGCAAAGAGACTAAACACAACTCACCCACTCTCCTCCAGCAGCAGCTTGTTTGTGGGGGGAGCCCTGACGAGTCGATCACAGAGTGCAACGGAGTTTCGCAGCTCAAGGAAGAACATTTACAATCATTACTTTGAAGTAATAGTCATCATATTAATCATTTTGCACTGCAGACGCGGTAGTTCTTCTGCCTTAGCATCTTGGTCTGATTGCATTTCCATGAAGAAGTGATCATAAATATCACACATGGCCCTGTTCACCCTCCATACCAATCTGCCCGTTGGAACCCTCCCGGCACCCTAAAAAGCTCCCTGTTTCCCCGGGGACTCTTTTACCCGCACACCCTGGGAGTGGAGACAGATAGGTACAGGTAAGTGTTTTGTATGTTCACAACAGCTTAAACTTAATATTAAATCTGCTCGGACTTCTCCACTTTAACTTGTGTCTCTCATAGATAGTGCGGCTAAATCAACCCCGACCGCCACACGACCTGTGATCGTCTGTAAGCAACACATCATTAATCTCAATAAAAGTATTTTTTTTTTCTCTGAAATACTTTTCAGACTCATCTGTTAACATGTCGTGTTCAGTTTTTTATCTATACAATCCTACAATGACCCTTCAATTTATACACTTGTTGCTAGCTTCCTCAACCCTCAGCTACCTGACATGGGGGAGAGTGGGGTGAGTTGAGCAACCCCCTGTTGCTTGGAAATGGTAAAAGAAATTAATCATGTGACATGAAAAATGGCTCGTCTTACCCCACTCTCCTCTACTGCAAAGGAGACTGAAGAGACCTCCGTTAAACGCTCCCTCCAAAAATTCTTTAAGAGAGAAAAAAACTTCAATCCTGCTTTTTGCCACTTAAATGTGAGAGTGATTTATATCAAGTAGCTCCTATTATAAGGCCAGTATTAGGCTGCCAAATACCTATCAGTTTTGGTGTATGTATTTTCCATTGTTAACAACATTCACTGCAAAGTCTGCAGTGTGGCATCAAAGATTACATTAAAATAATAAGTACTCATTTATCCCCAAAGGGAAATTCAGACAGCAACAGTATTGACTGACAATGTGTATTATCAAATAAAGAAAGCACTCTTCCAACTATTTATTTATTTATCAATGCAGAGGTGGTGCAAAAGGCAAAAAAAAATCATTTATTAAAGCTGTTATTGACTTCAGTTAACCATGTCAGTGTTCTATGAGTTTTGGCTTTTAATTTATGTACTTTTCAAATGTCTCTGTACATGCCAAAGAGTGACAGTAGCAAAATTAAATACATTTTAAAAGAGAGAGAGAGAGAGAAAAGATTGTGCCCAAAACTGTGACTTTTTTACTTTTCATTTTCCTTGGGAATTTCAGAAAGCCTTGTGTCGAGTTTATCTGAGGTGATGTAAAACCGGATAACTGTGGGGTAGCAGTCTTTCTAGAAAAGTAGCAAAGAAAAATAATCTTTATTTTTATCAGTGAGACACCCATCAAGCTGCCAAACTAGCTGTTCCACCTGTCACTAACACTTTTGTCCACACCTATTAGGTTTCTGAAAAAGTATTATCTGCATACCACACATTGTTGTGACGGGGTCAGACTCTTTGTACCTGCTGCAGGCTGCTATAAATGCCCGTTTCTCTTGCAGAGACACTCATCGTTGAACTCTCAACTCATCTCCATCCTCCATCCTCCAGCTCAACCTCTTATCATAGCTATGTCTTTCAGCCACCGAAGCTACAGCTCCCGCAGCATCTCCAGCTCCAGCCTGAGCGGAGGGATGCCGCTGGTGGGATCCGGTCAGGCTCGCATTTCCTCCGGCTTTTTCCAGAGCCGCACGCCCAGCGTGTACGGGGGTGCTGGGGGCATGGGGACCCGCATCTCTCAGTCGATCTTCTCCTCCGGGACTGCGGACTCGTTTGGGGAGAGTTCAGTGATCACCAATGAGAAGCTGACCATGCAGAACCTCAATGACCGTCTGGCTTCCTACCTGGACAAGGTATGCCATGATGATGATGATGATGATGATGATGATGATAAAGGTGTTAAGGAGGATTATCACAAACCAAACATTATTACTGCATGACAGTTGATCCAAACTGGACTTAGGGGAAAATACATTTGAGGTATCTCCTCCTAAAACAGCTGATGAATTCATGTCAAATATAGACCTATGATCAGACCTGAAACCCAGATTCATGAGTAACACCCACAAACTGTAAACTATAGGGGACAGGTTTACAATTCTTAATGTATGAGGTACAACAAGAGGTGAACAAGACCACTGATGCATGTTTTGCTGAGCTCACTGATTCCTCTTAATCGTGAGATCACTCTTTTTGCTTGTACACATTTTCAAAGTCAAAGATCTCTGCACATGAAAACAGGTCAGTCAGTAATGCACTTGAAGTTTACACACATTTTATTAAGTAGTATGCTATTGCATAATCTAGTACACTATAGTTTGGCAAAGTTAAGTATCATAAAGTTAATGTAGTATAGTTACTCGTGTTTACTGTACTGTAGTTTGGTTTGGTGTGGTGTGAAAGTGTATAAAGTATAGTACAGTTTAATGTCATTTAGTAAAGGTAAGTGAAGTATTTTATCGTATAGTATTGTTTAGTTTTCTATAGAAAGTACAGTAAAATACAGTATGGCAGTGTAAAATACAGTAGGATATAGGTTAATAAAGAGAAGTTTTGTATAGACAAGTATAGCATAGTGAGGATAAGTCAAGTATTGTGTTGGTTAATAGTAAAGTTCAGTGAAATATAGTTTAGTAAAGGTTAACATAGTGTTATTTTGTTTCTTATTGTATAGTTAAGTAAAGTATTGGTTAGTTATAAATGTTTAGTCATGTATATTAGTAAAGTAAAGATACAATAGAGTATAGTTGTGCTTTATAGTATAGTATAATATAGTATAGTACAGTATAGTATATAATAGTATGGTATGATATGGTATGGTATGGTATAGTATGGGATGGGATAGTATGGGATACTATAGTATAGTATAGTATGGTATGGTATATTGTAGTATAGTATTGTATAGTATGGGATGTATAGTATAGTATAGTATAGTATCGGATAGTATGGGATAGTATAGGATAGTATAGTATGGGATAGTATATTATAGTATCGTTTAATATAGTATAGTATCGGAAAGGATAGGATAGGATGGTGTAGCACAGGTGTACTAGATTATACTGTAGTTTTGTATTGTATAATAAATGTAGTATTGCAAAGTCGAGTATATTTATGTTAAGTACAGTTAAGTATAGGACAATATTGTATAGCTATATTTACTACAGTATAGGTCAATTAAGTCTAGATCAGTCTAGTGTGACATAGCATAGTAAAGTATAGTATTGTGAGGATTGATATTGCACAGTAGAGTTTTGTGTGATTTGGTTTAGTACAGGAAAGAATAGTAGAGGATGGCATAACATACTAGTCTCATGAAACACTAGTATTTTGTAGTTTAGTATTGTACAGTTGAAGTTCGTATAATATAGCAAAGTGTAGTCTGGAATAGTCTAGTGGAGAGCCAGAAATGAGAGTCATTTATATGAATATGTTTCCTGTCTGATGTCGCCCTCTCCCGTGTGCAGGTGCGCTCCTTGGAGGCAGCTAACAGGAAGCTGGAGCTGCAGATCAGAGAGTACTATGAGAAGAGATCACCGACAGTTTCCAGAGACTTCACCGCCTTCTTTGCTACTATCAGTGATCTCCGAGCTCAGGTACACAGGCTCACGTTTTACTGTTACATTTTTTTTCTGCTGCTCACAAAACTGACTCATAAGTAAACTGACTGTTTATCTGTTTATACCCTTTATAGATCATGATGAAATATGCAGACAATCAGAAAATCCTCCTGCAGATTGACAACGCAAGACTGGCAGCTGATGACTTTAAAATGAAGTGTGTTTACATCCCTCTTTCCCAACACAGAAATTACAAATACATTCTCAACTTTTTCATTTTGTTTGGAAAGATTTGAGTTTATTTGACTTGAAGATCATTTACAGTCACAAAAACAACAGAAAGAAGAAGACAGAGGCAAATTTTTATGACTTAAATCACAAAATCTCCATCTGTCTCTTGAAGGTTTGAGACAGAGCTGAACATGCACAACATGGTAGAGGCAGATGTGGCCCGTCTCAGGGGGGTCCGGGACAGCCTGACCCTGTCTATCGCTGACTTGGAGGTGCAGATTGAAGGTCTCAAAGAGGAGCTGGCCTATATGAAGACTAACCATGAAGAGGTGAGAGCCAATCAGAGCCACAGAAAGTTCTCTGTGTGGGGTTTAAACATACTAAATAGTGTTACAGCAGGGAAGCTGGTTTCTGTGACAACATGAGGCGCCCTCTGCTGGTATTGGCTGGTACGGCAAACAGCTATTGTGCAAAGAACTCATTTACAAAAGCATTTCTCATGTCCAAATTGCAGGAGATGTGCCAGCTGAGGATCCAGCAGACAGGTACCGTGAATGTGGAGGTAGACAGTGCAGCTTCTGTTGATCTAAACAAGGTTCTGGAGGAGATGAGAGAGCAGTATGAAGCCGCGGCAATAAAGAACAAGCAGGAGCTCGAGAAATGGTTCCAAGCAAAGGTGAGGCATGAGAAAACAAATCATTTAAAGCAGTATTTTCAGAAAGTAACGATTTGTTTTAGCTGTGAGTGTGGATTTATTTTGTTTTTGTTTTTGTGTGTAAAAAGATGGAAACTCTCCAGAATGAAATCTCCGTATGCTCCAAAGAGGTGAAGACGTACAGCTCAGAGCTGTCCGAGCTGAAGAGGACCTACCAGAGTTTGGAGATCACTCGTCAGGGCATCATCACAGAGGTACATCACAGATAATGTAATACTTTGTGATATCATACAAAATATACAACTCTTAGTTGAGAACCACTGAGCTAGAGTGTGTTATTTGAAAGAGGATTAGGGCCACAAGGAAGAGAAAAAATGATTACAGGAGGAAGATTTTTTTACATTTTCATTTCGAGATTAAAGTCAAAATATAAATAAATCGTAATGAGAAAAAATAAAAATTTTAAATTCTCGAAATTTCAACAATTTTCATGACATCTCAACATTTTATAATCTCAAAATGTCGACTTCAATCTTGAAATTCCAATTTTTGATCTTGAAATTTTAACTTTATTGACATAATTTAGATTTTTAATCTGAAATTCCGACTTTAATCTTGAAATTCCGACTTTAATCTCCTTCCTGTAATTATTTTTTTTCTGGTCATGTGGCCCTAATCCTCTTTCGAGTTATCGCTCATAACAAAGTAAGCAGTGTTGTGAATTAAGTGTATAGAGTTTCCCATCAGGTAGGAGGTGCACCTGTTTTCTGTTATCACTCACAGCTGTCCATCTGCGTTGTAGATCCAATGCCGGCAGCAGAACCTGGAGGAGTATAAAAGTCGGTACAGCATTCAGCTCAGCCAGCTGCAGGCGAGCATCAACATGCTGGAGACGGAGCTGCAGCAGCTCAGAGTCTCCCTGGAGCATCAGCAGGGCGAGTACAACCTGCTGCTGGACATCAAGATGAGGCTGGAGCTAGAGATCGCAGAGTACAGGAGGCTGCTGGAGGGAGAGCTGCATGAGAAGAAGCAATATGAAGAAAAGAAGTGAGAGATTTAATATTTTACACCCTCTATAACTTTCTGTCTCAACCCAGAAGAATAACAGATAAATGATTGACAAATTTTCCTCTCATAGGGTGTTGGTCATCACAAAAGTTGAGGAGAAAGTTGAAGGTAGGAGTCCTGATCATTCGCTGAATTATATCTCTTATACTTCAGACACATCCTTCATCTTTGTTTGTTGTCTTCTCTGCAGAGCATAAACCCCACATAGAGAGAAGGGTGAAGACCATCGTGGAGGAGATCATTGATGGAAGGGTGGTATCATCCAGTGTTGACACCGAAGTTACGGATATTCAGTAACACTCCTGCTGCTACTGAACACACACCCTCGTCTCCTTTAATCCTGCCTGATGAATAGATTTCTGTAGTCAGCTGTTTCAAATTCTGAACAAACTAAAACATGTTTAAAAAACTGTTTTCTGGGACTTTCCATCTTTTTCTTTTCATTCTAACAATAAAGTGAATCCTACAGGAGATTATATTTTGTTGATGGATGCTCTTTTGAGTCAAAATGAGTCCATTATATGATTGAAAGCCATGAGCAAAGATAAAGAGAATTGTGATACATACAACAAAGTTGGCAATGAGTTCAGAAATGAGTTTATTACTTATATTTGAACAATTTCGAGTTTATTTACAATATTTGTGCAAAGATTTGGAATAATTGCAAATAAGACTGTCACAGCAGGTGTTAAATAAAGGACATTAAAACCAAAAACAAGAACTGTAATGCTTTTTTCTATTGTTTTCACTCATCGTTGGTCTCCTCTTTACTTTTTTTATGATTTACTTTGTCAGAAAAGTCATAAAAACTCAATTAATAAGTCAAAATATGGCATTAATTTTGAAGTTAATGCTACACACAGTTCAGGATGTAATTCCAGTAAGACACCACCGGATGTCACTCTTGTCTCGATCTCAAAGTGAAGTTCTTGTAGGTGTTTGTGGAGAGTACAGCCGTATTTTATGTACTGGAAACACACTTAGAAATTAGATTTGAGTTTACATTAAATAACGGAAAAAGCATAAAATCAGTGCATAAGTTGATGCTGTACTGCAAAAGACATTAATTCTTTATGCCTCTGAATCTGTTTTTTACATAATGGTTAAAAAAAACAGATTTGGTCTGTGTGGTCACTCCTGTGTCATCAGAGGTGTCTCATCTAGGTGGAGTTGAATCAAGCAAAGACTTTAAGGCTCATATTATCAAAATGTCAATGATTCACCCGTTCAAAAAATTAATCCATCAGCCTTAAAGGCTCCCCTGCTTTCACTGCTTTGTGCTGAAGTGTATTAACCAGCTGCTTTCATTCATCAGTGTTATAATCAAAGAGGATATTACTCATTTGTGTTGCTGTCTAGCCCATAAAAAGATCACTCTGCATTTCCAGACGAGACAATTTAACAAACAAAAAAAACTAAGTACCGTGTGACATTTTAATATATCAACATGCACATAAGAGCCGTGAATAACACTCATGCATATATATATATATTTTTAATCATCTTTTAATTCCAAAGTTTTTTCATTCTTTATTTCTCTCTTGTATTTATAGCTGCTGTAAATTTGGAATTTCCCCTTGTGGGATGAATAAAGGAATATCTTATCTCTAATCTCACCTTACATTATCACACTATCGCTGCTTCCACCTCAGAGAAATGCCTTTCTCAGAGTTAAAACTATATATTTGATTTGCCCTCCAGTTTCTAAAGGTCAGGAAAAAATACAAAGATAAAAGACTAGGGCCCCGGTGGGGCACTGGCGGGCCCGAGCCGTGTCGCGCCGCCCCCAGCACGACCGCCTCCCCCTCCCAATCGCGTCACACTCAAGGTCCAAAGATGGTGTGCGCACTTGTCTGTGGTCATTTACCATTATAATGAATGGGAGGCGCAGTTTCTACCAAAACGCTTGCTGCAGACAAACTACATGTCCTATTTGAAAAAAGTCTGGAACATGAGTGAGGGCACAAACACAGCTTCGAGATATCCAAATGGCAAGTGACTCCTCTTTCCGGTTTTGCCGAGAGAGCGATGCGTTTGAGCCATTGAGCGATGGGCAGGAAAAACTTGACTTTTTCTCCTGCCATAGGGGGGCGCTCTTTTTGGGGAGAAAAAATTCCTTCACAAATGTGTTGATGGCTGAACATTGCATCATCCTAGAAAACTTGGAGGCCAGTGAGGACCAAAATACAAGTTACAAGACTTTTAAGAATGTGGATATTTGGGTCCTCTCTGGCGCCCCCTTGAACCTAAACCGTGGGGTGCAGCGTCATGATTTGTACAACATTGAAAGGCCATGGGGTGTAGATTGGCCTGAGCAAATTTGGTGTTGGTGGGACGAAAGCTTTAGGAGGAGTTAGCCACATTCCAATGTGTGGAATGTGGATTTTTGGGTCATCTTTGGCGCCCCCTAGAACGTAAACCGTGGAGTGCAGCGTCATGATTTTTACAACTTTGAATGGCCATGGGGTGTAGATTGGCCTGAGCAAATTTGGTGTCAGTGGGACGAAAGCCTTAGGAGTAGTTAGCCACATTCCAATGTGTGCGGATCGGCAAAAAATGCAAAATAGCCCTTTAACCGTACATTTTACAGATACGTGCGCATTGACTTTTTCGTAGATCTTATTGAGATACACGTGATTGTCAAATTTTGTGTCAATATGACAAAGCGTACAGGCGTGACACTCAACAATGTGTATTTTCACCTTAGGGGACAAGAAAAAATTGACTTTTTTCTCCTTCCATGGGGGGGCGCTCTTTTGGGGAGTAAAAATTCCTTCACAAATTAGTGGAGCAGACAAATGCATAATATAGCCCGAATCGTTCACTTTGTTATACAAGCATGAAATTTGGTACATATACTCTTCAAACCCCACTCTTTTCAAAAATAACGTTAGCCACGCAAAATTCCAAGATGGCGGCCCCAAAATCCAAGATGTCCGCCCCAAAAATGTGGTTTTTCCTTTATAACTCAAAATGACTTGATTTTAAGCCCCATACATATATTGAAGTTGAATATAAAGTTGGGTATTGCGGACATTTTGGTAGCCAGTACATTTCTGTATCCATTACGGTTCTCGAGATACAGCATATAGATACTTGTACAGAATTGGGAGAGTGAGAAATTTGTAACACCGATTGTTGTTACGTGCATATGGTTGCATGAAAATATCATTTTCATTATCTGTTATTTTCATGAGGGTTATAACATTAAATTTGAAAAACAAGATGGTGTCCAAGTTGGCTGCCATTGCCTTGAAGTAATCCGATCTTAGTGACTATGAAACATTAACTTTTGGCATGCACATATTTTTGGTCTATGCATCCAATGGGGCCATTGCAGTACAGAATTTAGATGTTTATACAGTACAAGCTTGCAGATGTAATAGAGTGAATATCGGCACACAACCAGGGCACACTGGTGATATCACTGCTGTGTAACTCAGCATGACCTCCAGGGGTTCTTTCAGCATGAGAACCAGTCCTTCCCTGTTGCATTGAGCAAGGGTGGAAAATTGTACACTTGCCAGAAGTCTCAGCTGACCCCTATCCTTGAGAATTATGTCCCACAAGTTGACAAGGAACCTGAGGCAGACGTTCTCATTGTAGATGGGTCAGCTTTGGACCACGCCCTGCCACCAAAAAGATCCAAGACTTTTGAGGACTATGCAGCTCTCGACTTCCTACCTGTGATCTACATGTACTCCAGCAAGTACACAATGACACATCTGGTCTTTGATGTGTAAAACCCATCAAGCCTTAAAGCTGAGACCAGGTCCAAACGTGGCCAGGGGGAAGACGCAAGGTAACAAATAAGAACACCATGCTATCTAACTGGCATAACTTCCTGAGGCACAATGACAACAAAACAGAGTTGTCCCACCCTTGCCGAAAAGGTTGCACAAATGTTTGCCCTAAATACCGTCATCGTCACAAAGGGACCTGCTGTCCTCAGCACTCGTGCAACTGGTCTTGATGGACTGGATAAATGCTGTCACGAGGAAGCGGACTGCCGCATCTTTGTGCACGCCAAACTGGTAGCAACTGGTAGCCAATCCATCATGATCAAGGCAAATGACACAGATGTTCTGGTCTTAGCAATAAGTGTATTCAGCGGTCTCCAAGAGGTTGGCCTACAGCATATGTGGCTTGCATTTAGGCAAGGTCAGACTCTGCGCTGGATCAGTGTGCATGACATATTTCAGCATGTTGGCCAGGAGAAGGTCAAAGGCATGCTCTTCTTCCATGCCTTTACAGGATGTGACACTGTGTCTGCCTTCCGCAACAAAGGCAAGAAAATGGCTTGGCATACATGGGACATATGTCCAGAATCCTTGCCTGTATTCGCCAAACTGGGTATTTACCCTCCCACAGTGGAGGACTGCGACATAGAGGTGCTTGAGAAGCTTGTCATTCTCATGAATGACAGATCCAGCACAGCTGCTACTGTGGATGAGGCCAGGCTTGACTTGTTTGCCAGAAAGCAGAGGCCCTATGAGTCTATCCCACCAACCAGAGCAGCTCTACTCCAACACACCAGGCGTGCTGCCTATCAGGCTGGTTGTGTGTGGGCCCAGGCAACCCAGTGTCAGCCAGAAGAAGTGGACCCTGCAGACTGGGGATGTCAAAATGTTGGTGAGGAATGGCAGATCTTCTGGACAGCCAACTCTCCAATAGCCAAGAAGACAGCCTCCACGTGGCCTCCCCCTCAAGTAGCCAGAGAGTAGTTGCCCTTTAAGCGAAACAAATGTCTTCGCAATGTCCACAATGTCCAACAGACCCCCCCACCTCCCATACCCAGTAGTAACAGAATCCATTGAAAAATCTCTTCTGTCACTTATTTTGGGTTTCAAACTGAGGTGTTGAATTTTGGATTCTGGGCAAACAAACCACTAGGGGGCGCACCCATATTGTTTGCGGTGTTTTTTTAAAACCTTATACACATACCTAACACCATAACAAAAATCAGAAAATTGTCACAAAATGCCTAATTTTTAACCTTTTTTGACAAGTTTCATCCTTCTGAATTCATGATTCATCTCTGCTGAATTCATGATTACTTCAAGGCAATGGCAGCCATCTTGGACACCATGCACGTAACAACAATCGGTGTTACAAATTTCTCACTCTCCCAATTCTGTACAAGTATCTATATGCTATATCTCAAGAACCGTAATGGATACAGAGATGTACTGGCTACCAAAATGTCCGCAATACCCAACTTTATATTCAACTTCAATATATGTATGGGGCATAAAATAAAGTCATTTTGAGTTATAAAGGAAAAAACACATTTTGGGGCGGACATCTTGGATTTTTGGGCCGCCATCTTGGAATTTTGCGTGGCTAACGTTATTTTTGAAAAGAGTGGGGTTTGAAGAGTATATGTACCAAATTTCATGCTTGTATAACAAAGTGAACAATTATTTCCTTATCTGCTCAGCTAAAAAAGCATAAATAAGTGAACTGAGTAACCCTCCCACCCTCACCCACCCCCCTCCTTATTATGGCTAGTGGTGGCTGTGGCATGGCTCTGCCCCTAAGCTCATTCCAGAGCTTAGGGGCAGCAGCGGCAAATGCTCTGTCCCCTCTGAGCTTCAGCCTTGTACTGGGGACGGTCAGTAAAAGCTGATCAGCTGATCTTAGGGGTCGGGGTGGGCAATAAGGCTGTAGCATCTCCGAAATATAGGGTGGAGCAAGGTTGTTCAGGCCCTTAAAAACAAATGCTAAAAGCTTAAAATGAATTCTGTACTGAACAGGGAGCCAGTGTAAGGACGCCAGGATGGGGGTGATGTGCTCACGCCTGCGGGTCTGTGTCAGGAGACGTGCAGCAGAGTTCTGCATAAGCTGCAGGCGGGCAAGGGAAGCCTGGCTAATCCCTACGTACAAGGAGTTGCAGTAATCAAGACGGGTAGTGATAAAAGCATGGATTAATTTTTCCAGGTCAGGTCTTGATAAAATGGGCTTCACCTTCGCTATTTGGCGTAGCTGATAAAAACTTTTTTGTACCACCCCGCTGATCTGCTTGTCAAATTTAAAATCAGGGTCAAATTTAACTCCCAGATTAGTGACGACCTCTTTAAGGTAGGGTGAGAGGGAGCCTAGGTCGAAAACCCTTAAAACAGGCAGAAAAAAGAGAAAACTAAAAAAAAAAAAAAGAAGAGTATTTCTGAAAACAAAAAAAAACAACAAAAAAAACACCCTAAGAAAACTAAAAAACAAAAAAGAAATATTTCTGATTCTTGGGGTTAAGAAAGCCTGAGAAGTGGAAGAAGTAACTTCCCCGAAGTAAGGAAGTACTTAAAAAAAAAAAACTCTTCAAAAAGAAATCTCCAAAAACAAAAATAAATTAAGACAACTGATGAAAAAACAAAAAAGAAAAAAAAACATCAACATGGGAAAAAAAAAAAAATTCTAAAAAAAAAAAAAAAAAACTACTGGAAAGAAAATTAAAAAACAACAAACAAAAGCACCCATAACCCGGTGTTTTTCACACAAAAAATAAAATAAACCTTGCGGTTTTCCGTCCCATGGGAGGGTTTTTATCCCCCTCCTCGAGCTACCACCTTACCGTGGTGGAGGGGTTTGTGTGTCCCAATGAGAGTTAATTCTGATTTACTCTTGCTGTTGTCAAAAAGTGCTAAAATTTCTCTGAATTTCGCATGTTAAGTAGGCCCATGTCAGTTTTAATCCTTGCAGGACTCTTGTTTTCACTTTTCATCAGCAGAGGAAAAGCTTTTGGATAACTGATTAATATAGAGTTCAGGGGAAAGTATATCTGCAATGTATAATCAATAATGACTTTATCTTCATGAGTAAATATGATTTGTACATTTAAAGAGAACTATTTTTTAATTTTGGTTCAACAATGGACAGAAGTAGACAGGCAAGATGGGCGTCTGTAAAGTTCAGTTTAACAGCTGGTTTGTCATACTAAGTTTTCTTATTTAACCCATCAATACATATCAATTCATAAAGCATCTATTACAAAAACAGCTCAAATCAATGTGGGTTAACAGCAGGTTTGAAAAATACATGATTGTTATAGGGTGTGCTTTTTTTTACATTTAAATGTGAAAAATTCAAATGTAAACAAACAACAAGAGAATATGGCATCAAAGGAACAATTCCGTGATGACATCATTATGACATCATCACGGCTTTCATCTCGTGTTACTAACTGGAAGTAGAGCAGCTTTCCAGGGTATCGTTTGAACCTTTCAGCGAGTAGCTACACTTAAAGAAAGAGACAATCGAAATCTTCAAAGTGAAACATAGACCTACTGGTAAAAACGTGAAAAAGCGAGAAAGCGAAAAGCAAAGATGGAAAACATGTCCGAGGAAACCCACGGCGAAATGACGGATCCACAGCACGTCCACCTAAGGTAAGGAGAAAAAAAACGGTTCAAGGGGTCCCTGTGTGAAGGTGTTTCTATAAAACCGCGCCTCAACCTTTTTCTTTCTGCTTCTTTTCATTCACATGAAAATTTTTCCTTGTTTGTATTGAATGTGTCATATACTAACAGACTGAAATAAAGTATGTACACAGCGCCCTAACTTTATTGAAATGAAGTCATGTGTTTGGAGGTTAAGGCTCTGTTTGTGTAGATACCAACAGTTTGGGTCGGGTCAGAACTGCTGACATTCATACAGCTCATTCAGACGACTCAGAGAATGAGAGTATTTGGAATTTTCCAATATTTATCATGTCTCAGATTTGTGCACATCAGTTTGTGAATGACAGATATTGTATAGAAAGACTTAGCTTTCAGACCCTTTACAACAAGATCTTCAGTGCTTCTCATCTTTTTCTTTTAGCTTCCTATCTGAAAGCTCTGTGGAGGAAATGGCTCAAGACAGACCAGATCAAGATGAGACAGAGAAAACGGAGATTGATAACAGCATCATACAGAGACTTCAAGACAGACCAGATCAAGATGAGACAGAGAAAACGGAGATTGATAACCGCATCATACAGAGACTTCAATCTGGCTGGATAGGCACTCTTCAGAGACTTCAAGACAGACCAGATCAAGATGAGACAGAGAAAACGGAGATTGATAACCGCATCATACAGAGACTTCAATCTGGCTGGATAGGCACTCTTCATGTCGTTTTCCTGGTGCTGCTTTTAGTCCTAATCACTGTCATTGTTGGCCTGAGCATCAATGTTAAGCAGTTACAGAAAGAAAGGAGTCAGCTGAGACAGCTTCTAGAATCAACACACATGGGACTGAACCACACCATGGAAGTAAATCAAAAAGTGAGCCAGAGTCTGAACTTCACCGTGGAAGAAAATCAAAAACTGAGGCTGAGTCTGAACTACACCATGGAGGAGAATCTGAACCTGAGCCTGAGTCTGAACAACACCATGGAAGAAAATCAGAAATTGAGCAGAAGACTAAACTACACCATGGAAGAGAATCTGAACCTGAGCCTGAGTCTGAACTACACCATGGAAGAGAATCTGAACCTGAGCCTGAGTCTGAACAACACCATGGAAGAAAATCAAAAACTCAGGCTGTGTCTGAACTACACCATGGAAGAGAATCTGAACCTGAGCCTGAGTCTGAACAACACCATGGAAGAAAATCAGAAATTGAGCAGAAGACTAAACTACACCATGGAAGATAATCAGAAATTGAGCCTGAGTCTGAACAACACCATGGAAGAAAATCAGAAATTGAGCAGAAGACTAAACCACACCATGGAAGAAAATCAAAAACTGAGCCTGAGTCTGAGCTACTCCATGGAAGAAAATCAGAGACTGAGCCGAAGACTAAACCACACCATGGAAGTAAATCAAAAAGTGAGCCAGAGTCTGAACTTCACCGTGGAAGAAAATCAAAAACTGAGGCTGAGTCTGAACTACACCATGGAGGAGAATCTGAACCTGAGCCTGAGTCTGAACAACACCATGGAAGAAAATCAGAAATTGAGCAGAAGACTAAACTACACCATGGAAGAGAATCTGAATCTGAGCCAAAGATTAAACCACACCAAGGAAGAAAATCAAAAACTGAGGCTGAGTCTGAACTACACCATGGAAGAGAATCTGAACCTGAGCCTGAGTCTGAACAGCACCAAGGAAGAAAATCAAAAACTGAGCCTGAGTCTGAGCTACTCCATGGAAGAAAATCAGAGACTGAGCCGAAGACTAAACCACACCATGGCAGAAAAGTCACAGCTTCAAGTGCAGATTGAGGAGATGAAAATCATATTGAATTCTACTATGGAAAACCGTGACTCTTTCAGAAAAGACAAAATCAAATATCAACAGCTTTTGATCAATGAAAGGCAGACCTCAACTCAACTAAAAGCTGAAAATCAACGTCAACAATCAATTCTGATGTCGGAGAAACTATCTTTCCTCTGGAGATTCTGTGATAAAGGCACCCTGCAATGTTCACGCTGCCTTCCTGGTTGGGCTGAGCACGCCACACGCTGCTTCCATTTGGCATCACAACCAATGAAGTGGGAAGATGCTCGTAGGGAGTGTTTAAATGAAGGTGCTGACCTGGCTGTTGTCTTGAATGCTGCAGACCAGGCATTTCTGACCAACATGACTTTCCAGTTTACACAGCAGCATCCAAATGTACTGTTCCATTCAGCATGGATCGGGTTGCACGACATGGTGCAGGATAACAGATTTGTGTGGGTAAATGGTATCAAGTCCAAGTCAGATTTGAAGTTCTGGATGCCTGGAGAGCCAAACAATGCTGTGGCTCAATGGGACAAAAACCGTGCAGGACAGGACTGTGTTGTCATTGTCCCTCCAAAGACTGTTGGACAGAAAGGCTGGCTGAACTCCTGGGATGATATTGTCTGTCGAGGCCAGCGGCACTACATTTGTGAAACCAAAGCTCTTATTTTGTCTGGAGTGAAAACTGAGGAATGATGAGTTTATAACAATTTAGAATAAGTATGAATTAATGTGAAATAAATGTTCTTTATTTTGATAATGATATGGCATTATTATTTGGATTTTAATGTGGCCTATATAATAGACTGTTTTTTGTTCTTTTTTTAGTCATATCTATCTATCTATCTATCTATCTATCTATCTATCTATCTATCTATCTATCTATCACAGAATGGAGATGACATGGATTAAGGTGAAGTCAGTTGCAAGTTCAACATTTGTTAAAAAAAAAAAAAGAACAATATGACTGGAATGAGCGTTTAATCAAATAAATGTGAACAGAAACATTTTTAGGGCAGAAAAACATTATCACGAGACTTTTGGATTTCTGTCCTGCAGTTATGGAAGAATATGAGGTAACACCGGGAAATAAACCTCTGTTCATCCCATGGTGGAGAAATTTATATTAATTTATATAATAAGGCATTGTTATGGATTTAAGACAGCTATTTTTGTCAGAATTGATATTGAATGGTAGCAGAGTACAGGAACAATAGAAACCTTGTCATATTGAAAAGTGTTTGCAGTTATTTGGGACAGGTAAAAATGTGTGATCTTTCAAAACACAAACTCATTTTTTAGCGAAGAGAGGGTCATACTTTTTGCTCTTTTGAAAAGGACTGAATCCAATTTGAACTCCTTAGCTGGCAGGCTGACACTACTCTGGCCTTCCAAGGGAGGGCAGCATCTCCCCTTCAGCTGTTTCATCACAGCTGTAGTTATTCACATTTCCACCATTTGACTTTCAGTTTCGCTCAACATAACGTTTTCAGCAAAAATAAAAAATAAAAAAAGAGGGCATATATTCTTACTCTACACTCATAGATAGTATATATATATATAGGCCTACAGTCTATGGCAGTGGTTCTCAACTGGTCTCACTCTGGGACCCACACTTTTTTATGGTCCTTATGTGGCAACCCACTTTTATAAAATTCAAACCAGGCAAATTTATTTTTTACAAAAAACGAACCTTTACAGACTCAAATCTTTGACATAAATACTCCTATTTTGTTGAATAAAGTGCATTTCAGAGCACATGAACTGAGGGCGACAACTACTAAAGTTTCGTATACAGAAAATATCAAATATCAAATTGCACACAATGGAGACAAGCAAAATGAAATATTTGACTTATTTGCATCTCTGCGTTCAGAGCATATTCAGAAGAACACGAGGAGGACCGAGCAACAGCATTGACAAAAGTGAATAAATATCAAATTGCACAAAATAAAGACCATGAAAAACATGTAATTTTACTGCATTCAGGCCACATTAATAAGAAACCGAGGAGGACCATGACATGATGCGTGCCTTTCAAAATAAGCTATTTTTCAAAATAAAAAAACGTGTCAAACATCAGATGCGTATTAAATATTTACTTTTTTGATCAGCTGTTCACGACCCATCCAGAACGTGTCTGGGACCCACTTTTGGGTCGGGACCCACCAGTTGAGAACCACTGTTCTATGGTTACGCCACACAATCTCATTCAGTTTACAGTACATGCTGAAGTCCCGCCCATACCGGAACAGGATTGGTCCCCTCTGCTGTTGGCGCTTCCCATCAGCTTCTATGATTGGATATATTCATTTTGGACGGCGGCTGTTACGTCATTATTTCCAACCGTGTAAGGTGTTAAATTTCAAATCTACTCATTGTGGCTGGAGCATGGTGCTGGTGCAGGTAATGCTCTGTCATTTCACTGAAAAATGCGAGATTGTTCTCCTAAATAAACACGAACCAACCAAAGAAAAGGAAAGAACCACCACACGAAGCATTGCGACTTAATCATCAGGCAGGTTGAATTTTACACCCCTCTCACCCCCTAAATAAGAGACCATATTCATCTGCTGTTTCGTCTCCTTTAATCGCTTTTCATCAGGATGTCGGTACTCTCGTTAGTGCTACTGCTGCTATACCAACATACAGCAACTGTCTCAAATGGTTTGTTTTGATTTTCCTTTCTGTTCAGAACTTCGCCTATTTATTTGTATAACTTTTATTTTTTGCTGTGTTTTGTTTGCACCTGATAGGAATGCCTCCCATTTCATTGTACATTTACAATAACAATATCAAGATATTCTACCCTAGTGTATTCTATTTGACCTGGCACTAGACCTCTTATTTTGTCGACTTTCAGTTTCCGTTCCCCACTCCATTACCCACGCAGAAAGTGTTTCCTCTGCCCGACCTTTCTCCTACAGGTGGCGATCACTTCAAGCTGATCATCCAGACTTTTTAAATTAATATTTCTTTTCCCCCTTTCTTTCTTGCTACTGAAAACTCCAATAAATCTGACAATTACTCTGAGGAGAGGATCTGGGTTTCAGGGTGGAGAATACACCGGTTGCAGGACAGTGCGCGAGACGGTGAAGCATGGGCTGGAAATGTCAAATTTATTGCGGTTTACAAAAGCTCTACAACATCCGGTTTAGCTGTCAATATAAACCTGGGATAATAAAGGTTTGGGGGGGAAACGCAAATATCATTTCCAGAGTAACATGTGGTCATAGGTTTACACAGGTTCAAGTATATATCTTGAACTTTTTTAAAGATAAGTCTATCTATCTATCTATCTATCTATCTATCTATCTATCTATCTATCTATCTATCTATCTATCTATCTCTTAAACTTTTCTAAAGATCCATATTCATGTCCTGTGCACAGCATTATCAGTCCTTGTAGCTTGCAGGTGATGGTAGGAGCCACAGAGGGGACTGAATACCTCCTTTTTTCAACCCTGGTACCATCCTTTAAGCCTTTTAACAACAACAATAATAGTAATAATAATAATAATAATAATAATAAACTTTATTTGTATGGCACTTTTCTTGAACAGTTGTCACAAAGTGCTTTATAGTCATCAAAATAAAAAGGGTCAGACAACAAGACATAAACCTTAACAAAAAGTACACTTGCAGCCAAAGTCCCGGGGCCTATTCTACGAAGCAGGATTACTGCTTAGCAAGGTAACTTCGAGGGTAAGTTTGGGGTTTCCTGTTCTACGACACGGGTTCACTTCTTAGCGAGGTGAGTCTCCATGGCAACGTACGCTGAACGGCTAACCTGCTCTGGGGCAGGTTAGGTTCCAGATTGAACTCACCGAGTATAAAAACCCCACCCACTGACCAATGAGCTCTCTCAAAAAATGGCTTGTCTGTTCTTGGAGGATCCTATAGACCTTGGTGCTGGCATTGTTCGAGGAGCACTCCGGCGCGCGAGAGTTTTCAGGGACTGCATGGACCCACTTACTTTTCTGGATGACCACCTTTATGAAAGGCTCAAAAAATGTAAACATGATAGGAATGAACAAATGAATGAATTCATCTTGGAAATAAATTAGACATGTCTGGTGCATGTTAAAAGCGCATGTTGAACAGTGCTATTTCAGGGTTATAATGGCATCAAAGATTTTTTGCGCATTATATTTACGCATTGAGACTGTCTGCAATTTTCTGCGGTCTTTCGCTCTCTGGCCGGCTCTGACGCTCCAGACTGGTCCATGTTCGCGATCGGTCCGATGCGGCGGGCTCTGCCTTACCTGCGTGCACGCGCTCATAGCAAAGCTGGATCCACTTACGAGGTTGATAACCAGTGTCGTAAGACCGTTTAGCGAGACCGCTGGCTACCGCGTTAAGTTCAGCGAGGTCAAACTTGCTTCGTAGAACAGGCCCCTGGTCATACCAAAGCGATTGTAAACAAATGGGTTTTCAACAGCTTTTTGAAAATATACACAGTGTCCACAAGTTCCCTTTTAGAGCTAAAACTAATCTACAAAAGCTTTTTATAGGCCCTAAAGAGGAATAATGTACTACCTTCCCAAAAATTTACTTTGGAATATGATGCAGAGAAAATATACTTCTTGGATTGACCTACTTCCCATTCCTTTCTCTCTTGATGTTGTAAGTGGACTGGTTGTTATTCTTATACATAATATACTCTTACCGTGAGGCTTTGTGTATCATTACTGAACAAATGCACATTGTATCCTCCTTATTGAATGATTATTGATTTAATCTAAGTTTTTTTTTTTTTTTTTCCTTTGCTTACAAGTGATTTAACGAGAAGGCCAAAGCTGTCTCTCTTCCTCCTCAGCAACCACCTTCCTCTTCATTAAAGGGTCTATAGGTCTCTTTGGTGGTATTTTTGTAAAGATGCTGTTATTTCAAACTAGCATGCTTTGTATCCAATGTTTTATTCTGTGTTGTTCTAGATGAAATGAGGATTTGCAGTAAATGGACACGAAGAGAGCTCCACAGGCTACTGTCTGCTGCTGACTGGATTTAGTGCCGCTGCATTTAAAAGCATCTGTGCAGTGGATCGTGTAGCATCCTGATGAAGTTATTCAGCTCTTCTGTTGAATCACCTCCTTTTCTGTCGTGAATTCACATGAAATGTCTTCCATATGGATTTCATTTTCAGTACAGGACTTTCTTGCACAGACCAGCCCACTTTAGTCCACAACCTTTTAGAATGTTATGGTATATAAATCTGAAACAGAGCACTATATTTCCACAATTTTGTTTTGTTTTAGTGTAATTTATCAAAAATCACATTCACACGACAATTACGGGTACAAGTTTACAGCTATCATTTTACAAATGTAAGAACATCACACATTTGTCTTACTAAAAAAATGTGAAAACCCATGACAAGTCATTATTGGGAAAATGTAAATGAAGACTTAGAGATCCTTGGTCATACACATAGACTGTATATATTATGGACAACTTGGTTCCGCCTCCCGCCAGTATACGGATTTGAAGCCAAAAAGCTCTCGGTAATTCCACATTTTTTCTCCACTTCCTGAAACCAACATTGCACAGTAGTGTTGTACGCACTCCACCACTTGCGCAGTAGTGTTGTACGCATTCGGCGGGAGAGTCACCGAGAGTGGCTGTGATGACGCTCGGCTCAAACAGCGTATCCCCACAGGTGTATCTTCGTACACCCATAGGCTGTATCAAGTGACAATCATAGAAAACATGAACCCCCTAATAACGTCTAAAAATGGAGCTGCACAGAAAAAGTACAGTAACTACATCACAACCAGGGGGGAGAAATATTTGTGTTCTGTGGAATAAATTTCTAAAGTTTGTCCACAGCTTCATATGGATTGCTGGAGGAGGCGGGATTTATGACCTATACTGCAGCCCGTCACCAGAGGGTGCTGTTTTCGGAACGGCTTCACCCAGCGAGGAGGCAGATGCTGTCCATTCTTTATACAGTCTATGGTCATACATTATGTCATTCAAACTCTCTTGTTTTGTTTTATTTATTCAAGTATCACGAGGTCAGACCATTTTTACTGTACAGTGCTGTATCATTAAATTATCTGACATATTTCATACAGCTTACTGTAGCTTCTCTTTCTCACATCCAGACTAACCCCTCTGGACTTCTGTGCTGAGTTGTGGCGCTCTCTCACACTGTAAAAGTCAACAGCTTTTATTTTGAAGAGCCTCTTTCCGGTTCTTGTGTCGCTGGCTCCGCCTTTGGTTGGCTTTATAAAGCAGCGATGTCTCATGGCAGATCAGCGGCCAGCCCTGAAAGTCGGAGCGGCGAGAAAAGTACGCGGTGCTCTTTGTTACTGTAAAACTGGTTCCACCTCCGCGACGTCGTTAACATGAGAAAGAAACTTCTTCACTGACCGCCGGGAAGTGAAATTTCAGCGAAGGGTCAGTTGTGCCGTTCCCTTCCTGGAACTTCAGCCAGTCCAGCAGCCGTTCAGCTCCGACCACACCCTCCCTGCTTCCTCATACTGCAGCGGGAGCGCGCAGCACGACTTTGAATCCCCGGGAATAACGGCCCTTTCCTCGGCTACCTTTGGGATTTCATGTTCGGGGAACTAGACGAAACATGTGAGTTGACTGTCCAAAGACTTTTGAGCGGTTATGGCGCTGAAAAGCAAGTGTCAGCAGGGGCTATGCGGGGCTTCACATTCTCTGGTCCCGTGTCAAGACGCCTAGAGGAAGAGGAGGAGGAGGAGGAGGAGGGCGGACAGAAGGACGATGCATATGGAGTCCAAGCGACTGCAGCATGTTTGAAAAAGAAGAGGTTAAAAGTGGATGGAGGAGTTTGTGCTGTTGGAAAGTCGGGCTCCCGGTCTTTAACTCTGGGGGACTCATGAAACGATGGTGCTGAAGGGAAACACGAGTCTTCCCGCTGTCCAGGAGAACTGCCCGGGTGGTGCCCCGTTTGTACCCAGCATGAGAATACCAGGCCGGTCAAAGTCATTGGAAGCAAGTCGGACAAGACGTCGGTGCTTTTTCAGGCTGCTTACCCTGTCAAGAGTGGACCTAAAATGACATCCTATTTATTAATGTAAAGAAAAAAAAAGAGCGAAGAATCGATCAAGCTAATGTTGAGGGATGTTTTTCTCTGCTAAAAAAGACCCAAAGAAAAGACATCTAGTGTTAAATAGCAGGAAAGGATCAGCAGATGTCATAAATCAGGAATGTGATCTCCTTTATGAAAAGAAATGCAGCTTTTGACTTTGAACAGCTCTCAGTCTGCACTTTGCCTGTTTGGAGGCACCCTGGCACTGCATTTGGTGTGATTTCTTCTTAAAGTTCACAGCCTGTGAAGTTTTTTTCTGTTTGACCAAAACTGGGACTGGGATTAGATTAACCACATCTGTATTTTGCTGGCATTTATGTTCATCTAAAGAGATAAGAGCATTTTATACTGATAATTTTAAGGCAATCCACCAGAAATATGCCTGACAGAAGTTCAGTCTCTTATTGTAAGAAAATATTCTGGATGTTATTGACTCAAAGTAATGCAGTTAGCGAGTTTGACTCTTTCTACGTGTTTACATGAAGAGTATATATATTCTGTGTGTACAGCTGATGACCCATACTCTGAAGGAATTTAAGGAAGACTGTTTGGCCAGTTGACTTTCTCAAAGTTTGTGAAAAGCAGTTCAGGCTTAGCTTGGAAACAGTACCATGTAATGTGCAGCACCCTAAATAGTGGAGCAGACAAATGCATAATATAGCCCGAATCGTTCACTTTGTTATACAAGCATGAAATTTGGTACATATACTCTTCAAACCCCACTCTTTTCAAAAATAACGTTAGCCACGCAAAATTCCAAGATGGCGGCCCCAAAATCCAAGATGTCCGCCCCAAAAATGTGGTTTTTCCTTTATAACTCAAAATGACTTGATTTTAAGCCCCATACATATATTGAAGTTGAATATAAAGTTGGGTATTGCGGACATTTTGGTAGCCAGTACATTTCTGTATCCATTACGGTTCTCGAGATACAGCATATAGATACTTGTACAGAATTGGGAGAGTGAGAAATTTGTAACACCGATTGTTGTTACGTGCATATGGTTGCATGAAAATATCATTTTCATTATCTGTTATTTTCATGAGGGTTATAACATTAAATTTGAAAAACAAGATGGTGTCCAAGTTGGCTGCCATTGCCTTGAAGTAATCCGATCTTAGTGACTATGAAACATTAACTTTTGGCATGCACATATTTTTGGTCTATGCATCCAATGGGGCCATTGCAGTACAGAATTTAGATGTTTATACAGTACAAGCTTGCAGATGTAATAGAGTGAATATCGGCACACAACCAGGGCACACTGGTGATATCACTGCTGTGTAACTCAGCATGACCTCCAGGGGTTCTTTCAGCATGAGAACCAGTCCTTCCCTGTTGCATTGAGCAAGGGTGGAAAATTGTACACTTGCCAGAAGTCTCAGCTGACCCCTATCCTTGAGAATTATGTCCCACAAGTTGACAAGGAACCTGAGGCAGACGTTCTCATTGTAGATGGGTCAGCTTTGGACCACGCCCTGCCACCAAAAAGATCCAAGACTTTTGAGGACTATGCAGCTCTCGACTTCCTACCTGTGATCTACATGTACTCCAGCAAGTACACAATGACACATCTGGTCTTTGATGTGTAAAACCCATCAAGCCTTAAAGCTGAGACCAGGTCCAAACGTGGCCAGGGGGAAGACGCAAGGTAACAAATAAGAACACCATGCTATCTAACTGGCATAACTTCCTGAGGCACAATGACAACAAAACAGAGTTGTCCCACCCTTGCCGAAAAGGTTGCACAAATGTTTGCCCTAAATACCGTCATCGTCACAAAGGGACCTGCTGTCCTCAGCACTCGTGCAACTGGTCTTGATGGACTGGATAAATGCTGTCACGAGGAAGCGGACTGCCGCATCTTTGTGCACGCCAAACTGGTAGCAACTGGTAGCCAATCCATCATGATCAAGGCAAATGACACAGATGTTCTGGTCTTAGCAATAAGTGTATTCAGCGGTCTCCAAGAGGTTGGCCTACAGCATATGTGGCTTGCATTTAGGCAAGGTCAGACTCTGCGCTGGATCAGTGTGCATGACATATTTCAGCATGTTGGCCAGGAGAAGGTCAAAGGCATGCTCTTCTTCCATGCCTTTACAGGATGTGACACTGTGTCTGCCTTCCGCAACAAAGGCAAGAAAATGGCTTGGCATACATGGGACATATGTCCAGAATCCTTGCCTGTATTCGCCAAACTGGGTATTTACCCTCCCACAGTGGAGGACTGCGACATAGAGGTGCTTGAGAAGCTTGTCATTCTCATGAATGACAGATCCAGCACAGCTGCTACTGTGGATGAGGCCAGGCTTGACTTGTTTGCCAGAAAGCAGAGGCCCTATGAGTCTATCCCACCAACCAGAGCAGCTCTACTCCAACACACCAGGCGTGCTGCCTATCAGGCTGGTTGTGTGTGGGCCCAGGCAACCCAGTGTCAGCCAGAAGAAGAGGACCCTGCAGACTGGGGATGTCAAAATGTTGGTGAGGAATGGCAGATCTTCTGGACAGCCAACTCTCCAATAGCCAAGAAGACAGCCTCCACGTGGCCTCCCCCTCAAGTAGCCAGAGAGTAGTTGCCCTTTAAGCGAAACAAATGTCTTCGCAATGTCCACAATGTCCAACAGACCCCCCCACCTCCCATACCCAGTAGTAACAGAATCCATTGAAAAATCTCTTCTGTCACTTATTTTGGGTTTCAAACTGAGGTGTTGAATTTTGGATTCTGGGCAAACAAACCACTAGGGGGCGCACCCATATTGTTTGCGGTGTTTTTTTAAAACCTTATACACATACCTAACACCATAACAAAAATCAGAAAATTGTCACAAAATGCCTAATTTTTAACCTTTTTTGACAAGTTTCATCCTTCTGAATTCATGATTCATCTCTGCTGAATTCATGATTACTTCAAGGCAATGGCAGCCATCTTGGACACCATCTTGGTTTTCGAATTTAACGTTATAACCCTCATGAAAATAACAGATAATGGAAATGATATTTTCATGCAACCATATGCACGTAACAACAATCGGTGTTACAAATTTCTCACTCTCCCAATTCTGTACAAGTATCTATATGCTATATCTCAAGAACCGTAATGGATACAGAGATGTACTGGCTACCAAAATGTCCGCAATACCCAACTTTATATTCAACTTCAATATATGTATGGGGCATAAAATAAAGTCATTTTGAGTTATAAAGGAAAAAACACATTTTGGGGCGGACATCTTGGATTTTGGGGCCGCCATCTTGGAATTTTGCGTGGCTAACGTTATTTTTGAAAAGAGTGGGGTTTGAAGAGTATATGTACCAAATTTCATGCTTGTATAACAAAGTGAACAATTATTTCCTTATCTGCTCAGCTAAAAAAGCATAAATAAGTGAACTGAGTAACCCTCCCACCCTCACCCACCCCCCTCCTTATTATGGCTAGTGGTGGCTCTGGCATGGCTCTGCCCCTAAGCTCATTCCAGAGCTTAGGGGCAGCAGCGGCAAATGCTCTGTCCCCTCTGAGCTTCAGCCTTGTACTGGGGACGGTCAGTAAAAGCTGATCAGCTGATCTTAGGGGTCGGGGTGGGCAATAAGGCTGTAGCATCTCCGAAATATAGGGTGGAGCAAGGTTGTTCAGGCCCTTAAAAACAAATGCTAAAAGCTTAAAATGAATTCTGTACTGAACAGGGAGCCAGTGTAAGGACGCCAGGATGGGGGTGATGTGCTCACGCCTGCGGGTCTGTGTCAGGAGACGTGCAGCAGAGTTCTGCATAAGCTGCAGGCGGGCAAGGGAAGCCTGGCTAATCCCTACGTACAAGGAGTTGCAGTAATCAAGACGGGTAGTGATAAAAGCATGGATTAATTTTTCCAGGTCAGGTCTTGATAAAATGGGCTTCACCTTCGCTATTTGGCGTAGCTGATAAAAACTTTTTTGTACCACCCCGCTGATCTGCTTGTCAAATTTAAAATCAGGGTCAAATTTAACTCCCAGATTAGTGACGACCTCTTTAAGGTAGGGTGAGAGGGAGCCTAGGTCGAAAACCCTTAAAACAGGCAGAAAAAAGAGAAAACTAAAAAAAAGAAAAAGAAGAGTATTTCTGAAAACAAAAAAAACAACAACAAAAAAACACCCTAAGAAAACTAAAAAACAAAAAAGAATTATTTCTGATTCTTGGGGTTAAGAAAGCCTGAGAAGTGGAAGAAGTAACTTCCCCGAAGTAAGGAAGTACTTAAAAAAAAAAAAACTCTTCAAAAAGAAATCTCCAAAAACAAAAATAAATTAAGACAACTGATGAAAAAACAAAAAAGAAAAAAAAAAACATCAACATGGGAAAAAAAAAAAAAAATTCTAAAAAAAAAAAAAAAAAAACTACTGGAAAGAAAATTAAAAAACAACAAACAAAAGCACCCATAACCCGGTGTTTTTCACACAAAAAATAAAATAAACCTTGCGGTTTTCCGTCCCATGGGAGGGTTTTTATCCCCCTCCTCGAGCTACCACCTTACCGTGGTGGAGGGGTTTGTGTGTCCCAATGAGAGTTAATTCTGATTTACTCTTGCTGTTGTCAAAAAGTGCTAAAATTTCTCTGAATTTCGCATGTTAAGTAGGCCCATGTCAGTTTTAATCCTTGCAGGACTCTTGTTTTCACTTTTCATCAGCAGAGGAAAAGCTTTTGGATAACTGATTAATATAGAGTTCAGGGGAAAGTATATCTGCAATGTATAATCAATAATGACTTTATCTTCATGAGTAAATATGATTTGTACATTTAAAGAGAACTATTTTTTAATTTTGGTTCAACAATGGACAGAAGTAGACAGGCAAGATGGCGTCTGTAAAGTTCAGTTTAACAGCTGGTGTGTCATACTAAGTTTTCTTATTTAACCCATCAATACATATCAATTCATAAAGCATCTATTACAAAAACAGCTCAAATCAATGTGGGTTAACAGCAGGTTTGAAAAATACATGATTGTTATAGGGTGTGCTTTTTACATTTAAATGTGAAAAATTCAAATGTAAACAAACAACAAGAGAATATGGCATCAAAGGAACAATTCCGTGATGACATCATTATGACATCATCACGGCTTTCATCTCGTGTTACTAACTGGAAGTAGAGCAGCTTTCCAGGGTATCGTTTGAACCTTTCAGCGAGTAGCTACACTTAAAGAAAGAGACAATCGAAATCTTCAAAGTGAAACATAGACCTACTGGTAAAAACGTGAAAAAGCGAGAAAGCGAAAAGCAAAGATGGAAAACATGTCCGAGGAAACCCACGGCGAAATGACGGATCCACAGCACGTCCACCTAAGGTAAGGAGAAAAAAAACGGTTCAAGGGGTCCCTGTGTGAAGGTGTTTCTATAAAACCGCGCCTCAACCTTTTTCTTTCTGCTCCTTTTCATTCACATGAAAATTTTTCCTTGTTTGTATTGAATGTGTCATATACTAACAGACTGAAATAAAGTATGTACACAGCGCCCTAACTTTATTGAAATGAAGTCATGTGTTTGGAGGTTAAGGCTCTGTTTGTGTAGATACCAACAGTTTGGGTCGGGTCAGAACTGCTGACATTCATACAGCTCATTCAGACGACTCAGAGAATGAGAGTATTTGGAATTTTCCAATATTTATCATGTCTCAGATTTGTGCACATCAGTTTGTGAATGACAGATATTGTATAGAAAGACTTAGCTTTCAGACCCTTTACAACAAGATCTTCAGTGCTTCTCATCTTTTTCTTTTAGCTTCCCATCTGAAAGCTCTGTGGAGGAAATGGCTCAAGACAGACCAGATCAAGATGAGACAGAGAAAACGGAGATTGATAACAGCATCATACAGAGACTTCAAGACAGACCAGATCAAGATGAGACAGAGAAAACGGAGATTGATAACCGCATCATACAGAGACTTCAATCTGGCTGGATAGGCACTCTTCATGTCGTTTTCCTGGTGCTGCTTTTAGTCCTAATCACTGTCATTGTTGGCCTGAGCATCAATGTTAAGCAGTTACAGAAAGAAAGGAGTCAGCTGAGACAGCTTCTAGAATCAACACACATGGGACTGAACCACACCATGGAAGTAAATCAAAAAGTGAGCCAGAGTCTGAACTTCACCGTGGAAGAAAATCAAAAACTGAGGCTGAGTCTGAACTACACCATGGAGGAGAATCTGAACCTGAGCCTGAGTCTGAACAACACCATGGAAGAAAATCAGAAATTGAGCAGAAGACTAAACCACACCATGGAAGAGAATTTGAATCTGAGCCAAAGATTAAACCACACCAAGGAAGAAAATCAAAAACTGAGGCTGAGTCTGAACTACACCATGGAAGAGAATCTGAACCTGAGCCTGAGTCTGAACAGCACCAAGGAAGAAAATCAAAAACTGAGCCTGAGTCTGAGCTACTCCATGGAAGAAAATCAGAGACTGAGCCGAAGACTAAACCACACCATGGCAGAAAAGTCACAGCTTCAAGTGCAGATTGAGGAGATGAAAATCATATTGAATTCTACTATGGAAAACCGTGACTCTTTCAGAAAAGACAAAATCAAATATCAACAGCTTTTGATCAATGAAAGGCAGACCTCAACTCAACTAAAAGCTGAAAATCAACGTCAACAATCAATTCTGATGTCGGAGAAACTATCTTTCCTCTGGAGATTCTGTGATAAAGGCACCCTGCAATGTTCACGCTGCCTTCCTGGTTGGGCTGAGCACGCCACACGCTGCTTCCATTTGGCATCACAACCAATGAAGTGGGAAGATGCTCGTAGGGAGTGTTTAAATGAAGGTGCTGACCTGGCTGTTGTCTTGAATGCTGCAGACCAGGCATTTCTGACCAACATGACTTTCCAGTTTACACAGCAGCATCCAAATGTACTGTTCCATTCAGCATGGATCGGGTTGCACGACATGGTGCAGGATAACAGATTTGTGTGGGTAAATGGTATCAAGTCCAAGTCAGATTTGAAGTTCTGGATGCCTGGAGAGCCAAACAATGCTGTGGCTCAATGGGACAAAGACCGTGCAGGACAGGACTGTGTTGTCATTGTCCCTCCAAAGACTGTTGGACAGAAAGGCTGGCTGAACTCCTGGGATGATATTGTCTGTCGAGGCCAGCGGCACTACATTTGTGAAACCAAAGCTCTTATTTTGTCTGGAGTGAAAACTGAGGAATGATGAGTTTATAACAATTTAGAATAAGTATGAATTAATGTGAAATAAATGTTCTTTATTTTGATAATGATATGGTATTATTATTTGGATTTTAATGTGGCCTATATAATAGACTGTTTTTTGTTCTTTTTTTAGTCATATCTATCTATCTATCTATCTATCCATCTATCTATCTATCACAGAATGGAGATGACATGGATTAAGGTGAAGTCAGTTGCAAGTTCAACATTTGTAAAAAAAAAAAAAGAACAATATGACTGGAATGAGCGTTTAATCAAATAAATGCGAACAGAAACATTTTTAGGGCAGAAAAACATTATCACGAGACTTTTGGATTTCTGTCCTGCAGTTATGGAAGAATATGAGGTAACACCGGGAAATAAACCTCTGTTCATCCCATGGTGGAGAAATTTATATTAATTTATATAATAAGGCATTGTTATGGATTTAAGACAGCTATTTTTGTCAGAATTGATATTGAATGGTAGCAGAGTACAGGAACAATAGAAACCTTGTCATATTGAAAAGTGTTTGCAGTTATTTGGGACAGGTAAAAATGTGTGATCTTTCAAAACACAAACTCATTTTTTAGCGAAGAGAGGGTCATACTTTTTGCTCTTTTGAAAAGGACTGAATCCAATTTGAACTCCTTAGCTGGCAGGCTGACACTACTCTGGCCTTCCAAGGGAGGGCAGCATCTCCCCTTCAGCTGTTTCATCACAGCTGTAGTTATTCACATTTCCACCATTTGACTTTCAGTTTCGCTCAACATAACGTTTTCAGCAAAAATAAAAAATAAAAAAAGAGGGCATATATTCTTACTCTACACTCATAGATAGTATATATATATAGGCCTACAGTCTATGGCAGTGGTTCTCAACTGGTCTCACTCTGGGACCCACACTTTTTTATGGTCCTTATGTGGCAACCCACTTTTATAAAATTCAAACCAGGCAAATTTATTTTTTATAAAAAACGAACCTTTACAGACTCAAATCTTTGACATAAATACTCCTATTTTGTTGAATAAAGTGCATTTCAGAGCACATGAACTGAGGGCGACAACTACTTAAGTTTCGTATACAGAAAATATCAAATATCAAATTGCACACAATGGAGACAAGCAAAATGAAATATTTGACTTATTTGCATCTCTGCGTTCAGAGCATATTCAGAAGAACACGAGGAGGACCGAGCAACAGCATTGACAAAAGTGAATAAATATCAAATTGCACAAAATAAAGACCATGAAAAACATGTAATTTTACTGCATTCAGGCCACATTAATAAGAAACCGAGGAGGACCATGACATGATGCGTGCCTTTCAAAATAAGCTATTTTTCAAAATAAAAAAACGTGTCAAACATCAGATGCGTATTAAATATTTACTTTTTTGATCAGCTGTTCACGACCCATCCAGAACGTGTCTGGGACCCACTTTTGGGTCGGGACCCACCAGTTGAGAACCACTGTTCTATGGTTACGCCACACAATCTCATTCAGTTTACAGTACATGCTGAAGTCCCGCCCATACCGGAACAGGATTGGTCCCCTCTGCTGTTGGCGCTTCCCATCAGCTTCTATGATTGGATATATTCATTTTGGACGGCGGCTGTTACGTCATTATTTCCAACCGTGTAAGGTGTTAAATTTCAAATCTACTCATTGTGGCTGGAGCATGGTGCTGGTGCAGGTAATGCTCTGTCATTTCACTGAAAAATGCGAGATTGTTCTCCTAAATAAACACGAACCAACCAAAGAAAAGGAAAGAACCACCACACGAAGCATTGCGACTTAATCATCAGGCAGGTTGAATTTTACACCCCTCTCACCCCCTAAATAAGAGACCATATTCATCTGCTGTTTCGTCTCCTTTAATCGCTTTTCATCAGGATGTCGGTACTCTCGTTAGTGCTACTGCTGCTATACCAACATACAGCAACTGTCTCAAATGGTTTGTTTTGATTTTCCTTTCTGTTCAGAACTTCGCCTATTTATTTGTATAACTTTTATTTTTTGCTGTGTTTTGTTTGCACCTGATAGGAATGCCTCCCATTTCATTGTACATTTACAATAACAATATCAAGATATTCTACCCTAGTGTATTCTATTTGACCTGGCACTAGACCTCTTATTTTGTCGACTTTCAGTTTCCGTTCCCCACTCCATTACCCACGCAGAAAGTATTTCCTCTGCCCGACCTTTCTCCTACAGGTGGCGATCACTTCAAGCTGATCATCCAGACTTTTTAAATTAATATTTCTTTTCCCCCTTTCTTTCTTGCTACTGAAAACTCCAATAAATCTGACAATTACTCTGAGGAGAGGATCTGGGTTTCAGGGTGGGGAATACACCGGTTGCAGGACAGTGCGCGAGACGGTGAAGCATGGGCTGGAAATGTCAAATTTATTGCGGTTTACAAAAGCTCTACAACATCCGGTTTAGCTGTCAATATAAACCTGGGATAATAAAGGTTTGGGGGGGAAACGCAAATATCATTTCCAGAGTAACATGTGGTCATAGGTTTACACAGGTTCAAGTATATATCTTGAACTTTTTTTAAAGATAAGTCTATCTATCTATCTATCTATCTATCTATCTATCTATCTCTTAAACTTTTCTAAAGATCCATATTCATGTCCTGTGCACAGCATTATCAGTCCTTGTAGCTTGCAGGTGATGGTAGGAGCCACAGAGGGGACTGAATACCTCCTTTTTTCAACCCTGGTACCATCCTTTAAGCCTTTTAACAACAACAATAATAGTAATAATAATAACTAGGGCCCCGGTGGGGCACTGGCGGGCCCGAGCCGCGTCGCTCCGCCCCCAGCGCGACCGCCTCCCCCTCCCGATCGCGTCACACTCAAGGTCCAAAGATGGTGTGCGCACTTGTCTGTGGTCATTTCCCATTATAATGAATGGGAGGCGCAGTTTCTACCAAAACACTCGCTGCAGACAAACTTCATGTCCTATTTGAAAAAAGTCTGGAACATGAGTGAGGGCACAAACACAGCTAGGATATATCCAAATGGCAGGTTTCTCCTCCTTACGGTGTTGCCTGGAGAGCGATGCGATTGAGCCATGGGCAGGAAAAACTTGACTTTTTCTCCTGCCATGGGGGGGGGGGGATGTGGATTCTTTTAAGAATGTGGATTTTTGGGTCATCTTTGGCGCCCCCTAGAACGTAAACCGTGGGGTGCAGCGTCATGATTTTTACAACTTTGAATGGCCATGGGGTGTAGATTGGCCTGAGCAAATTTGGTGTCAGTGGGACGAAAGCCTTAGGAGGAGTTAGCCACATTCCAATGTGTGCGAATCGGCAAAAAATGCAAAATAGCCCTTTTACCGCACATTTTACAGATACGTGCCCATTGACTTTTTCGTAGATCTTATTGAGATACACGTGATTGTGAAATTTTGTGTCAATATGACAAAGCGTACAGGTGTCACACTCAACAATGTGAATTTTCACCTTAGGGGACAAGAAAAAATTGACTTTTTTCTCCTGCCATGGGGGGGCGCTCTTTTGGGGAGAAAAAATTCCTTCACAAATGTGTTGATGGCTGGACATTGCATCATCCTAGAAAACTTGGAGGCCAGTGAGGACAAAAATAAAAAGTTATAAGACTTTGAAATATGTGGATTTTAGGGTTATCTTTGGCGCCCCCTAGAACCTAAACCGTGGGGTGCAGCGTCATGATTTGAATAACTTTTAATGGCCATGGGGTGTAGATTGGCCTGAGCAAATGTGGTGCCGGTGGAACGAAAGCCTTCGGAGGAGTTAGCGAAATTCCAATGTGTGCGGATCGGCAAAAAATGCGGAATAACCCTTTAACCGTACATTTGACAGATACGCGCGCATTGACTTTTTCGTAGATCTTACTGAGATACATGTGTGTGTCAATTTTTGTGTCATTTTGCCAAAGTGTACAGGCGTGACAGTCAACAATGTGTATTTTCACCTTAGGGGACAAGAAAAAATGGACTTTTTTCTCCTGCCATGGGGGGGCGCTCTTTTGGGGAGTAAAAATTCCTTCACAAATGTGTTGATGGCTGGACATTGCATCATCCTAGAAAACTTGGAGGCCAGTGAGGACAAAAATAAAAAGTTATAAGACTTTGAAATATGTGGATTTTAGGGTTATCTTTGGCGCCCCCTAGAACGTAAACCGTGGGGTGCAGCGTCATGATTTGAATAACTTTTAATGGCCATGGGGTGTAGATTGGCCTGAGCAAATGTGGTGCCGGTGGAACGAAAGCCTTCGGAGGAGTTAGCGAAATTCCAATGTGTGCGGATCGGCAAAAAATGCGAAATAACCCTTTAACCGTACATTTGACAGATATGCCCGCACTGACTTTTTTGTAGATCTTATTGAGATACATGTGTGTGTCAATTTTTGTGTCAATATGACAAAGCGTACAGGCGTGACAGTCAATAGTGTGAATTTTCACCTTAGGGGGCGCTATGGAGCCATTTTGCATTTTATTGTTTGGGCGACTTCAGAATATCGAATTTTTCACCAGGCCCGGTCGTCCTGCCAAATTTCCTGAGTTTTCGCCAGTGGGAAGTGGGCCATTTTCCAGTTTAAAGCGGAGGAAAAATAATAACTAGGGCCCCGTTGGGGCACTGGCGGGCCCGAGCCGTGTCGCGCCGCCCCCAGCGCGACCGCCTACCCCTCCCGATCGCGTCACACTCAAGGTCCAAAGATGGTGTGCGCACTTGTCTGTGGTCATTTACCATTATAATGAATGGGAGGCGCAGTTTCTACCAAAACGCTCGCTGCAGACAAACTCCATGTCCTTTTTGAAAAAAGTCTGGACCATGAGTGAGGGCACAAACACAGCTAGTATATATCCAAATGGCAAGTTGCTCCTCCTTTCGGTTTTGCCGAGAGAGCGATGCGTTTGAGCCATTGAGCGATGGGCAGGAAAAACTTGACTTTTTCTCCTGCCATGGGGGGCGCTCTTTTGGGAGAAAAAATTCCTTCACAAATGTGTTGAT